ACCCTGGGCATTGACGTCGGCGCCCTTGTCAACCAGCAGCCTCACAATCTGCTCGTGGCCTCCAGATGAAGCCGCCTGGAGCGCGTTGCCGTAGTGTCCACCCTGGGCATTGACGTCGGCGCCCTTGTCGACCAGCAGCTGCACCGTTCTGTAATGACCAGCTTTCGACGCGAGATATAATAAGGTCTGGCTGTAGCTATCCTTGCTATGCAACGCAATGGCTCTCTCTTCTCCTTGACTTAGAAGCATATCCTCTAATATTACCGATAATCCTAGCCGTGCTGCGAGATGTAATCCTGTGCTGCCGTTGGGATATATCTGGCTATAATTTCTATACTTATACGTTGAAGTTAGTAATACCTGCGTGGCGCTAGAAACCAACTTGTTATCCGAAAGAAACGAGCAGGCTAGCACACATACTTCGCCTTGCACCGTTACAGCATGCTCTCCCCAGTGCTTGGCTGCATACTCCAGGAACTTGCTTTCCTGAAGTCTCTCTCCGAACTTTTTGTCAGAGGAGCAGCTACCCGTCTTGAACATGTCAAACGATAGGTAGGTGAGGCATGTTGAGGTAATATGCAGTTGAGCACCTGGATCCCATTTATCTCTGATGCGCTCGAAGTACTCTTGCGTAGTGTAGTGCACGAGACGGATAACAGCACTTTCTCGATCAACAACGGCAAGGCCAGAGCACACGGATAGCAGGTCCTCGACGTCAGGTACGTTGTCCGGATCGAGCTCCGCTTCCTCTGGTTCTACCGCTAGGGCACAGCACAACTCGGCTGTTGTGAGTGGCCTTCTTGCGTACGTAATCCATGACAGGACTTTCTTGGCCAGTTTGTAGTGACCGTCCAATTGGCTCTTAATTCTTTGCAAAGCATCTTCGTATGCATCATCAAGCGCGGCCAAGCCTTTTGAGAGGTTGGCCAGTGTTGTCTTGACCTTTTTTACTGTTGTCTTGTCGGATAGAGAATCGATGTGTAAGCGAGCAAGAAGAAACCTAAAAACTCGTAAGTCTATATTACGTCGTGAATTAGGCAAAGGACTCACATGCCGTCTACTGTCTCTGGGATCTTTTCTTCTATCATTTTCTGCAGTGCAGGGTTACGCTGAATACATTTAGGCAGTCGATATATCTGGCCAGCCACAAATCGCCTTACATCCTCATTACTAGCTCGTACCTCTAGCCTCACTGCTGTTTGAAACTCGACTTCGACTTCCGGTATAAAACGTGAGGTGGCTATAAGACGAATATCTTGTCCTACTTGCAACTCTCGGAGTCTGGCTAGAAACTGGCTACGAGTGCCGTCGCTGTCTCGGCACTCATCCAACGCATCGACTACGATATAGACAATCGAGTGCTTTGCAACTACTTCCCAGAGTGTGCTAAAGATCTCCTCGAGCGATGGCTTCGTACCTCGATTGGCATGCTGCTTGTGCAATCGCTCTATAGGCTCCGCTGTCGACGGTCGAGCCTGCACCAGCTGCTTGACGACAGCTGCCAGAATGCTGGAAGCCTCCTGCTCTTCCTGCGCTTTGTAGTTGCAGTACACGTACGCAACGCCGGACGAGCTGCTCTGCACCGACTTTAGCAGGTAGTCGATCGCGATCGCGGCCACCATCGTCTTGCCTGCGCCAGGAATTCCCGGGCAGAAGAGAGTACCCTTCGGCTCACCGAGCCACCTTGCGAACTCGGGTGCGTTGAGAAACCACTGGCCCGTTCCCTCCTGTCTGCGACCTATAATGTCTGATTGCTGGGCGGGGTAATCGGTAGGTGAGATCCATTCCACCAGCTTGCCGTGTTTTGTATCGGCTTGATCTTGCTGGATCTTGTCTACTCCAGACTGTAGGGCGGGCACGTGCGTTCGAACGAAGTTAGTATCGTCTTTAATAGCTTGGGACAGTTTGCTCCTATATGTAAGCTCTATGAATCTACGGTGCTGCTGCGAAGGCTTACAAGTGGTCTATCTGTAACGCGATCTCCACCAGCGTTTTCAAACGCTCTATTCGATCCAGTATGCTAGCAATCTCATCCTTCTTGAACCTCCACACTAGTGCTTCGCCTGCCTTCTTCAATCGACCTCCGTCTGTCATCTTACTCTGCAGCGCTTTGAGCGCCTGCTTGAACTGGTCAAGTGGCCCGTTGGAGGCTGCGAGTGCTCCGACATCAGTATACCATGGCTGGTTAGGATCCCCTTTTTGAACGTGATCTCGTAGGCTGCAAAGCAGATTACGAATGTTTGATATTTCAGCTTCGCAGTGCGTGCGGTCTTTTGGTGCATCTTTGACATCGCTCAGATACGCGAGAACCTTGGCCGAGAGCTGGAGAACTGTGATGATGCTGGCTGTAACGCTAAGCGGATCCATACCTAGACGAAGTCGACGGACGAAGCAAATGTGTATAGAAGAGCTGCTGGAGAGGAGGGAGGCATCGTGTAGGCAGTGAAGTTGCAAGCGTCTAGGCGGAGGGGTTGCCGCAACAAGGCTGAACAGCTGCATGTGATGTGCGTTGCGCTGTACCGTATTGTATCGATAAGACTATTTATGTACAATTACCTAGTAGGTTAATTATTGGCTAGAAGCCTTCTGCAGTTCGTGTTGAAAAGTACCAAACGATGCATCCTTATGAAATGGAGGTTGTTTCGTGCTCCGCGAACGCGGCAGGCTTTAATTGTCATCGCCTCGTGGTTGGCGTCGCTCGAGACGTTGGAGGCAGGTATGTCTCTCCGCATAGCTAGTCACTGGCTGCCAGAAGTTTCCACTATCAAGGCCCCTGCAGCACTGTAGATACCTTGCGGCTGGGTAGACCTTCACGTCCTCGTCGCCTGGGCGCCGTATGCAGCGTGCTGTCCCTCGCACCAAGTGCGACGTCTCAATTAAGTTTGTTGAGCCAGTGCGTCTCCGCTGCATGGCTAGAGCGACCCCGGAGTCGATCGAGCAACTACCAGCCAGGACTTCTGCAAAAGGAAGTCTCCGCAACCATCTGGAGTAGCGCAGGGCCCGCTGGCTGGGGGCTGTGACGAGGAGTGAAAAGCGCGAGTCAAGCGCTGCCGAGATAGGTAAGAAAACATGCTGATTCATTCTGTGCTGTATTAAATGCGTAATTTTTTGTCTTTTCTTCTGAATTTCTAGCGCATTTCATTCACTCTAGTTGTGTTCTGGACAAGCTGTGTGCTGCTGAGCTCCTGCTGAGCTCCTGATGCGATTCCATTGTATTCTCTTGACGCCCCATTCCCTCCGCTAGGGGTACTATGTAGTTATCGGGGAATCACAGGGCTTATACTATTGTAATAACAGCAGCACTGACAGCACGTAAGGGAAAACCTCGACGCTCACGCAAGGCCTCTCTAATTCTCCTGAGATACCTCTCTGCCGACCTTACAGATATCAAAAAGACCATCGATTTTTTACCATAATCCCCGGCCAGACTTTTAAAAATGCATACAATTCAAGACTTCCATGGAACCTTTCGTAGCATCGTCCTCTGACCAGTTCTAGTTGCAGTGGAAGTTTCAGGCTGGCAATCATCTGCAGATGACCACCGATGATGGTCACCTAATTCTATGCTAAGTCCATTTCTATGAAGTCGGCCGCTTGTTCGCCCAAAATACCTGAAGGCGCTGCGACTAGGTTTGCCGTTTTGTAAAGAAGTCGTCCTCGAGCTAGCACATGAAAGGGTTCAACGAAGGCTGGCTGAGAACAACGACTATTACCACATCGCTGACAGTCACTAAAGACCCGGAACAGTCTCGAGAAGCCCAAAGCCAGGATAGACCCTAGGGTGGGTTGTGGAGCCTCGCGTTTTGCCAAGCATATATGTTCCGAGTAAGATCGTTCCTCGACCGATCGAGTGAGACTTTTAACAATGTGGCTAAGCCAAATGCCTCCGAGATACGTATCCTCGGTTAGTAGAGCGGCTTGGAATGTTTCTGAAAAGCCAGCCAATGCACGAATTCTATCGCTCGGGAAACTAATCCACTGGGACGTGAATGCGCGAATTCAACCATACCATGCACTGTAGAGGACCGATGCCTTGGCCACGAGAGGGTAAAGTAGGTGGTTATTCGAGTTGCTTGTGTATGATCAATTAGATTGGAACATGCGGCAACGATGCTGCAGAATAGACGAACCCACATGCAACTCTCGCCTGGACAGAGGTTCCTCTTGCATCGTCTATGCCCTATTTGCGTATCGGGTTTGGCCTCTGAAAAGTGGTAAATGAGAGAGCACACCTGAAGGACTAATAGAAAGCACTTGGTCACATTAATTCCGTGAATTAAATAGACATAGTATAGTTTGAGCAGAGGTCGAATAGGTTATCAAGTCCGGATGTGCTCATTGCAACCGTCCAAAAGGCGTTGCGACAGACGCCAGCCATATTAGCGGCTCCGAACTGCCAATATCCCTGGTTGCCTATGTTTTAATAATTCATTAAATGTACTAACATCTTCCTAATGGTGTGCCGAAAACCTGGTGTCGCGGAGTAGAACAGAGGTACTTTGACTTCGAGCCAACCAACAACCTACCAACAATTATTACTTCTATCAAAAGAATAGCAGCGTTAAATCCAGCTACCAACTAAGCTATATTAACCTCTCACCTAAGAATTTTAAAAGCCCTGTTGTCATGTCGCATACGGATTAGTAGTCTGCGATTAACGTGCTTTCACGCTATGACAATACTTCTTACACAACGACAACACCTTGTCCTATCACTCATTATAATTTAATTAATTCTTTTATAGCATGCGATACGTTATATAATACTTTTAAGCCATTTACAAACATGGTTGAAAACGCAAATCCGCCACAGGAGTGGCCGTGTCATTATACAATCTTGAAACGTGCAGCCGCAAAAAAACAAGAATTTCACACTAAAATATCTTCACAATCGCGTAATAATATAACATGAAAAATGTAAATCTTGATTTTTATGTAATGTTTTCTACATCCTCTGAATGAACTGGAGTAATTAGTTTACTGGTGTTTATGATATTAAGATTAACCTCCGGATTTAAGATTACTTGAATTTCTTAAAAATGATACTCCCCTACCATCTAATATTGGAATAGACTCTATTTCCAAGTACTATCTATGACCTATTTAATTTTTCCATATTTATTATTTAGTAGTTGTTGAAGTTCCAAATAAATTTTTCTAGTAGGTTTAGGTTCTGACTAATCTCTGGTATGGCGAAAGACACCTTGTCACGGTGATGTTACAGCTATCAAACCCCTGAGTACCCTAAGGGCTTAGCACGGGGTATCTAGGCTCCTCAGCCTCTGTACCTCTGTCTCCGACCCTAAGGTTTACTCTCGTTACAGCCCCTATCCTGCATTCACTCTCTGTGCCTCGTACTTTCTGCTCGATACCTCTCACACACTTATGACCCGAATAAAACTAAAGGTACTTCGAACGTACAGCGACTTTAGTCTACACACACGCTCTTGTTCTTGTAAGGAAATTATAAACAATAGCTTCAGTTCTTTCTCTAGCTAGCTATTAGGTTGGATGTAAAAATTACGTAATGTTAGTTGCCTTGTACTTTGTTAAGCAGTTAGCCTGGTTTTACTCTGTAAAGCTTTCTCTACTACAACTGCATTGCCTTATTGTTTACTTATCTAAAATTGAGTTATGTTAGTCTTAAACGTGGTTTATATCCTTCTACAGCATTTTAAGGCATTGTAAGCTCCAAGCGTAGCGCACATCGCATGTCCGCCACGGAGGGTACATGTAGCACGCTAGAACCCTGAAAGCAGGCGTTGCAGTACAATTATTTTGAAAAGGACAACAAAGAGATAACGAGTGGAGTATGAAAACAACAGATATCGCCGTTACACCTCAACAATGCAATGAGTATCGACACCTGCGGAAACCGAACGCCCCAAATATTAGATCCATCCACTCCATCACGCGCAGCTAGCTAGGAGGATCCTTAGGATTCTCACGTCGTTGACCATGACGTTGTCCTTCGGGAGGGACTCATTCAAGTCCATGTGACTTTCATCGGAAGTGGTTTTATCAACTATAACTGAAAAGATGCCCACGTCTCTCGTCGTCCAACAGTTGTATTTTGTTCCTACAAAAAGGATGTTTCCGGTCCTACACTCCAGTGCTGTTGCTGTCTTTCTAAAAAGCTTCTGAATCGGACTGTCGGACAATACCAGGCCGCTCTCTGGGAAAACTCGATCAACAAAATTAATTATTCCTAGGTGCTTCAATGTCCAGAGAGGGTGAAAAGACGAATCTTTCCACAAGATGGCGGTTTTTTTCCCATGGGCTTTCCAAAGTGCCAGGAAGTCGAATATTCCGTGCTCGAGGTGGATCTCAGCCTTGTACGTAGCCATGTACATGTCCACCAAGGCTTTAATGTAAACGGGGTCGCTTTTCACGTCAACTGCGCCGAGCAGCTCTTCAAATCGCCCACACAGCCATTTTACTACTGGCTCCCAGTCTTCTTCTCGTATTTTGCTCGTACGCAGAGTTGGCAACAATCAAGTCAATCAAGTCGGGGTGAATTGCTTGATTGATTGACGGATCTGGCACGTTTTGATTGACTTAATTGACTTGATGGCACAAATAAGGCTTAACTTGATTGACTTGATTGACTTAATTGATAGATTACGTAGTGAATCAACCGCCGTATATCTCGTAGATAGTCTCCAGGTCTTCGGGAGAGATGGCGTCACTACGTGGACTTTTTGCTAACTTTGTAGGCTTCAAGCCAAGGCGCTTCCAAACCTATCGCCGCGATGAGTTCAAGCGCTGGATAATCAAGTCACCTGTACCAGAGGAGTCCCTGTTTGCGCGCAATTGGGCGGGCGTCGTCACCTTGTAGGGCAGCTCTCATAAAATCTGACCGGCTCCCAGCTGGCCCTGTACGTGCCTTCTTCGGCGGAGGCTCTAGAGTACTGACAGGAGAGGCGGCGTCTTTAAACTCTGCCCACAAGCGTTGAAAGCCAAGGTGGCAGTCGTCTAGCCAGCCTTTGTATACGTGGTAGAGGCAGGTAAGTTGGTGGGCGGTAGAAGTTGAGGAATTTCAGATATATGGCGCTAAGCCTAGTTAGGCAACTATCACGACTCTAAAGTCCCTTAAAGCCGAGCTGCCTCATACTATATTCACTACTCCCGCACACTAAAGGATCCTGTATCCCCCAGTAAACCTAAGATCCTAGGGATTCAAGTCTGTCAATCAAGTCAATCAAGCAGGCACAATTTGCTTAATTAACTTGGTAAATTTCGCCTGGCTAATTGACTTAATTGACGGCTATCAATCAAGTCAATCAAGTCAAGTTATCAAGTCGACTTGATTGTTGCCAACTCTACTCGTACGAATCGTTATCTCGTGCCAATATCTCTGCAAATTCCCCAGAGGCACCAGGAAATCAAGGTGAATCCTTGTCCACACCTTGATGATGGCTTGGTCGTCCGCATCGGTATGGTTGAGGATGGTGTGGTCGAGATGAAGAAGAAGCCATATTTTGGAGCGGATGGTGACTTCTACCGGACTGCTCGCCTGGAGAAGAGTACTCCCGTTTCTTTGGGGAAGAACACTCCTATTTCTCTCGGAAATGGTCATCCCAGTTTCATTATCCATTGTCTACTAAAAATAAGCATGATGAAGGTGGACTTAGTAAGTATGCGCGAGGATGTAACTGCATTTAAAGAAAACATTAAGTCGTTAACATATTCGGTTTTACTCTCAAATATTCTAGGTGGTGGGGTCAATTTAGGCCTGATTTTATGTCATAATCCGCAACAATTTTTCAGTTGTCCTCTTTTCCGTTGTAAAATCTCGGAGCTCAAGGTGGCGAGTGAACCACAGATCCAACAACCGCAACCATATCAATGATGAAAAATAGTTGGGAATATTACACTGTAGCAACGTGTCCATTACTAGTCGAAAACCCACACCATCCTGCCAGTGAGCAACAGCCACTGGGCTGTCCCTTCATACCCGATGTCTAGACAGCCACACAAATGCCATCGGAACCTCTTAGTAGAGATGAAAATTCGCCATATAGCTAGCTTCATTGACATGGGGAAATGGCTCAACGGGAATTTCCTTGCCTAGGAATTTGCATAGCGGCTTCGATCCCTTCTTGAAGTTCGGCTCTAGGAGACGTTCCTTTGGGACGACAGAGCGCACATGGGCATAATGCTTTGGAAACCTCGGCGGCTCGCGTCTCTCTTCTATAAACCGGCTTCGGCCTAAATATCTAGTATTATTTCAGACCGCCGTATACATTATCCTAGCAGATTCTAGCTAAATCAACAGTTACGTGTTAAGAAGGTATTGATGGAGACGGGCTTCATGGTCAACATGCCGCATCACAGCCGCGATCTTCCAGCTCAGAATCTCATACACCACCCCTTCCATCGGCTTGACCCAAGAGCCCATATCGCGGCTTGTAACAATGGGTTTGGCTTCTAGATAAACTTTTAGCATTTCTTTCACAAAGAACATCAATGTGATATCTAGGAGTAACTTCCTATGTCAGCGATAATTTAAATCGTAAGGGGACTAACTTCATATTTTTCTGAGAAGTTATCAAGCTCTTCTAGCTCGTGCATTTTGCCAGTTGATTACAGGAGCAGTCAATTAGAACCATGGGCATGGGACTTCTCATTTCACTGTTGACGAACTCTGCAGTCATTCTCATGTCTGGCTACGGAGTTAAAGCTATTTGTGGTTTGGGCTAGAGATCAGTTCTGCTACTACTGTGCTATCTACTATGTTGATATTCAATGACGAGGATCTGGGTGAGTTTCTTGCCTTAGTATACTGAAGACTATAACTCACTCCACTCTATGTAGCTGTTTGTATGGGCTGCGTAGGGCAATGTAGTGTCCCTTGAGGGCTGCATTAGGATATTTGTCTATATCAACATATTGAACAAAGTTTCACTGCAGATTTATCGTCGTACCTTTCACCCAGACGGATCATCCCGATCCTAGTCTCCCCCAAAGTTATCAATCTGCTTCTGGAAGCCATTCAAAATGCGATTCGACAAAATTACGCTTGCGGTTTCCTGGAACAGATTATTGCAATGATAACATTTGGGACCGCAACGGTTGTCACGACTTTTATGATGACAGGGAAACTACGTAGGCAAACGAAGGAGAGCAAGGATGACGATCCATTGGATTTTAGTGTGATTAGTCTGAACATGAAGGAAATGTGGGTGAACCCTGTATGAAATGAGGGATGTAGGTGTGGGTCATCTTAGGCTTATGTAATTCCAGCAATAAGCCAGTTTTCAACACCCCGAACCCAATATTCGCCTACCACCTTATCAGCCCCTTAACTCCCTACCCCTCAATCCTTCACAAACAACCCAGAATCAACCATCACCCTACTAACACCACCCCAAAATTCCACCTCGGGTATGGCAGAGCAGATAAAACAAAGGGGTATCACTCACTCACGTCTCCCCCTCTCCCGTTCCGCCCCCTCCATATCGGCTGTACATCTGACATCAATTGGTCTGCAAGGAAACCTTGTGATCGAGCTCTCCACCTTCGGCAGTAGCATCATCCCAGTCGAGCATCCATGTGCCATCCGCTTTGAAGGGCCACTTCTTGATGAAAGTGGACACGTCAGTTTGCATCTTGAGGACGTTAAGGTACCCAGCAACCTCCCTCAGCACATCTTCCTTCATTTGCTCGGGAGTTGCGAGAAACTCTGGAACCTCGATGAGGTTGTGCGGCTGAGCATTGGCCTTCAGAGCAGAGTCGTCAATCAGGACAGTGTTGTGTTGGCCAAAACAACCACCGTATTCATAGTCGGGATGTTTCTCCTGAACAGTGCTCGACCAGATTTTTGAGAGATCTTTGTAAACCTGCACATTCATGCTATAGTGGTGCGGCGCTAGACCAAATGTGTCCCGACCCCAGCAAGCAGTGAGCATAGATTGCAGATCTTCGTCTAGGACGTTCTTGACAATAGGATTTACGTTCGCCGGCTTTGCGCTTGACCAAACCATGACGGCAAAATTCTCGAATAGGTATCGGAGGAACGGCTTAAGGAACGGCCGAGCGATTAGATGCGTCGGGCGGTGGCGGTTGGGACGGTATATCAGCGTGCCGTTGAGGTCAAGAACAACTAGGACTGGCTGTGGAGGATCAATCACGAATGGTTCCAGGGTAGCGGCGGCGAGATATTGCTCGGTAGGCTGCGGTGGCGGCAGCATTATCTTCGCATCCCTCTTGAGGGGTTTCTGAGCCTTGCTTCCATTCTTGGCCTGGCCTTTTTCCTCGGCTTTATTCTTCCTCTTTCGAAATACGGTAGAGGCTGGAGTGGTGTATTCGGTTGAGGCCCTACTATGCTTGTTAATACGCCAAGACTGATCTTTGTAACAGCGGATCAGATGTAGGGTATTATACGCATTGGAATCGACACTGTCCTGTCCAGACTCCTCCTGCACATCCTCCTGTCCCAGAACGTGTTGAGAAGTGGGGTCTTGGTGGCGCGACATCATTTGCGCCGCTGGCTGATAGGTCGACGGTGGCAAGCCTTGGCCATAGTGATGCCAGAGGCTGGGATGCTGTGAGAAGGAGGCATGTTGCGTGAAGGCGTACGGCGACTGCACCGACGCAGGGACGAGATAGTGCTGGCTCGGCTGCCAGTTGTACATATTTCCAAAAAGGCCTGGGTATGCGTACGGGTTTGCGTATTGGGCGGGGGAGCGGAATGGGAGAGGGTGCGACCATGGTACGGTATTGGCGCTGGCCTGGGGGACATGCCCCTCCGAGGTCTGGTTCAGCTCGCCGTGATTCTGAGAGGAATCTTCCGCGTCAGCTTCGTGCGACTTGCCGTTGGTCGGTGGGGCCCGCTGTTCGGCCATCTTGTGTGGGTCAGTAAGAAAAGGCGAAATCAAATGGTGGAGGTTGCTTTTGTACCGTGGAAGAACTGTGGCGGGCGACATGGAGTAGGCGGAGATAAGGCGCAGCCCTCCTTGGCGGTGAAAGTATCTGAATTTGAGGCAGGCAGAAGAGGCGCATTCGCTGTGGCCACGGTGGTGATGGTGGTGAAGATGTTAGCGGCCTGGAGGTGAACAAGGGCGTGGGGCTCCCGGAGGTCGGCAAATCGATGTGCCGTTGCATGGGCCATTTCGAAAATGTTCGAGGTCGTCAAATACACCCGCCGATGAGCTTCGAAAATCTAAATAGTAGTAATTAATATGCCGCTTTCGAAGAAGCTCGACCGAACATTGCGAGCTGAAGAAGATGATTCAGATGATGAGGAATACTACGAAGTCACCGATCGATCATCACCATCCGTGATTGACACTGGCGAAGGCGGGGAGATCGCGAGCACAGATTCCGAAGACGAAGAGCCAGATGGAGTGGAAGAGGACCTGGTATGCTGACTGGATCTGATATATTACTAAGCTAACATCTCCCCAGGCAGACAATTCCAAGGGCGACCAAATCCGAGACCAATTAAGCAAAGTTTCGTTTGGCGCATTGGCTAGAGCTCAAGATGCGCTCGCAAAACAGCAACCCGATAGTCGAAAGCGAAAGAGAGGAGACCAAACAACGGAATCGCAACAGCAGAAGCTCCAAGCACTCCGGGAGCGACTGCGAGTGTTGAAAGAAGAGAAACTTCGAAAGGGTGCACAACTCGCAAAACGGCCCAAAACTCCTGGACACGCAAGGCCCGCAGATAGTGTGGAGGATGAGGCACGGTCAGACAGCAATTCATCGGGCTCTGATGAGGCACTTCGTGGGCGTTCGAGCAAGCATGCGCCTGCTGTCCAGTCGAGTAAGCGCGCAGTCACTCGAAGGCGCCACATCATCGATGTCAAGAAGCCCGTGTATCGAGATCCTCGATTCGACAAACTTGCAGGGCCCGCCCCGGACGAGAACTCCCTCAAAAAGCGGTATTCATTCTTAGAAGACTACAAAGCTTCGGAGATGGAGGAGCTCCGTGCTATGATCAAGAAGACCAAGAATGAGGCGGATAAGGAGAAACTAAAACGGAAACTACTCTCGATGGAGACTCAGAAAAAAGCGCAGGAGAGGAAGGAGAACCAGCAGAGTATTGTACGAGAGCATAAGAAGAAGGAGAAAGAGCTAATCAAGCAGGGGAAGAAACCCTTCTATCTGAAGCAATGTACGTTCTTGCTCTTTGTTTTTTTAACTACATACTGACATGCGTTGCTCAAGCCGAACAAAAGAAACTAGCCTTGATCGATCGTTTCCAGAATATGAAATCGAAAGATCGCGACAAGATTATAGAGCGGCGCCGCAAGAAAGCAACCGCCAAAGAGCGGAAGAATATGCCCGACGAGCGTCGCTCTTGATGAGCAACGAGAGATGCGATAGGACTCGCTCCCCTCCATGTGAAGATAATGGAATGACGTGCACCTTTTAGATTCTTAGTTTTTGCATATGCCTTGGAAGAACCCCCAACCTCCAGCTGTTGTGCCGCTTATCTGCAGAATTAAAATTGGTGTACTCCTTCAAATACCCCATGAGACCACTTGCATGCCTCTACAACCCTTCGGATACTCTTTACTAGTTCGAAATCACATGTAACGCAAACCGTCGGTTTTTTGACGTTCAAAATTTTGACTAGGATGTGGTCCCCGAGACACTACGGTTGAACCTTCCCCCCAGTACTCAACCACTACGCTGGTGCACCACTTACCTTTTAGAACAACACGCAGCAGCGAAGTGTAGTTTTGCTTTTGCATGAGATTGGTGTTGCGATCGACAACAATCCCTGACAAGTTCCATCAGCTAGCGAGGATGGTGTTGCGAGCAAGGTTCTGAGAACGCCAACTTTCGTCATCGACGTCATAATCGTTCAGAAGCTTCCCAGCCTCTTCCGGCCTGCTTTTTAAACCAGCACGGCCACATTTTCCTGACTGGCTCTTTTAACTTGCATTGCCTTTTGCTTTAGAACTTGCTATTTTCAACTTCTGCACCATTCGTTACGTTTGTTAGGATATCATACTATTCTCCACTGATCTTTAGTCAAGAGTTTGTTCTGTCTCGGATCATTACACATCATATTTCATCATGCCTGAAGCTGCGCAGGAGAGACAGCTAAATGAGTATGTCTTCAGTATTTCTTTCCAATCGCCATAGCTCACAAAGACAACATCGAACTCGCTTAGCTCACTTTGTAAATTATATCAACTCTATGAAACTCAGCTAACGCACCCAGGCTCCTCTCTCGCTCCATGGTAGACATCTACGTCGGCCCAGATAACACACACTGGATCCTGCACGAAAAGCTACTCTGCCACCACTCACCCTTCTTCCGCAAAACCTTCTACTCTAAAACCAACAGCACCAAATCCTTCGGCCTGCCCGACGACGAAGATGCGCCCTTCAAAACTTTCGTCGGGTGGCTCTACTCCTCCTCCCTCCCCACCCCCCACGAAGAAGCAGATCTCGGAATCCTCTTCGACCTGTACCTCATGGCCGAGAAACTCCAGATCTCGGCACTAGTCCAGGATGTGCTGCAGGTGGTTCGCGAGTGGTATAAGTACAGTGATACATATCCTGGTTTACGGCGTGTGCAGTATATCTATGCGAATACAGAAGATGGATCACCGATGCGACATATGCTCGTGCATTCGGTTGCAAGGCTTTTGGTGCTCGAGGACGGCATTCCGAAGCATTGGGATAAGGCCCTTCGGAAGAACGGCCAGCTTGCTGTGGATATCATCGGTGCGATTCAGGCTTGGAGACTGAGTGATGATGTTGTACCTGATGCGAGAGATGATCCTGCTGAAGGGGAGGACTTGGTTGATGGAGAGGTGGAGGAGGCGCAGGGAGAGATGGAGACGGATGTAGAGGCGGATGAGGATCAGACAGTTGTTGAAAGCCCCCGTGAGATGAAACGCCACGATTCTATGCAGGTGGAGAAGAAGAAGGGTGAGGGATTGGTGAATGAGGTGGGGAAGATGAGCTTGCAAGAAGTGCCGAATGGGATTACGAATGGGGATTATGGTACGCTGCACTGAGCTGGTCGTTGAAGGTTAAGAGATTTGCCAGTGGGTTTCAAGTTGTTCCTCGCCGCTACGTAACTGCAATTTTTGTCTGCAATGGCGTTCTGGCTGGATGGGTTGGCTTTCAGAAGGATGTAATACCTTGTGTTTGTTTCGCGCCTTTTGTTCTCAAATGTATTTGGTAACGTACATGTAGCTTGACATCTAGGTTTGTGTTGCGCCTCTGGTGAGTTAACTTGGCAGTGGAAAGGTCCCGCTCAACTCAGCTCTCCTTTCCTATCTTGTCTCCCCATCTTCTCAAACTGCTATTGCAAGCGATTAAACCGCATCGTCTCGCTCCCCGCACATCTCCAAAGCGACCAGCCACATCTACATATATCCTGCTGCAGATCACATGATGCAAAATGACGCGCATTCCCCGGCTTCCCGCATGCCTGCCTGCCCCTTCATGCCGCTCTTGTACGACGCAGCACATAAAAGCAAAAGCCCAATCACTCGAGCCACCGAAGTTCAGCGTGAGGTGCGGGTATCATGGTGACGGCTGCAGTTACGAGAAGGAGCGTGCGGTTGGCTTGAGGTAATAGGTTTGAAGGCTAGATGAGTGGCTTGAGGGAAAAGGCGCTTTATTTAAGGAGTGTGAAGATTGGATTGGATGAGGTGGGGTTGGCATGGTATTGAAAAATATAGGCGGAATCACTACTGTCATAATCATTGTAGTTCTTATGCAGCCACCACGGAGGATTTGTATTTCTGCCATCTATAGTCACGATAATGCAGAAGTGAGTTGAGGGAGATATAACACAACAGCAAGGAAGGCTTGAAGTGGCCCGTCCATTCTACTGTTGTTCCATTTCGATCAAGGAAATGGGGTCCTCGGCACGAATCGCTGGATCATATTGGGCAGTCATTCTGAGGTTCGTTTCCAGGGCTAGCAATGTGGGCGTCTGGGAAGTGAGATAGTGTAGCACGGTGGTTGGTGAAAGCGGTGTGGTGCTGTCGTCGGAATAAGGGAAACTGTGGCACTGTATCGAGATGAGGTGCTAGTGGCGTGCGATGCTTGGACGACCTTAGGTTCGGCTCAAAGCCGATTGGGGAATTAGGGCTGTTGTGTTATGGCTTGAAGGTCTCGGATGACTGGATCTGAATCGAGTTGTGGTGAGATTGGCAATGTGGTGGGCATGGTGCTAAGGGAACTGGGTATGAGAGACCCTGTAATGAGGGATGAAGTTGACTTGCCGTCACGTCTGAAGATTATGAATACCAATCACGAGAGATGAAGCACAAGGAGATATAGGTTGGACGAACTGGTCGGAGTTATGACCCCGAAAATCACTTGTGAGTCGTGCTCGGGTTCAGGCTCGAGCAACAAACCCGTCATTCGGGTGGTATTTCGCCCCGCTGGACCACACTGGTTGCAGGTCATCAAGATGAGACTTGAAACAATCAACACGCACAACCTCTCAAAGAGGTCCGTCACACCGAAATGGACGTATTAGGGTATAACACGGTGAGCGTATCGGTTGAAGTTATTGGTCTTACTGAAGAGAAATCATGATTAAGAATGCTTTTTGGAACATGGTTTGATAAAGTAGTTCGCAAGGAGCTACGGAAGAGGCAAGAGGTAGAGTGGTGTACCACCTACCTGAATCCGAATAGATGGTCTATTTGACTATTACCTTACAACTGCCTTACTCTGTAATCGCTCAAGCGTAGTAGGGCAAGAGAAATAGCCTGACATCGTGGCCATGTGCCAGCCAAAACGTTTTCTCGAGTCCAGATCTTTGTGAGGACGTGTTCATCATGTTCTGCACCAAATCGTACACGCTCGTCCCACTGCGGGGGATGCGAAATATTGGTGTCACTAGCACAACGCAGCGGGGTGAGCGGGCATGCGTGGCTGGGACCGGCTGCAGTGGTGAGAAAGTATCGAATGTGATGCGAAACGTAGGGCAGCAGGTGGGAAAGAGGCTTGCACAGCAGTATTGTCGCACAAGGATCGTCGCGGTGAGAATGAACTCCGGATTGATCACGTTCCGGCGAACTGCGCGCGACGGGAGGCTGAATAGCAAGAGGTGACAAGACTTATTGCATGCGTGTGAATGAGATGTTGCTTGAAATAGACAGAGAGTAATTGGATAGAGATAGTTGAGTGAGTAAGTTTTGAGGCTCCCGATATCGAGAGCCTCATGTATATGGAATATGTAATATCGCAGACCGAACTAACCAAGGTTGTATACCTTCACATTGACGACTACGCATCTTGCGGCCCAAACCCGTGACTCGTTTCTACCCTGTACATCCGGCACGGCGAAGATACCTCAGAGTGTATCACGGGCCGTCTCTAAGAAGCGACGTTGTAGAGTGCAAGACCCAACATGGCGATACCACCATCCTTAAGATAGCGTTAACACAATCAATTTGGACACAGGAGATAAAGTCGTTTCTGTCACTGCCCTTGACGCATGTAGATCGCTTTCGATTTTCGAGTAGTCCCTGGTCCCGGTCTCTCGGTTGGCTGTAGTAAGACCCCACCGGTTCCATATTGCTAGTTTTTCCTAAGGCCATGTCCGGCATCTAATTATCCAGATCCGGCCCACAGCTCTGGACCATGAGACGGTTTTACGAGCTGTACCTGATTATCGACTGGGAATGGGATAAATTGAGGAGCAAACGGAAGTAGGCGAGTAGAAGCGAGGAATAAGAGAAACTGGTATAGAAACAACTTTTTGTCAACGACAGGTGTTACTTTCGTATTCCGAAAAGACAACCATGTCCTTGCACAGAGGATTCTTTCCGCGATTCCCCCATCCTGCCGGTCTGGCGGTCAGTCTCACCTTTTTCGGTGTGCAGAATTGTTTCAGAGAGCGGAGGTCCGTAGGTCGTGCATGCATGACAGTGAAAGTAGGTACGAAAAGTTATCGGCTTTTTGAAAGCGGCAAATCCTGGGAGACTGCAATATCTCGAGGTCTAGAAGCGCGGGAAAATTGCTGTTGTTGTAGCCGGGATGCGATTGCGATCCCATCGTTCGGGTGGTGAATTGAGTATGAGAGGTCTGAGAGAAATGAATTCAGGAAGCATCATGTGCCCTCTTTCCACCTCTAGTCTCCATGACCCCGCAAATGGTCGATTAAGGGTGAAGCACGCGGCGGGGAGCAAGTTTGAGGAGCGGAAATGGGATTTGTCTCAGGGATCAGATTTGGCTTGTGATCCGAGGTACGTGATGTGCGGCAGCGGTGGATGAAATATTGAGAGGAAGGCAAAAGAGCAACCAGTGGGCAATAACAGCTATTAATCTATCTCACGCGTCGTGTTCTAAAGATACGCGATTCGCAATCTGCTCAGACCGGGGAGAGTATGGAGGGGGATGCTAAGTGAGTGCCCAGAGGGGAAGCCGCGCGGTAGAATAGGCATAGTGAGGGGCGATCGTAAGCGCTCAGACAGAGCATGAAAACTTTAAAGGGCGCGAACGGTGTCAACCACGTGGGAGAAGAGTCCCGGAAGAATGCTCACCACATATTGCTCAGGCTCGCCGCTTGAAGGCGGTTGGGTGTTGGTTGGTGGCAGATCCTGGAGGCAAGGACAGCGGACGGTGACGATGCTGGTCCGGCCGGACGCAGGCCAGGCGATGTTGGGGTGAATATGCAGGCCAGACGATGTTCATGGGCCTGCGAAGACAGAAGGGGAACTTCTGAGGAAACGCGCAGGAAAAGTTTCGTGAATTGGGACCCTGAAACAGCAGGCCGCCATGAACGTCGACCCTCCTCATCTTGGTGGAGTGCGAGGGGCGCTCTGGCAGTTGAAGCGGGAGAGCCGCCTTGCGGGTTTGGGCGTGATCAAACACTCCTCATGCCCTCCTGAAAGGTGTGAAACACTGAACGGACCACGGAGGGTGAGCCAGAGGCGGACCGCTGATTGGCTAGCGGCACGCGACGACGGTGTATTGGCAATGGGCGTGTAACATGGCCGGCGAATGCTGCATGCAACTGCTGTCGAATCACGGCGGGCTCGTCGCGCACAGCTGGAGCGGACGGGCGTAGCGGCGGACTGGTGGATTCATGCTGTTCCTGCTCAGATGACGCTGCTGCGCTGAGTGGTGCTGACTGCCCGGCCGCGCTGAGATCGTGAGTTGATGAGATGAGGGAGCACCTCCGTTCGCTTCAGTTCGAAACGGCCAGGCGAGTGGTGCAGGCCTGCCCTCGTCACCAGCCGGCGCTCGCTGCTGGGGCGCTGGTTTGGGACGGGCTTGTGGCGCCGGTCTGCTGCAACGAGGAGCCGTCTGCTCGCCCGCCGTGAATGCGGCATGCCAGCACCTCCCCCCAGCAGCCAGTGAGCGTGCGTCCGCGCTGAGGCCCCCGGCCACGCTCGTCTCGTCGTGTGCATGCTCGACTCTCCAAGGGACTCCTCGCCGGTCCCAGCCTGCCTTGCCCAAGTCCGTGCGTGCCATTTTTATCCCACCCCGTCCCTCCTCGCTCACGGTGCACATTCGCATCCACGGCTTCACCTTCACTCTACCCTCTCTCCTTCCGCCGTCCTGCTCTCCGCCGTGCGCTCTGCAGTCCTGTGTGCGCCGCCGCTTGAGCCTCCTACACCGCGCCTGGCCGTTTGCTGTGTCCGCCGACGCCCTTCGTTACACCTTCCTCGCAGATTACTTAGCTGAACCCATCCTTCGACACTAAGTGTTGCGGGCTCTCCCCAAGCCTGCTGCGACACTCCTCTCATCTATCTCCTCCTCTCCACACGTACCCCTCACACCCTTACTATACACCACCATGACAACGGCTGTCGCTGCCCCCCCGGTCACCGCGCCGCATGCGCCCCCGTCGGTCGATGGCGTCGGCTCCGCCAGAACATATGCCACCATCGCGCCCTTAACTTCTTCACCTCACATCACGCCCAACTCCAAGATCTCTAAGCCGGTCAGCGACAATGCTTCACCTACCTCCAGTGACAGCTCCTCGCACCTGCACAGAGCGGAGGGCAAGCGCTCGCCACTTTCGTATGTCTCTGAGCATCCACTCCAATTCTTCCTCTTCTTCTACTTTCCGCCCCTCCTCCTCCCTCTCCATGTCACCACCCAGCCATGAAGTCACCTCTAATCGCAAGTCTGTAAGCAGGGCACGGGGTCCTCAGGCACCCAAGATAGTCGTCAAGAAGGAGCCTTCCTCGCCAGACCTTACCACCTCCCGACATCGACCACGCCGACTCGACCTCTCCGGCGGCAACAGCATCGTTCACTCGTCCGGCGCCCTCACTGCCCGTCCCTCCGCTCCCCTTACCTCCAAGGACAGTGCAACAATGCAGGACGTCGGCCTCGCCTGTCTGTCTCCCGGCTTTCACACCCAGGACCCCACCATGCGTGAGCAGCTTCAGAGGAGTATCGAGATGCGGGAGAGGCAGAGGCAAATTATCGAGGCACGCCAGAAGCACGGCAAGGGCGGGAATCAGGACGAGGATGGAGGACGGCATGCTGACATGAACCCATTCGGCCAGGGCATGAAGACGCCCACCACCTCTCGAAGGAAGGGACCTCCCCCAGGTCTCTCCATTGCGCCGCCTTCTCACCAACAATTTGCCAACGAGCGGGTCATCCAGTCTGCGCCAATCAACCAGTCCTTCACCGGCCTGCGCAACAACGTCCCGCCGTCCCGTCACGTCGCCAACGGCCCGTCAAACCTGTCACAGACTTCCCATATTCACCACGTCCCTGCAACGCAAACAAATAACCGACTGCCACCAATCTCCGATGTCTTCCCCGGCGAACCTCTTGGTGCTCCTCGCAGCCATTTCAACAACAGCCCCGGCCATTCGTCGCATTCAAACCACCAGCCGCCGCTGCCGTCGCCGAGCGGGTACCCACCTCACCCCCAACAGCAGCAACCTCCGCAGTCTGCTCGCCCACGTGAGTACAAGTCCGCTGAAGAGGCTGTTCACTCACTGTCTGGTGGGCGTGAAGACCTCTTACCCCGCATTGTTCACTATGGTGGCCACCAGCCCCCGACTCCACCGTCGCCGATGCCGAACAAAAATGCATCACAGGCTTACCCACCGAATGCAGATCTTCATCGCAGTGGAAGCTCGAGGAGACGAGGCCGAGATGAGTATGAGCGAGACATGGGAACGCCACCACTCGGACGTCAGCAAGCGAGACCCGGGCCATTCGGCGAGGGTCGTGATACCCCCGAGACACAGCGAAAGAAGAAGGAAGAGTTCATTCAACTTTGCGCAAGAGCCTGGGATCTATTCCATTCGTGAGAACAGTCAACCATCGCTTCGGCCTTCTCTTCCAGTACTGCGATTGCTTTGTAAGGCGGACTATATCCCGGAGTGTTTCGTTGGACAAGGCGTGTGTTTGGAGTTCGGAATCGGCCAATCAATATCTATGTGACGGGCCCTCGCTTGCATGCACTTTGTTTTGTTTCGTTTCTTCTCCCTATGCTTGTGGACTGGACCTTCTACTTTTTCTCGCGAGATCCAGCCGCATTACCCAACGCATTACCCCCTTTAACCTCCTTCCTCTATTCTCGCTATACCAGCGCGCGCGCACCTTATTTCCTTCGTATGTCACTGCAAAAAAGCGCCGGCAAATTAATAGGGCAAGGGGACCGATATCCAATTTCTCCATTTATTGTTTCTTTTTGACATCCACTTCGATTCTTCTCTTACGTCTCTCCACGAAGAAAGATGAAAGGACAGCAAAGGATTCTGATGTTGGTCACGCGCTCCATGATACGTTGAAAAATGTTTGTGTTTGAAACGTACCAAGTCTCATTCACGTTTCTTCCGTTTTTGGAACACAACAGCAGCGTTAATCCTTAACCTGTCAACAAATATCTTTTCTTGGAAGGATGTATGTTTATATTACAGCCTATTTTAACTTAGGGAGGCATGTGTTTTCTTCATCTCATTTGTTCTATCTACCAGGAGGCTAGGGGAGGGATTCTGCGGATATGGATGTGATTGCATGGTTTGTGGTTGGATGGCACGGCAGGGATTTATGGATTTTCTGAGTGGATGATGAATGGATGGATGGGTGGAATTGTGAATGAGCTGTGGAAAGGGGGGAAGGCGGTGCTGCGGCACAGCAATACCAAAGTACAGGTAGTGTTAGTACTACTCCGACGACAAATGAGAATCCAGTAACTAAATGCAGATGTTTAAGCTTCATCATGTATTTTGCAGAGCTGTGCCGGCGCTGTCGTGAGAATATTTTTGGTCAATGCAACAAATTTTGTTGTTACGAGGATCGCAAGGATCTGCGAGATTTGAAACATACGGGACACAGATCGTCGTTAGGATGAAACGGCCACTTCATCAACAGACAGACGGCCGGACAATAATACTTCTTATTTTGAGTCACCGGCCGGAAAACTGGGATACGAGTGCGAAACAAGATAATGCAGTCCAAATGTCCGTTCCAATAACTTTAGTCAACTAGCTGGGCTGAAGCTGTGGCGGCGGATGCACCGAGTTCGTGTGTATCAGCGTGGCGCGAGCCCGGACTGCACCGCCACGGGGAATCCGAGGACACTGTGCACTGACTATTGATATCCCTAAATCCAATATTTGCACAGCCACTAACTGGTGGTCTTGGTTACGCTCATTGTCAATGTCATTCTCCGCTTCATATGTAGAAGTTTTGCCTGACTCCGATGTTGCAGCTCGCTTGCAACACAGCAGCAATCCTGCATATGTATTTCTAAGAGGTCATCAATCGATTACTGCCCGCTGACATGCATCGCATATGACCGATTCTCGGATTTCTGTCTGTTTCTGGATTGGATTGGAGACGCTAGCTGTGCATGGAAGGCTGCGATGCGTGAGAGTGAGCGTTGCGTTACACACGTGGTTGCGAAGCGAAGTGCCTTATCACACGTAATCAGGTGCGTGGAGGGACTGGACAGGGAGGGGAGCGTATCGATAATGCAAGCCTGATCAGATGGAAGGGATGGTTGTAGATCGCTGTGGTGGAGCGAGGGGTTCCGGGGGTGTGGTTCGGGTTGGGGATCGGCGGGTTATTGTGGGGAGGGAATATGGATGTCGTGGAGGGAGAGTGAGGCAGGGCGGAATAGCAAATTTTGAAATGCTGAGTGTGTGGTAGAGGAGAATGTGCTGAGATCCAGTGCTAGTCCCAAAGGGTGTGCTGGGGTTGTAGGCATATGTTTTGACGTTAAGTTCAGTGCAATAGCATATTCAGTTATCACTAGGCTTCCTGATAGGCCTGTCCTTGCTGATAACGCATCGGAGATTCTCCTTCGACGGTAGGTGTTTCTTAAACAAAATGTTCCAAAACACTCCCCCTTGACAGAACGCGCAGTAGCTTCACTTTCGGAACATGCTGGCGAGAAATAGATTTGCCAGCTTATAGTTTCCAGCTTTCACTGCAGCCTTGACACACTCCAGGTTCGCCCTCACTCCATGATTGATCAAAAACTGGACCATGGACTCCAGGCCTTCTTCACTAGCTCTCCGGAGAGCCTCCTCTCCACTTGCCTTCAGGCTTGCGCCTCTCTTAAGCAAGAATAGGCACATTTTTGTATGCTCAAGCAAGACAGCACGAACAAATGGCGAGTCTAAACGGTTCGTATCTAGAGTCCGAGGAGGCTTTGGGACACGATCGACCTCGGCACCATGATCTAATAGCATGCGCACAATACCAAGGCAACCAGAGCTTGAAGCATGCCAAAGGACATCATCGTCCGTAGAATTTGGATCTGCACCTCGGGATAATAACAGCTGCACAGTTTTTTCGTTTGTGCCAATCACTGCTCGACGTAATGCATTCCAAGGCCATCGGGGATCTGCTGGATCTGGATAATGACGAGACGGGTAGTGTGTTTGGTCCCTTGGAGCAACGTTTGACTGAAGGACAGCGCCCGCATCAAGAAGATTTTCTATGATATCTGTCCGGGAGCTATACCTGGCCACATCGTCCAACAATTCGCTTATGTCTATTTCGGGGGTATCACACAGAATAGGATATCGCTCAGAATGACGTTCTCGGAGGAGCGAGTATAGTTGGAAGGGGAAGTCGGCGACTAGGCTCTTCATCGTACCAGAAAGCAAGCCATTCTCTATGGTATGGGAGCTAGAGATGAAGTTGACTGGACCAAAATCCAAAATGTACTGGATGTTGTCAAGGCGACCTTGACGGACAGCACCAGATAAGGCTTCTTCTCTCTTTTCGTCAAGCCTTCTGAAGGTACTCTTAAATATAATGGAAAGAGTAGTATGGTCCCCATACTCTCCAGCTAGAAGAGAAGGGGTACCAAGCACATCTGTGCTTATTTTTGGGTCTAGGATGGTTGCGGGTGTATTGCTAGCGTCCAAGATCTTTTGCACAACCCGAGGACATCGGTTGACTATGGCAGCTTGGAGAAGATATCTTGGGTTCTTGACATCATCGGCATGGAAAGGCCTCCGGCACCTACGCTCATGTTCTAGTAAACGATACGGTCGGTAACACATTGCGGTAACAAAAACTCGCAATGTGTTGTCGTCCTCTCTCCCGGTTTGCTCGCAAAGATATTTTGCGATATGGAGGATGATGTTCAAAGAGCCCCATTTCGGATCTCTATTGACAGTAATTTTATGAACAAGATACGATCGCCAGAATTGGATGTGCCAAGTGTCATGACTCCGCTTGAGACCTTTGTTCTCCACTAGATCTTCTAGGAGGTCTGTCTGATAGAGAGCCTGCAAGACCTCGGTTGCAAAGTATGCTGAAGGTGAGTTAGCCGAGTAACGTATTCATGCAAGGAAACTCATACGATTGATCAGCCTTAGTCTCAAGCCGCGCTTGATTCCACGAACTTTCACTGCATGTACGAGAATCTCGCGAATAATCTCTGGAGGCAGATCTATGAGCTCCATAACTGCGCCGAGCCAGAATTCTAGTTCGGTGATGTAGGTGATTTACGGATGGGAGGTGGAGTCAAAGGAATTCGGCTACCATTGCGAGACGCGCTAGCTTTATTTGGTTCGCGACTTTTAACAACAGTTTGCACTTTACTAGTCATGGACTTAACGGGGGACATGACATGGAGAATTTATAGTAGAGGTCTGCGTCCTGACGTTCTGTTTAATATCAGCAAGAGGTATATTCCATTAAATCTAGCCTGCCACTGTTCTGCGGTAGATATGGTGAAGATTAGGGGAGTGCTCATGAACTATTTACCAAGTACGCCTAAATGTCCCCTAGGGTTGCTATTGTCATTATTCGTAGACCATTATACCCGCTCTCACAATTATTCGATCAGCCCTCCTTCTATAATTGTCGACGGCTTGGACTATCTTCTTCGTTAGCTTACCGATACAACACTCAACTTATGACATACCATAGTAATCTCAGCTGAATCGAATATTCCCGTCATGTCGCCATATCTACCTGCACGAATATTCAGCAGCTTCTTGCGGGGTCAAAACCATTGCCATTTACCATATAAGCAGTCTCAGGTGCCACAGCGTTGAACTGCCTGGAATTCCTCATACCAGATTCTTTCCAGCGCTGATAGAACAGCCCTTGCTCTGGTCAACAAGGCGCTTCGAGATTTCATCTTCCTAACTCGGTGGAAGACATTTATTACGACTTCATTCCTATAGCACAGAAAGCTATAATTGATCTCAACCACCCAAACGGCAACATACTTCGATATATCCAAGGCGTTTATCTTCAAATTCCCCCCGGAAGAGATTCTGATAACCCCAGAACGGACAATAATTTGTCGCTACTTCTTTGCACAATTCCAATGGTAATCTGAAGTGGTTCATACCTGATGCGAAATAACCATACATTGCGATTCAAATTCTCCACCAGATTTACTCAGAAATCCAAGATCTCTACTTGTAATTAGACGGTAAAATTACCCCGAGTAGCCACCTGTGCCTCTGCAGTCAGGCCATTACATTGTTAGCCTAACCTGGAGAAAACTCAAGATATCTACTTTTAGAGAGATGCCATAGGCTTGAATACCTGTGATTCGGCAACAATGACCTTGAACAACTCATACTAGTTGACAAGGATTGCTTTTGTCTTGAAACGGAAACGGAGTGGTCTCGTCTCATGAAGTTACAGAAGCTCAGAATTTCTACGCTAGTGTCCTCTACTGACTTTCAACTAATGTTTCGTTGCACCAGATATGCCAGCTATTCGAAAATTCTCAATCAGGAACTGTGTGAATTTATCCCATCTGGTAGAGGTTCTGACATGAAAGTTTCCAGTTAGAACGAAAGTGAATTGACTTCTGTTACTGTACAGTAAATAAGGCTATAGTTACTGCAGTAACTGCCTATACTAATTAATTTCTTAGTGTTCTAGTAACGCGCTCGTGGAGGACGTTTTTGCGCGTAGTAGTATAGGGGCTACTGTGGAATAGGAGGCACGCCTGGCAAACAAGCTGCAGCAGTACATTAATACTGCTTAATCTAATCTCCTTGTTGCAGCTAAAGACAACATAATCTATAGAGGTCCACTCGCTTAGTGGCATTAAATTAGGAGTAAGCACTATCTAACGCTGTATAAGATGGCTATTAACTTACTATCTATCCCTGCTACAAGCTGTAAGTACTTTAATTAAGGCTCTGCAACTACAACGCAACTAGATTGCTGTTTACTTAGAGTTAAACAATCTCCGCAACTAGCCCTCTAGAGCCTCTAGAAACACTGGTTACTGCAGTAACTGCACTAAACAGTAGCTTTACAATTAATTGACTTAGCAGTAACTGTTACTGCCTGTAAGGCCGTTTTGATTCACGCTCTCTGTAATAACGAAACTCTATTGCTGCTAGGAACGCCCTAAAAACACTATTTACAGTAACAGTTACGTTCTATTAAACACAGTGCAACAGAAACTTCAGGCACTGACCAAATCTAGGTGAACTAACACCTACGAGACTAACGTTCAAGGCTGTATTGGCGTCGTGGATACATTCCTCAAGCTATTCCATGGGGTTTCGAGAGGTTTCGAGAGGTTTTTCTTCACTACCAGAACTCCAAGCACTTAACCCTCCTCCACAAAGGGGGAATTCTCCACCACGGAGCTTCCTTTTGATTCCCCTTTGTGCAGTCGGGTAATCGAAAAGTTGTCCGCGAATGCTCATATCCAGTGCCATCGTCCAGTATCCTGCCAAGTGTGGTTTCAAGACCAACCTATTTGCTCTTTCCTCTACAGGGTACATAGAAAAGTCAATGCACTCAAGCCCAAACGACCATATCTGGCCAAATTTGTAATCTGTTTGGGGTTGAGCGAGTGACATTTTGAGCAGGAAAATCGCAGTGGGGCGACTAATTACAGCTTGGGAGTAAATTTTCAGGAGTTTTTAATTCTGCGATATTTGGCATATTGATGGATAGTTGAAAGAACTAGGGAGATGGGTTGCGTTGGAGCAGACTCAAATATGATCCGAGGATGTTCAGCCGGGTGTCTTCTACGGGTAATTAATATACAACTAATTTACTCACTTACATCTCACTATCCTTTTATATCTGGTATGTTGGACGGGGCTGCTAAACCGTGGTGTTTGAGAGGGTATGTCATGGAAGGATTGGTTGCTTGGATAAGTCATTCAAGTCTTGCGACTAGATCTTGACACCTAGAGTCTAGAGAATTCCATCTATATCTAGATTCTCCCCAAATCGTATTAGTGAAATGAATAACTTATCATTAGAATATATCGTATGCCCTCTTTAATTTTTGACAGATTTTATGCACGTGGAGGTGATGTTGAGTTTGGACGATATGGCGGGGGTTCAACCTTAGAAGAGAAGCAGATAAAAAGTTAATGGAAGGTCTCTAGGCATTCTCAATGGCCATTAGACTTCGCGAGAGAAAATCCCAAGAGAACGGCAATGCAGAAGTGGAGTAGATTCACCTGAACTCTCCACTCCTCCAGTCACCTTCACTAAACATTATCACCCAGTCAACCCTTCCACGACCTCCCAAAGCGCGCAATCCGGAGCAAATCTTTTCCGAGCCAAGGCAGTCAGTGATGTTGACGCTAACCTAAGTACACCATATTCTAATCCTCGCTGGCACTATCCTTCTCTAACAGAAATGGCACCGCGTCAATATGCTACCCGCAGCCGCGCAAATCGCGGTGGCGGTCATCAAGAGCAACTCAGCGTCTCCAAACCCACCTCTTCCAAAGCTGGTATAAATGCAAATGCAGCTCCGCCTCCACCTACAGCGCCTGCACCACCTACAGCTCCAGCTTCACGCTCCAGTCAGATCAGCTCGGCCAAACATTTCATTCAGACGACTGGTTGGCACCGAAAGTTTCAACAAGCTCACAAGAGACTCAAGGGCGTTACGCTCTTCCACATCGAAGTCGAACAAGGTGGACGTACTTTCCCTGTATCTCGAGAGGAGCTTGGGAAGGACTGCTGGGGCAAGGTAAGTCTCGCTGCTACAACAACAACAGCATAATGTACATTTCACTGACATATATGTCTCGCAGAAGGTTTGCCAGGATATTCATGCCCACGGTACTCGGCTAGCCAATGTTCCAGCTCACATCTTCAACTATTATTCTCTCTGGCTCTGGGATCTTCCCTTCTTCCCAACTCCGAATATGGATAAAAACTTCTTTCAGATTGCGTTGAACAATTCCAACGAGCGCACCTCGAACGCCATCGTCGAAGATTACCCAAAATTTGGCATGGCAGAGATGGCAAACTCCAGCCTCGACAATACCGGGAAGTTACCCCCGGTTGGACGTGAGCTCTTCCGTGCGTACTTCCTCGGAAAAGAGCTCGGTGCTCCTGACTTTCGAGACGCGGTCATGAACCAAATTCTTCGCTCCTTTAGGCCGGACTTTCCCCCCCCAGTTGACTTCGTCCACGAGGTCTACAGCTACTCTTCCCCAGGCCTGACGGGTCTCAAGAAGTTTGTCGTTGACTATCTTATCTGGGGATTGGCTGCTCTTGATGGTCATGTCGCGCCTATGACCATTCAGACCGGCAGATTTCCAATTGGACAGCTTCCGGATTTGGGTGACTATCCAATCATGTTCGTTACCGATGTTGAGCATACAATGGCGGAATTGGAGGCCGGGCAGGATATTATTGTCAATTTCCAGAATGCATTTGCTTCGCTGAGGGATAATGAGGGAGCAAGGCAGAAGTGTCGATACCACCTTCATGACAGCAAATATTGTGGGAGGGGAGAGAAGGACGAACTCTGCTACGCTTATATCGTCTGATGTGGGTTTAGTCTGCTCCGCAGTGGGGAAAAGGGGTTGGCGAGGTTCTGGATAATGGTTGTAAGCTACCACCCTTTCAATGCATGATCATGTAGTAAAGGGTTGGCTTCAGACGGTAATGAAATACATACAATCTCACGCACGCGATCAAGGTCCTGTGATGCCTAGAATGTCACCTCCTCTGGTCAAATTATTCCGTATCTCTACTATGCTACCTAATATTCTTGCACATGATGCTGGAGATTCATGTCTCCTTAACCTTCAGTTACACACACACTCTCTCTCCTCTCTTAACGCATTTCTAACAATAGCCCCACACATTTTCGCATACGGATTTGTCCGGACACTCATTTCTCTCGCAACTTCATCACCAAACCTCGCCGCATTTTTGAAATCCAAGCTAGCTAGCTCCTCCAACTCTGCTTTACTCTTTCCTTTGAGATCATGGGATGATTCTGCAGCCTTGAGGTACAAATAGGCACGGTGGGAGTACGCTTGCCGCAGAATGCGAGCTTGATAGGGGGAAATGGGAGTTGATAGGGAGGGCGGTGAGGAAAGCCGTATGGCATGAAAAAGATCTGTGAAGAGGCGCTCGATGTTTGGATCGATGGCCGAGAAAATAGATGCATCTTTTGGCACTGATGATTCTAGTTTTATTCGAATGAGCATGGCGCGGTTAAGGTACGTGCTTGGATAATTTGGCCATTTCGTTGCGATTTTGTCCATCGTTTCTAACACATCGTCAATTACACCGTCTCGGGGCTTTGACGTCGAGGTAACCCGTCGTATGAGATTATTTTGCTGGATTTCGAGGACTGATAGCTGCGATGATGAGATGGTTGAATGGGGTGGTAACGAGGCATCGACTATCCATTGATCTTTCGAACGTGCGACAGAAGAAGGTAGCGTTTCCGGATCGAAAAGCGCGTGGAGGATCCGTGTGTCGTTGGAAGATAGCTTCATGTTCGGATTAGGAATAACCATGTTGAATGCGACGTAGCTAGTGCGTTAACGAAAGAATACTCTTGTGGTGATGCCCAAAACCTGGAATCTCAGAATAAATATCTCGCCCTCCTGCTAAATCACTGACTTTTAGTGCTGATAAACGTGAAGAACTCAGAACGGTGACGTTGAACGGCGCTCGGCTTGCGACGGGTGTTGTCGCTAGCACCGCCACATTTCCGCCTTCGTATTCCTCCTCCATCCGTATCCGGCCATCAAAGCCACACGCTCGACCAACCAGCACAACATTGCAAGCGGCAGCTTCAGGAACAGAACTGCTCGGCTTAGGCGTGTAGCTGTATGACGACCGTCATGTGGATTGTTTTGTAGGGGACGCGGAATCAGCAAGTGGAGCTGGTGGGCAGGATAAGAATGGAATAAGATCAAGGCCTCTAGAGAAAAGAAGCATAATATATCCTCTCAGCTTGAGGCCATAACATTTCACAGTTACGATTGACTCCTTGCCTAATCCTACAAATATCAAAGCGTAACATGGCTCCCTCAGCAATTTCCCCGCCCTCATCTCTAACTTCTCAACCCTCCACCTCTTCTTCTGACCTCCCCACGTACCGTGGTTACCACCATGTGCACTGGTACGTCGGAAACGCAAAACAAGCCGCATCTTATTATGTTTCCCGCTTGGGCTTTGAGCGCGTCGCATATCGCGGCCTCGAAACTGGATCTCGAGCTTATGCATCCCACGTCGTACGAAATGGAAACGTTACGTTCGTTCTGACATCACCGTTAAGATGTGTGGAGCAGAGCAATAAATTTGGAGAAGACGAGGGAAGGCTTTTAAAAGAGATGCATGCGCACCTTGAGAAGCATGGAGATGCCGTGAAGGGTAAGTTGCGACTCAAAGTGCTAATGAGGAACGGACACTAACAGGTCTGCCAGACGTAGCCTTCGAAGTCGATAACCTCGACTCAATTTACACGGCAGCGATATCAGCTGGCGCCGAATCCGTTGCGCAGCCTCACACTCTCTCAGACAAGTATGGCGACATTCGATTAGCTACGATAAAGACATACGGTGACACGACACACACACTCATTGAAAAATCCAACTACAACGGAATCTTCCTACCCGGATATCGGGACGAATGGGCACGAGATCCTCTGGCAAAGTTTCTTCCCCAAATCAAGCTTGAGGCAATAGACCACTGCGTCGGAAACCAGGACTGGGACGAAATGGAAAACGTTTGCGACTACTACGAAAACGTTCTGGGCTTCCATCGATTCTGGTCCGTTGACGATAAAGACATCTGCACGGAATACTCCGCGCTTAAGTCAATAGTGATGTCTTCTCCGAATGACGTCGTCAAAATGCCCATCAACGAACCCGCTCACGGGAAAAAGACCTCCCAGATCGAAGAATACGTCGACTTCTACGGTGGTCCAGGAGTTCAACACATCGCGCTTCGAACCACCGATATTATCTCTGCCATTAGCAACCTTAAAGCGCGGGGCTTGGAATTCATAAAAGTCCCTGAGACCTACTACGATCAGATGAAGTTGCGGTTGAAGCGTGCAGAGATGGTACTGAATGAGGATTTTGAGAAGCTGAAGGAGTTGGATATTCTAATCGACTTTGATGAAGGCGGGTATTTGTTGCAGCTGTTCACAAAGCACCTGATGGATCGGCCCACAGTTTTTATTGAGATCATTCAGAGGAATAATTTCGATGGATTTGGGGCGGGGAACTTCAAGAGTTTATTTGAAGCGATTGAGAGGGAGCAGGAGGTGAGAGGTAATCTGTTGTGAGCGAGTTGCGCAAGGTTACAGCTTCCCAGTGCATGAAGGATCAGGCGAAAAGTAAATTGAGGCCTAGGACCAGATAAGGAAGATTGCATTACAAAATAAGCATCCTTTAACACCACCACTGAAGAGAATGTGTTATGAATTAAGAACAGCTGGATGCACATAAAACATATAGTCTCAGTGTCAAACTCACTCAACTTCATCGTTTAGATATTGACCCTTCAATAAATTGGAATTATCATGTTTCATCTAATCATCTCTCACATCGGCAAATTCCAGATGAAGTCCAAAGTTCCATCATCAAATCCCTGGAAGCTCTGTTGACTATCAAGTCCAAAAGGTGCCATCGATGGATCGAAGGGAAGTGCCAGCCAGTCATCATCCGGCATCAGGCCCGTAACATCTTCTGCTAGTGCTGCAATTCCTGACCCCCCAGCATTATGGTTATTTAAGAAATCCATGCCGGTGGTCGCATTTTTGTCAAGAGGAGCATCTCGTGGTGGCAAACGAGGGGGTCGAGAGGATACGATAAAGCTATCTCGAAGACGAGCAACATGTACTTCGAGAAGGTTGGCATAACGAGACGCGAGGTGCATATCGTCTAGCGTGCTTGAGCGCATAGCATGGATAGCGCGGTCGAGAATGTCAAGCGAGGATTGCAACTTGGCGTTTCTCACTCCAAGGCTGAGTCCTTTGATGAGATAGATTGAGGAGGTTGTGATGCGAAGGAAAATCCGAACAGGAGAATACCGCAAGGCCCCCGACTCGGCGAGCTGGCTGACCTTTTGAAGAATCTTGCGACTGCCATCAACGACCTCAGATATGAAGTCGTAATCCCTTGGCTCGATCGTCATTTGGAGTATATCTTCTTGAGGACCATCGGGATCTGCCTCTGCAAGTGTGCGTTCAACCACAGCTTGCATGCCGAGTGAGTTGGTATATATCCTCACATACTCGTATTCGATGGTGAGCATGTCGTGCAGACCAACCTTGAGTTCTATATCACAGTTAGAGTATAGTATCTACAAGAAATGAGGGCTGGACCTACTGCAGGGGTCAAGGTATTTCCTCCTCCATGTTGTTAATAATGGCTGGAAATGTTCCAGGAGCCCAATATATCGACCGCTTCGCAATAGGTTGCGAGTGAAGGCTGCAGAAGGATACACTGTGTCAGAGACGGATCTCGCTAATTTGGTGAGTTCAACCCAAGCACTCATGAATGATTGCCATTGCTCTACAGCTCCGGTTGTAGAGTCGACTGGGATCTTCTCCATCAATGCATGGTTGAGGCTTTGTGGGATCATTGACGTGCACCCTAGTCTCCAAGAGAGCTGCTCAATGAAAACAAACAATAATTTCCGTGCTCGAATGCGGCGCAGAACTAGGTACTCGGTGGAGAACTTGGGGTATGAGACATGGTCTTTCTCCACATTGCTATTGTCTTCGAAAAGGCCTAGCTCTTGAGCAAGAGACAGGGCACATCCCATTAGCATCCAGGACATCCGGTCGGATCGTTTAGCAGGCTCTATGACATCCTCAAGCCATCTATTTGGCGTGGAATCCCCTTCGAGGATTTTAGCGCCTTCTGCGGTATGGTTATTAATCCCAATCATCAACTCGCAATCCCACCCATCACTCGCCGTAGGAAAGTGGAGCGCTCTTGGATGCCACTCTGAGAGGAGAAGCAGTGCTTCGATTGATCCAATAGTCCGAGTTTGCGCTTTGGAGGGTTTGACTTGCCCCAGCATAATCTTCATGATGAACCTTTGGCATTGCTCCCACAGCCGGTCATGTACAAAGTAGCCACGAGAGGCTCCACCAACTCCAGGCAAGATGTTATAACGGGAGGAAATCATAAGAATCGTGACACACAGGAAAGGATCGAGTGCGATCAGTGAGTAATGGTTCGAGTGATGGGAGTAGAAATCAGAAAGAATTGGTGATAGTGGCGAACAATTCTTGAAGAAGAGATCAACGTATGTGACCGCCTCATGAGCAGAGAACCACCCCATCTGCACATAACGGCACGATGTCCAGATTTTGAGAGTTTCTGGGGAAGGTTGAGACATTTGTACAGGCTGAGCCTTGAATGTGAATGGCGAAGAAGGATTTGGGATGGATGGCCCAGACCGTGGCGTCTCGTACGGCTGAGATCCGCTTGCTCCAAGATCTTGAGAGTCGATGGCATCTCGGTGATGCGCCGCCTCGAAAAGTAAATTGAGTGCATCATTACCGCTAGACACCACTGTTCTCATGACAGAGTTCGCCAAATCTACAGGCTGAGATGTTGATATTCGACGCAACCTTGCCGGAGGGGAGAGTATGGACTCATGATCCGACCTGTCAAGGCCATGGGGAGTATCAATTGGTGTCACCACATGTCCTGAAGCAGACAGTCTGTGCATTGATGGTTGCTGGGAGCTAGCATTCCCAGTGTCATTTGACGGCATCCCATCCGGACGGGCAGCTGTGTCTGCGTTCTCTTCGGCGGATGCATTCTCACTAGGCTTGCGTCTCTTCACCCAGGATCGTTCCGACCTGAAGACACACTCTCTCATTTCTCTCCTACATCGTTGGCATGGCGGTTTCAACTCACTTCCATCAGGTCCCGTGCCTAAGATGCACTTCGCCTTCCTTTGTCTGCAATTGATGCATGCTTTGTAAGCGCGCTTAAAGTCCTCTGGGTGGGTCCGTTTCCGCGAGACCGAAACGGTATCCTGAGAAGGGTTTCCAGAGATTTGGTCGTTCTCTGGTTGGGGCATGGTGGTGTCGGTATCTGGTGACGTCGGGCCTCTGAAGGAAGCGTGAGGATAAACCAGGGAAGTGGAGGAGTCAGCGGAAAACTCTGAGCCGAGGTCCTGCCCGCGAATTGCCGGCCGCCACAGCAAGCCACACACGTGACACACACCATCTCTGTTTGAAGCAAGAAATGCAGAAACGACATTCAAATCGAGATGTTTGCTCTTTAACCCTTGTTCCTAGAAACGCACCGGAAACATTTGGACCCGGATGCAACAGAGATTGGATCTGCATGCAGGGGCGGACGCACGCGCGGAGGACCCCGTGGGGCTGTGCACAACCTACAAACTGCCCAATGGTGGATCCATTCATCAAAGTTTGTTTCCTCGACACTCTGAGAACTAAACAAGCGGTAAGAGAATGGGATGGGATCCTTGAGTAAGTTTTTTCTTCGTCCGCCCCAAGCTCGTGACCTTGAAATGCAGATTTACAATGAGATGGATGGCCGGCAAAGGTGCACGTCTTCACCAAACAAGCAAGTTATCAGCCAACAGGGCCCTAACCCTAAGGTCGCATTAACTGGGGTGAAAGGACTAGAAATGCTCATTAAGTAAAACTAACGTAATGTGTTCCTGCCATTCCATTTACATTGATTGAACTTCTATTCTCACCGAGGCTCTCCAACATTTCATCTTGCCCTTCTCCTTTAGTGCAGCACAAGCCGCTCCCTTTTGTCTTCTCAGTCTAAGAAGATCTCGAGTATTGCTCTCTTTGGCGCCTTATCGAATAAACTAGCTTGAATCTTCCTCGTGCACTCTTCGAACTATTGTCGCTAACCTCTTTTTATTTGATTGGAGACCTCTTATCCGCGCCGGAGCAGTCGACGTGCATTTTTGCATTGAACCGGCAGAGGGCTGTAATTTGACCGTTTGATTGATAGGGGGGTCTGAAGAGTGACAAGTCTGCGCTGGTGATCTTTTTAACGTCATAGTATAGTTTGGCTTTGGCTGTCTTTGTTACGTGGGAATTCATTGTAACCGCTTTCTATTTTTTATTAGTACCCAAGTTGGTTTCTTTGCCTTCTCTGTTTTAGTCTCGTACCAAACTGTGCCGCTGTTCGAGTGGCCCGTTTTGATCCACTCTTGAGCCTTCAAATCTGTTTTGTGCTAGGTCTTGATGCCGGCTTGCTGAGGGTTGGTTTGACCTTTGGCCAGTTGTGGTGGCCGTGCTAGGCTAGCTAGTCAATCCTTGGGAGATTTTGATAGGAGCCCTCGTGCAAACTTTGAAGCAACTCCAATTACTTCACAGAGTTCTACCAGAGAAGTAGGCCACGGTAGAATATATACACCTTTTCCAGCAGCGAGAGCATTCAATATCCGAGCAGCATTAGTGATGAATTGAGACTGCAAAAGTGGAGTTGCTCTGGCCAAGCGCATTGACTCGACATTCATGAGCATGTTTTCAAGCCCAGATGCCATCTCGATGGCGTTAGTAATCGAAATATCATCTCGGTGCAAGTCTTTGGAAGCAATGTGATGCAACCTATTCTTTAGTATGCTTTGCATTATTTTCCGATGATCTTCTCGAGCAGTTTCTTAAACATCCTGAATACCTTATCGAAGCGTCTACATACATTTCTGCGAGGTGGTAAACGCTGTAGTTTCGATAAATTGCCCATCATTGGAGGAACAAGGCCGGTCCCCAATCCGAGCGTTGATCCTCCCCAGAACTACCAGTCGGCATTGTGGGTTATTAATAGTGTCTATCGGAGGTTCTTAATCTAGTCAGTTCTATAATTTTAGTGCCTAAGCCTAAACTGGCTCTAGTGGCTAGTACATTGCATCGCGTTGCCACCGGGTCTTTGTGTGTGTTGGTAATGCCGGCCAGCATTGACCCCCCAATTGTCGCTCCCAGAATTGCTCTATTATTGCTGTCCCAGTTGTCTTCAGATCAACCCGGAGAGGAATTTTTAGCGATCAGACGTAGCCCACCCATTAGTGGCAGTATTGCTGTTAAGCTCTGCGAAAACTCCTTTGAGGACGAGCATTTTAGCTAAAATAGGGTACAAGGAACTATCGGCCTAGGCAGTGAGATTCAACTAAACCGTAGCGGCAGCGGCACTGTGATTGCTATTGATGTGATGAGGGTGTACAAAGAGGATCTGCAAAACGATCCCATCTTGGAATTCAAAAGTTTACGACCAAGAACAGTGCTGGGAAGCGAGTGCTGGAAACGAGTGGTGGGAAGTCAGTAGCGGTGTCCGATCCACTGAATCACCTTTAAGTATTCGATCCTTTAGATCTTGAGTTACTATTTCATCGTGTTCCATAGTTCCATACCTAATAAATGCGTGCGAATGCGCGACATGGATTTGCCAGGAGAGTATAAAACCGTGGGAAATAGGGGAGTTATGGATACCCCTTCCTGGAAACCCTCTCTAAATTGTGAGAAGACCTGGCTGAGTCCCTTTCGAGCATACTGAATAGGGTTGATTTACTATAGAATAAAGATATTGTTGGTTTGAGGACTAGATAAGGGAAGTTGGAGTGTATTAAGTTTTAAAACTTTACTAGCGGCCCTCTTGGCCAAAGCCTAGGAGTTGATGGTATGGCCGTGGCATAGTTAAAGAAACCTTATCGGTGTGGGAATGCACGTATAGGTGGCATTTACTTCTGCAATATCCTATACCCTCTACAAAGGAGACAATTTACGAATACCAAGTGCAACAGCCGGATGTTTTGGGGTTGTGCCCACAGTTGTCACAGCTACTGTAACTATCGTTACTAGACCCACAGCGGCAGCAGTCCCAGTGGCCTTCGTTGACCGTAAAAGAAGATTCTGCAACACGTCGGTTGACTGGGGCACTGCTGGTGGATGGGATCGGCATCGGTGCTAGGGCTGGCTTACAGAAAAAGGCGCTATAGCTAGATTGCTTGTCTATGACTGCTTGATATACAGTGTATTGTAGTAGGTTTGTTTTGTGGTATGTTCTGGCTATGTAGGGGTGCTGGCTGTTCTGATTTCTTAAGTCTGTTCCTTAGAGGGGTTGAAATATTATTTTCGAGTACTGCTGGCACACATTGTTATCAGCCGATATTGGACAATGTAGGTTGGCATGTATCATGACTCTAGAAGATCAAATGCGTGCTCGATACCCACAAGATTAAAGGAGTTGTGTATGAACGATGCAACCGAATGGGTGATCACAACACGATTATTCGAACAAAACTGGGCAAAGTAAAACTGCCACCAATTCTAAACCCACTTGTCCTTTAAGGTAGGTTTTGTACAAGAATTTATTGTAAATTTACTTAAGAAATTGGATTTGGGGGGTGGGGGAACGGGAAGCAGCCTTTCCTCTTGTTCCCCAGCTTATCTGCTGCGGATAAAATAATGATCAGCTCTCCGCCACGACATGTCTTTCTAGCGTGGAGAGTCAAGGCCACAAGCAGTAGTACTGCTTGTATAAGTTCGACCTTGAATGCCACCATAAATTCAATAAGCGCAAATGGCTGAAGAAAAGACACTGAGGAGAGAGAATTACGGGAAGTGGTCACGCGGGAGCAGGAGAGCTCGTACCATGCCTCGAGATGATGGGAAATAGTTGCAGGGAACTGAACAAAGGACGATTCTAAAATATATATTAGATATTGAGTAGCCCTTAGAATCTCTAAAACGCCAAACTAGTAATGTAGTGGAATCCAACCTGGACTTGCCAAAGTGGGCTGTGGAGTTACTCAGAAAAAACAAAAGAGTATTGCTTAGACGTTGAGATCCGGTTTTGGCAGGCGGTGAGAGCTTGAAAATATATGTCGTGTACCAAGTGAGCATTGAGTGACTGGCCGCGTGTTCACGGTATGAAGTGTCGTCGTCTTAAACTTGTTGTCTTACGTCAAGGTCTTTTCTTAGGCCTGAGGCTCGTGCTCCACCACACGAATCAGCATATGTCTTAGCGCGAGTGCTCGATCAAGTTAGTGACTATTCATTTTGGACGCCAAACACTAAATGTACCATCGTGCTTGTAAAGCTGTTTCAAGTCTGTCAAGTCATATGTTCGGCAATTGAAGAATGAAATCTGCTGTGCAATGATTCGACGTCGAAAGATACACACGTAATGCATTTGATGTAATTGGTGGGTCCACGAGGTGCGGCAAAGTTTGCTGTTTTGGAGCCGTCGCAAGAACAAGGCGACGATGAAACCATAAAGGTTCTGCAGATCAAGAGCAAAGCCAAGCCCAGGAGGAGAAACTCAAGAGAACCTCAAACTTCTTGTCTGATAAATGCCTTCCTTTCCATTGGTGCAATAATCCAACAAAACGGGTTCCCGTTGCATGCCGAGTGGCAAGCCATGGCATACATACTTTCCTCAAACAGCCAAGTGCGCAGCCAGCATCTGTTAAGATTCCACAAAATCATGCATCTAATAAATCTTATCGGAAAGTTGCATCTCCGCTGACTTCTTGAACGTTCGGGATCTCCAACACCGAAACCGGGAGTGCGCAGCTCCCGGGAAGCTCTTCTGTCGTGAGCCGCTTTCTACCATAATGAAGACAATATAAAAAGGAGGCTGATCCGACCCATGGCAGATCGTGCATCAGAGGGCCTTCACACCCTACTCTACCTTACGTCTACAGCGGAGCTCTGCTGAATTATCGTCGGATTTACGATGGCGAACCTCTGCCTCTTCATCTTTTAACTGCCTTAGGCAAACCTCTCCCGGATTGACTTTCTGCGCCGTCGATGGGAACCTTGTCAGAATACTGTGAGAGTAATTCAAGGCCAAACCTTGAAGAATGGTCACCACAGTCAACCAGGATCCTACGGCTACAGCGTATCTTTCCGGGAGAGCCGCCGAGCAAGACGCTTGATTCGGAATCAAGAGATTGAGGTTGGAACGGCCACCAAATTCTCTAGCCAGATGTGGAATATTGGTCGATTTGGTTGAAGATACTCATTTTGGAAGGCAGAAGCTTACTCAGGTATTAGCAGCAAATCAAAGTCGGGGGATTGATGATTTGGGTTCTTTTCACAGCCTTGGAATTTGGCGTCCTCAATGTAGCTACTCATTTCTTAGGGCATTTTGATGCAAGGTATAAAATGGAAGCAACAAGAATCTGGGGAGGACAGCAGCCGAGTTGATAGGCAACGGAATTCATGGCATTACTGTACTAACCAATAAAGAAGGAATCGTTACCCCTTTTTATACTTTCTTTAATATTCAAAAAAAATAACCGTGACAAGACCGACACTCCGATAATGTACAGACTCCATTATATGGCAACGTAAGTCTACCCAGGCATCTGTACTGGATACTGAAAGCACCCCCACCATAAATCGTCACTTGAATGAAAGATTAAAAAAAAAAAAGGACGACCCAAGACGGCCAAGAATTCATCGTCCGGGCAGACGGTGATCTGGAAAACATTCTGGGGCGTGATGGAGTAAATGTTCCCTCTCAAGAACCCGACGTGAATCTGGTGTGACGGTTGTGATACGAGCTTGGCAAACGTAACCATCAGTGATGTCCTTTCAAAATGAGAGCAGAGGAAGCGAATGACATCTTTAAGCGAAAGCCCCCACGATGGACATACCAGCTGCGCCCATGAGAAGGTAGCAGAAGGCTTTGATTTTGTCCCTGGTGGTCAAAGTGTGGTTCGCTTCCTCGGAAAGGAAGTCCTCGGCAAGCAAATCAACAAGTGCGGCATAGAGTAGGAGACCAGAGGAAATTGCGTTGAATGCCCCGACCATGATTAAACCAAAGGCGCTGTTAGGGTCGTACGAGCCACGAGTAGCAAGGCCGAGAGCTTGGCCGATAGGAGCTGTTGTACCGAAGGCCACGACAAGTGCCCATGGCTTCCAGCTACCCCTAGGGTATGGAACGGCGGCAATACGGGAGCCGAGACCGAGGCCCTCGAACATCTGGTGGAAGACAATGGCAATGAGCAGGATGATGAATCCCTCGGAGGTGATAGAGACCGTCATGCCGACGAAGACAGAGTGGAAGAGGATACCACCCTCAATGAGCGTGATCTGCATGGACTGCTTCTTGAGAACCATGGGATCGACCGTGCCGTTCTCAACATCGTCTTCGAAGTACGACTTTTGCTGGTTGACATCCGGTTTAGAGGGTTGTTGTTGTTGGTTATATCCGGGAAGAGTCGGCATGACACGGTTGATCATATTGACCATTTCATCACGCTGGCGGACGTACTGCTCGTAAAAGACGATGAACCACGGTGGCATCTCAGATTTTGGCTCGAGTCCGTCCTTGGAGTCACTCAGGGGGAATCCCTTGTCAAGTGGGTACCTGGAAATGTTAGAATGCGTTAAAGCACTTATTGTTGGAATTGCTTACGTGGCCTCTACCCACTGTTTCTTATCATCACGCATGGCCATGGTCATTTGTGAATCGTAGCTATTTGTGCGCCTGAGGGGGTGGTTGAATGCTGCCTGAACCCCAGCGTTGTTCCTGTTGGCACCAAATTCGTCGCCGGTAGCACTACCATGACTATGTCCGCCGGTCTTTGCATTAAGCCACATCTCAATACAGAAAAGTACAAAGAGAGATCCCATCATAATGACACCGGGCATGGCTGGGTACTTGTCGGTAAAAAGATCTGGGAGACACGGATCATTGAGCGATGCGAAAGCCGTTGGGAGAAGCTGTTATATTTAGAGACTAGACCTTTCAGGGGGTCACTGAAAACATACATGAACGAAAGCCGTAGCGATGAGAACACCGGTACCAAAGTGTTTGCAGAAGAAGAAAACCTTTGGCGGGATGTTCATCCACTTGACCTTCTTTGCCACAACAGGGAAACCACAACCTCCGATACTGGCGAGAAAGACAATGACTACATATATCAGTTTGGCGTAGTGCCATTTGTAGCAGAATGGACTTACACACTGCCGCAACGTGCAGCGGAAAGTCGTAGTTGTCGCCGCTTTGCTCACTGCCACACTTGGGCTTTTCCATGGCGTCGGCCATTTTGAAGGGATATTAAAGAAGGTGAAAGTACAAAGGAATGAAGCCTCTATCTAGGACAGGCAAACTTCGTCGCCCGCGACGATAACAGAACAAAAAGAGGAAGGAAGAGAACGAAAAGGAAATCTCTTCCAGAGAGGGAAAGAAGAGAAAGATCACGAGGTTAAGTCCAAAGATGGAGCTCTTGGGGCTCGGCACAGGGCTATGGTCTCTGCTTTAAGGCTTTCATGACGTGGAATACGCTAGCTCATCCTGAATAATCGGCATGTCGCGAGAACGTCTAGGGTGGAGAAGTGATGGTAGTGAAGCTGTAGTCTGGGCTGGCTGGTGTCAAGAGAAGGTCCATGCCTCAATTCCCCGTCTTAGATGGAGCGTGATACGCAGAGAGTGGGGACAAGTCATTTCCAGGCAAGTGGACACTTGAGCCGAGCCAGGAGCCGTTGACTAAGGAGACGCATTGGGGTCAAGGCAACAAGGCTGGAGTGACAATGTTGGCATTGGTAGAAGAACTGTCAGACCTCCGAAATGGGTTGAGGCAGGGTAGGGCTGGATTGCCGAGCGCTACTGGGGATCTGATGCGGCTCACAAGAGGTCTTGGGCGAGTGGGGAGGATGACAAAAAAGAACCAATGCGACAGAAGGTATTGATGCGATTGTTGCTTGGAATGGAATGTTCTGCTGCAGTTTCGGTAGGAGGCCTAGCAAATCCAAATGAGGCGGGCCAATAGGAGAATATCAGAAGAGGGTGACATGAAGGCCAAGGCGGGAACGAGGTCTCCGCTGGGGAAGTCGAGGACGGGCATCGCACAAGCAGGTCTTGGCGGAGACCGGAAGCAGAGAGCCAAAACATGAAATGATTTGGGAGCAGTGTGATTGGGACCAGCAGTTTCGGGGGTGGGCGTACACGCAAGTTGAGCTAGGGCGCTGGCGGTGCGGCGCTGATCGTCGAGCATCGCGCTTGGCATGCGCGGTGTTGCAGTCTCGGCCAAGGCGTGCCTGTCCGCTTTTGGACTGGTGGCGTCGTGCCGGCAGATCTTGCATCTTTTGCTCCGCACCTGCAGCTCGCTTCATCTGCCACGCCGCTTAAACCTAGCCAAGTTGTTTCAAGGCTCCTAATGGGCACGCTTCGCTCGTTTGGAAAGCCGTCAACACTGCTCGTCACGATGCACCTGTATGCAAAAGTCTGCATCATGCTTTGCCGGCGGCCAGGGAAGCTTTCTAGCGCTGGCCTAGTGCCGTCACCCTATTTCGCCTCCCGTCGCTGTTTAATAGAATCCCATCCCGATACTGCCCTGGCTTCCTCGTCCATTCCAGGCATTCATACCTCAGATCCACCCACAGCTCCCCAGCCTCAAGACGGAGAACATGACTTCCGAACTTAATCGTGAGTCTCAGGTATCAATTCCCACGAACCGCTGCTCTGACCCTTATTTTTAGCCTCATCTCAGCCGGCCGACACAGCTGCCGACCAAACACTTGCACCAGTCAATGCTGGTGCTTTACCTGCTTCGTCACCCAAGTCATCAAGCCATTCCATTGTCACGGCTCATGAGCAGTTGGACACCATTTGCCCTGTCTCTCTCAAGGGCAACGCGGTCAGTGAATCTGCCAATGGGCAGGCCACCCAGGTGGCCAGCAACGACTCTGACCCTCTCGACCTTGGTCGACACCGTCGGTCTAATATCTCTCAAAGGCAGATGAAGATTGACCACCCCGCTGGCAACAAGAAGCATATGAAGAAATTCTACAACAGGCAGAACGCCCTCATTGATCAGTTTCTCCAGAGTGGTGACGAAGAAAGGTTAGCCGCCATTGACACATTGGAGAATGGTCCAAAAGTAAAATTTGCTGTGAATGCCTCATTCACGGTGAACTTCTGCCTTTTTGTCATCCAGATGTATGCTGCGGTTTCAACGGGTTCGCTGTCGTTGTTTGCTACAGCTGCAGATGCCTTCATGGATCTTGTCTCGTCGGTGGTTATGCTCACAACCTCCCGCATGGCCTCAAGGCCAAGCGTCTACAAATATCCTGTAGGGCGTACACGTATTGAAACAATTGGCATTATCATGTTCTGCTGTTTGATGACAACGGTCGCCATCCAATTGATTGTAAGCCTCAGTCGTACCACCGAACATCGTACGATGGCTGATGCGTGTTCAGATCGAATCTGGTCGTACCCTCGGTGGTGGACCCAAAGACTCGGAGCAGCTTCATATTATCCCACTAGTTTTTGTTGGAGTTGCTAGTGAGTTTCCTTTTTTAGGTAGTGCGGGGTTTTACTTACAGTTCTAGTATTCTCTAAGGGCTCCTTGTGCATCTACTGTTTCCTCTTCCGTCGCTACCCATCCGTACACGTCTTCTTCATTGATCACCGAAATGATATCGTGGTGAATATATTCGGCCTCACCATGTCTATTGTTGGGACTCGTGTCGCTTGGTATGCTGATCCAATCGGCGCCATCCTCATCGGAGTCCTGATATTGGTCTCCTGGGCTGCTAATGCTTTCGACAATGTTTGGCTTTTGGTGGGCAAGTCAGCGCCTAAGGAATTCATTTCCAAGCTTATCTACCTGGTCGTCACCCATGACAACCGCATCCGGAAAGTTGATACGGTGAGTGTTTCGAGTTTTGTCATCGCCATCCCTTTTGTCATCGCAGCGGCTGATCTGCAACAGTGCCGAGCCTACCATGCCGGACAAAACTATTATGTGGAGGTGGATATTGTCATGGATGAAGAAGCTCCACTCAAGGTCACTCACGATGTCAGCCAGTCCCTGCAGCGGAAGCTTGAAGGTGAGTTCCCAGTATATTACTTGTGGGCTCCCCAAAGCTCAGACTCACCCGTCACAGGTCTTGCCGATGTTGAAAGAGCTTACGTACACGTCGACTACGAGGACGAGCACGACATCAATGAGGAGCACAAACCATTATACGACGTTACCGAAAAGCGATCCATCAAGCAACGCGTTAAGGAGATGATGTCCTTCTCGAAGAAGGATGATGCCTGACCTTCATTTAACGCCGGCCGTATTTGAGACCTTATACAACACCTAGGAGTTTGGCAGTAGTAGCTAAAGCCTGAGAACCGCTTCGTGTCGGAAAGACTTTCACAAAAGCCATTAAGTGTATTCTGGAGGGACCATCGATTTGTACCTTTTATATTGCATTTTGTGCTGCCTCTAGACGCCGTCTCTATGCTCTACTTCAAAAGTTTAATCAAATCGATACCTTGGTGTCTCAGAAACCACAATCGGATTTTGAGACGATGAACCATATCAACGAAGCTTTGATTTACCGGATGCAAATTTACACACTCTTTCCGAACAGAAGTACTGCCGTCTCTCCTCTATCACCAGAAGATTCTTCAGTATTTGGAGAGGCCTCACTGAAGGAAGAATTGAACACACCAAGGCGTTGGGTTTGACTTTTAGCTCGGCCTATCCTGGTACCTTCACTCCGATAGGTGTGAAGCGAGAGGTGAGGCAAACAAAGGGGAGAGAGGTCTATCCGATTCCGAAATTACTGTGTATTAGTTCCCAAGGATATCCTTCAATCTATCCCCTTCCATTCGGAATTCTTCCTTCTTGAACTACAGCCTGAAAAGCGCAAATTCTGCAATCCCCCTTCCATTTTAGCATTTAATGTCTTTCTCCCCTCCCTTCACAATTGTTCGTTCCGCCTTGCTATCGTCAGCCACGGAAACGGAGGGATACCAGTCGTCAATAAACAACAAATTGATCACTAGGAACACCGCTCTCTACATCGATTCAGCGGCAGGAGCCTCTGGCCTGTACTTCACATCATCTTGGCCGCTATTATATTCCTCCTTAGAGTCTCCCGCTCCTTCGATCATTCGCGGCTCGGCTTTCGAATCTAATCCTTAGCACGTTTTTAGTTTTTTAATGGGAGCAAAAGTTCATCTGACGACTAAATGAAGAGCCCGGTATTCAAACCTGCTGATCGAGCTTCGCCGGCGCGGTCTCTGTCATTTTCCGTGCTCTGTTTGGCGACAATATAGAAGATATTGAGTTGGAACGAGGACAGGGTTCTGTGCATTTCGGGTCTCCATAGAGACGGAGTATGTGCATCGGTTGCGGCTGCTCAGAGGTCAGGCCATGCCACTATTGCTCCCCGTGCTCCCTCCAATTTCGGAGCTTGAATAACCGTGTCGACTGATCGGATACTCTCATCGGACCTTAACCGCTGAAGCCTTCGTTGCATCTTAGCCGCACACTGTCTTTCCCGGTCTTTCCCCTCTTTTACCATAACTCGTCGCGTACGATTTTGTTCCATGGCCTCTACCTACAATGTTAGTCTTGCCACTACCGTAAAGAAATTAGGAGCACAGGACCCCGTACCAATCTGCGTACTATTTTTAGCAGCTGCAAACAATGGTGTGGAATCAATAATCCTCTCCTCCAAGATATCGGTGCCATACGTTTGTTGTATGCGGACGACTTGGCTCGTAAGTACTTCATCACTTTTGACGAAGGTCCTGATGAGGCCTTGGCTATATGAGGAATATTCTGTCTCCAAGAAGCCACGGATGATGTTGTGGACTAGCTCGATGATAGTATCAGCATCGTCTGCCATCTCCTTCATCAGTAACCGTATCTCGGGGAAAGTCACTGACACTAGTGAGATGCTGTAGAAGAGATGATTTCACAGAGTTTGAATGCCTTCTGATGGCAACTCCAGTATCTTCCATGCTTTGAGAATCACGAAAGATGTTGGAACGGTCGGTGGAAGTTTGAAGCATGATGATAGTTGAACGAGGCTAGAAAGATGGAGCATCCGATTAAGAATACAGCCTAACGCTTCTGTATGGATGTAGACTTGGAAATTGAGGCCTTTGTATGGCGTTCGGGGAGATATCTGACGGACAGAGCGGGGCAGGTTCGGTCGGCGTTGGAAGAATCCGTTCTCGCGTTTCGGGGGTGAAATGGACCATGGTGAGGAGAAGTCTCGGAGGGAGTGTGGAGGGCGCGTCAGCCCCGGGAGCGGCGAACTTGGCGTAGGGAGGGGAGTAGATACTTGGAAGAGTTGAGGACGGCGGAAACAATAATATATTGGACATCTTGCGTGGTTGGTGGCGAATTACCAATCTGGAGAGCCTTTAATTGGGGGCGGAGTGGCACGAACTCTCCTAGCTGTAAGTCTAATTATGAAAAGTTGCGACGTATTTCATCATTGTGTTACGTCGCTAGGAAGCACCAAGACGTGGGCCCGCTTAGGAGTGAAAGGGCCAATCACGTGAGTACGCCGCAGCGAACCTGGCTAGGTAGCCGCGTTGTGGTGGGATAATAGACTACCTATTGTCAGTGAGCAAGGTTCGCAATATTACACTCGCTAGAAAGGTGGTCCTTTCAATGCGCCTATTTCAAGGCAATCTTTTAGACCATGTCTGATCTCGCTAAAACAACAACCCCGCCTTAAACTCCCGCACCCACGTCGCACCACCAAAGCAGCCTTGGAATGTCTTCAGACACATCGGAGCGGGCGACTACGGAGGCCAAGTATGCTCCGATGCCTTCAACTTGGCGGCGCAACATCAGCGAAGATTCGTCGACTAAAGTCTACTTGGAAGGTGGATACACGCCGCTTGGCAAGAGCATTCACAAGCGCAGTCTCGTGCATTTTGCACCAGCACTTGAGAATTATCTAGAGGATCCCTTTGGAGACAAAATCGTACTACCTGCTGGATCGGTCGATGAGAACGCTGCAGATACCGTTGTTAGCGGGATCGCGCATGCGGCCACACATGGTGGGAATATTAGCGTATGGTACGCATACAATCCGATTGCGTGTATCGAGATGCACCGTGTCTTCACCCTGTTCGGGATGAAATCCGAGGGGGATGAAGCGCTGGAGAAACTATGGAGTTCGCTAAAGCAGGTCGCCTTGAGCGAAGAGAATGTCGGCTGGATTTGGTATACCTTCGAGGAGGATATCTTCAATAAGGAGAAGATCAACAGCCCACCTTGGCCGGTCGGTCCCTATCGATGCCCTCATGCCGGCGAGTATATCCACGCTATGCTCTACCAACTGCTAAATTTGGCCCATGAGAACAAGTTGAGCAAGGAGTTGACGGAGTTCATGGATTCACATCCGCGATTGAAGGCACTAGGTGAAGAGCGAAAGAAGGACTGTGGGCTCCAGGAAGGATTCAATTCCTCAAAGTCAGCCAGAATGGTGAGGAGAGCCAGGAAAGCGGCAGAAGTACAAGAAGCAGCCCTAGTTGTATTCAAAGGGATGAGCTATGGACAAGATCGCAAGGCAAATCACTTTGCTAGTTTGCAGTGGAGTGAGAGAAAGGGAACTCCACCGCCCGCCACCGAATCCTCTAGCTCTGGCGAGACCGAAGATGAAGAGGGCGAGATCCAGAACCGCAATGAAGCTAACGATGTACAATCGCTATCCACTCCAGAGGATAAGAAGACAATCGTGCATGAGGATCGAGGTACCCGTTCTCTAACTCCAGCCATGGAAGACGCGCTGAACCGTCAGAGGCCAAGTCTCAACCTTAGTCGTGCTGGCGCTGGAATATCAACAATAAATGCGCAAGGTAACGGTATGCGCAGCTATGGCAGGCACGGGCAAACCTCATTTCCCAACAATCCCTCTCGCTCAAGTGGTAAGATGTCAGTTCACGACAGGGTGGCCGACCTGAGCGATGGAGAGGTCGATGAGGAACTCGAGGACTTAGAAAAGGACGAGGAGAGTGACATCGACAAGACCGCTGGCGTCTTCAAACATATCTTAACTCCCAAGCAGAACCACCCTGCGCTGACGAATAATTCCTTGGCCAGTGCTAGTCACACCTCAACACCTAAGCCGATTCCCGGATCTTCGATGGTTCCTTCAATCACTACCCAGAATGTTGGCAACGCCTCAACCCCTAGGCCGCCGTTCCTTGCACCGGACTTCGTGCCTGGTGGTACCTTGACGGTCGCAGAGAACGAATCCTCAATCAATGGCAGGCCATTCAGCGCGCCAACACCACCATTCCTAGGCTTCCAAACCTGCCCATTCACCAACGACAACCCCAATCAAAGCCCTACCTTCAGTACTCCTCCCCAAAATGCTCCCGAGGGCCCGAACGCATTCGCTAACAGTAGAAATATTTTCGAGAGACCTGGAACTGCACTGGGAGTTTCTGGACATGTAACTGGTGGTCCTACGAATCCATTCGGTGGTACTGAGCAGGGATCTAGTCACTCTGGAAATGCATTCAGTGGTTCAGGAAATCTATTAGGTGGCCCAAGCACTCTCAACGCGCCGAATGGGCCCACAACTCCCTTTGGCTTCAGTGGCTTTAGTACGTCAAATGCGCCTGCAACCTCTTCTAACTTCAGTGGCTTCAACACGCAGAATGGGCAAGTAAATCTCGCCAACTTCGGCAGCAGCGGTACACCCGGAACTGCGTCAGCGGGAGTCAATCCACCAAACGCTCCCGCTAATATTTTCGCATTCCAATCAAACGGTGGCCCTCCTGGAGCTGCATCAGGTACAAGGCGGTTTGCTCAGGCGAAGGGAGTGAGGAGAGGTCGTATTGGCCGGTAAGCTGATGATGCAGAGTCTGATGCTTCGGGAGTCGTTTTGTGCATGCAGTAATGGGACGAGAATGGTAATCATATGGATAATTGGGTATTCACGCTCTAATATGTCTAAGAAAGAAGCACTGTATGGGAGCTAGATTACATACCACACCTCCAATGGATTTTGAAATTCCGAGTTAAGAAGATCATAGTGCTAAGAATTGCACATACGTTGGAATGGTTTTATCAGGACGGCAGATACTGACAAAAAGGAGCATAGAAATATGCGTACTCTAATACATCTGGGTGGAGAAGTTGAATGCATTGTGAGGGATAGTGTCACTGCAGCTGCAACTGACTATCAAATTGTAGAAAATAAATCCTTTTTTTTTTCAGTTTGTTTGACCTTCTTGGCCTGGCGCCTGGCGTTTGTTGATTGGGTGGGCAAAGGGTACTCAACCTCCGCCTTGCCGTTTTTATAATGCACATTAGCTAATAGTCAATAGTAAGCAGCACTTCCAACAAGCCGTATTACTATACGATTAGGCGATTTTGATACCTATACGCGTGAGATTTTGTGTACGTTCGTACGGGAGGTAGGATGAGAGGGAAGTGTACGTATGGTAACTGTTACGGCTCACGTGATCTGTACGAGTAGTACGGTTTAGTTGAAGTACGCCGTACTCGAGTTAAACAACCTCAGATACTTACAGGCCTCATCTAATTAATTAAGTACCTCTGTTGTCTGTTTTGCGCAGTCTCTCACCTAGGCTGCAGAAAGTAAGAGCCCTCTTACTCCCCTAAAATTCCTATACAACCCTCTTAAAAGGGTAATAAAATCTGTACTACGTACTGTACTTGGAGCTTCATTAAACGTACGGTACGGCTCACAAACTCGGTACGTTCATACTAAGCACGTGACCGGTACGGCCCACTTTGTACGGATAGTAGTACGCCCCATTGGGAACCCTGATAGTAAGACAAGAATGAAGAGGGGCTGCATGATTTGGAACAACGATTAAGAAAAGCAGGGTCTGATTATTAACGTGTCTAAGTACAGTCCACAATAGAATATTGTCCAATAGTTAGATTGTCTTCGCAGTTTGAAACGAGATAAAGCATCCAGGTCTGCTCCTCTAACCATTTCTCTAGCTTGGTTTCCATTCGACGATAGCCTGCGTCCCGATTGATGAAACTCAAGGCTCTACTTTGAACTGCTCCTCTTTATGCCTTCGTTCCTCCTGTGTCTCTCCAGAGATGGTATATGCAGCTGGGAATGTTTCGCCAGTATTTTACATTCAACATTGCGAAAGGTATGCTTGTTTGCTAAACTTGGAAGCTCAGCGCCTTTCACTGTTAGCAATCCCTTATTGATATCACTGGATGAGCCCACATGTACGATGTTTAAAGGTCAGATTTGAAGTTGAACTTTTCACTTCTTCGCACACGACCTCAGCTGTGGGTTAATTAACAACGCAGGATAGTGGCGATTCAAGGCTGAGATCTCCCAAGTTTCCATCAAGCGGGATTCAAAATGAGCAAGGTAAGGACGGGCACGCGACAGGGCTTTCGTACGTGATCGCTTGCCCGCCGGCTCGCGGGTGATCCCACCGACGTAGCCCTATGCTGTACCGCCGCCGACCAGCGTGGCCAACAGTCCGTAGTACGTAACGTAACTACGTGAACGTAGTAATCACGTGAGGCGTACAAACGTAGTCAAAATGTGAGACGTAACTTTTGTACAGTGAATTGCTAAGTACGTACTATAGTACAGGTTAGAGAGGTTATATTTTAGGAGATTTCCCTCCTGTTTATAGGGCCTAGCAGGAGGAAGCTTTTTAAGCTGCAGTAATAGACTAGGTTATTTCTTAAGATTAAACCTTTAAAAACGCATCTTTAGCTAAAACCTACAGGGTACTTACTTAAAACTGCGCTAACCTTTTTAACGCTATACTATCTTCCTACACTACACTCTTAACCTATATCTAGAACAGTCTAGTGCGCTAGAAGTAGGAGATTTAAATAATACTAAGATTAGCCTATAGTAAAATTGCACTAAGTGTTAATATATAGACTTCTCTAAACTACTTATTCTACCTAGGGGTAGTAGCTTATTTTTTTAGTATAAAACTACAACACTAACATCCTTTACATAGATGCTAAATACTAGCATAAAGACTTCCTTATTAGCTTTAATAATCTATACAGAGACTACACTAGAGAGAATTAAGCGCTAGAGATTGTTAAGATGCTTAAAGACTAACATACTATAACAGTTTATAAATAAATGCATAAGCAGAGCTTGTTTTAAGTCACTTATTAAACTCTTTGTAGAGAAGAAGACTGCATTAGAAGAAGCCTATAGAAGAAGACTATAAGCAGAGTAAATAATAAAAGGTAGTTTATAGACTAAAACTTATAAACTATATTCTTATAAATTTTACATAAAGACCTATATACTTATAAATGCTATATAAGAAAACACCTCTTAGTAGGTCTATCTACACAAGTACTTATTAGTAAAGTTAAAGTACTAGCTAAAATTCTAAGTAATGTAAATAACAAGCTGCACATCTTAAGCCTAGATAGTAATGCGCTTGCTATAAATAGCAGCTAGCTAAGTGCCTATAAATTAATAAGTCTAATACTTTATTTAATACTAATACATTAGCACTTACATTCTATTAAAGTTATAATAAAGGACTTAGTAGTTATTTATAATGCATAAAGTGCTTACTTACTCTAGCAAAAAGGTTTATTATATTAATGTGTACACATGCTAGTAGTTACTCTTTAGTAGTAGTTAACTTAAAAAAGTTTAGTAAAAAGCTAAGATTAAAGTTATTTATATTTTTTTAAAGTAAAATAAATTTCCTTTTATGTCTATATTTAAGTAAATTAGTAGCGCACTTTTTATAAGTACTTTATTAATTTAATCTTATATTAAACTACTTTTAATTATAAGTAGTGCATGTATCTAACTTAATATTAAGTAGACCTTTATAAAAGTTATTAATATAGCCTTTATTAACTTCTAGTATAGCCTAGTTTTTAAGAAATTTAATATTATTAAAATTTATAAGTATAGGTGTAGATAGAAAATTATACGCATAGTGCTTAGTGTTTAGAAAGATATCTATGTTAATATTCTTATTTAAACTATTACTAAAGTTGTTTTTATTTATACCTGCTTTTTATAACTAAGAGAGTGTAGACTAAAACCTTCTCTATGTTAATAGTAGCTTTTAGGTACATTATATACTTAAACTAATTAGAGTAAATAGCACAGGTAGTATATTAAAAAAGTTGCCTAATAAGTTAAAAATTTTATATTAAAGAGATTATTAAGGCGTCTGTTATATAAAAATGTTATAAAGAAAAGAGCTTAATAAGCTAAAGTTTATAAAAGGTAATACATGTACTAGTTTTTTATTTATAGTATAAATGTTAACCTTACTTTTTAATTAGTAACACTTTTAATATAAAGTCTTCTACTTACTATTTTTTTTAAACATGTTATTTACCTAGTCTAATAGCATAGAACAATAACAATATAGGGGTACTAGAGGAGACAACAGTAGGATATAGAGTTGTAGTCTGTTATTTGCAATATATATAATATTAGCAAGAGCGCGCCTCTTAGCTAGTAGTAAAGGTATAGGGCTGCCCTAAGTAGGGCGCTTCTTTGCCTAGATTTATGTATTATAGAGCGCACATTAAACTTTTTATTAAAGAAATGTCTTATCTCTCTATAGATTTATAGGGTAATAATAATTATTATAAAGTAAGAAAGGTTTATTAGCGTTAAATAGCAAAAGTACTATGTTGTAGGTTATAGTAGAAGGTATTAGATAGGTATTAGACAACACGCGTAGTAAGGTTTTAGTTTTTGCGTAGAAAATAATTATCTAAGAATCTGCTGTTTTTATGCTTACATAAGCTTAAAAAGGCTAAAAGCAGTAATTCTTAGCTGCTAAGCCCTAACTAAAGAAAACTAAAGTCTATAGAAAGGAGCAGAGCAAGCTCTGCTAATAAAATTATGTTTAAATTCTCTTGCTATGTTGCTAACAACACATTAAGTAGAGACTATTATAACTTTAGCTAAGAAGCTTTATTTACCTCTTACTACTAAACACTATATCTGCTGCGCTAGCTATACAATTTAAATTGTTATTAAGGCAGTTATATACAGCTAGGGAGTCTCTACCTTTAAAAAAGCTTTAGCCTAAGCTGCTCTAGATAATTAATTTAAGCTATACTAACAGCAGGGCGTTTTATCTAGGCTAAAAAGCTTCTTCTAGAATAATTTTAACCTAGACTAACAAAACTTCTTGTAAAAAGTACAAAAGTATAAAAATTTTAAAAAGTTACTGTTATGTTATGTACTTGCTAATTAATTTACTGCTTATGTACAAAAGTACTACTAAATTAAGAAGTTACTAGCAGAAAAAAGCTTAAACGTAACGTACTACGTACTGTTGGCCACGCTGCCGCCGACTCTGGATTTGGAGTCAAGGAGTCAGAACGAAACACTGTAGGTAAAATTTCGGTGATTGAAGATTCATCTCCTAAGTCTTCCGGAACGCATCCCACTTGATAAGCGATAGTAGCACTCGCGTTGATGGGCATATCCACTTACACAAGGGTTATCTTCAACCATAATCTAGCATGTCCATCAGAATCCCCTGCTACAATACCGCCGTGATCAATTCGAATCTTCTGCAAGGGAGAAGAGCTCCTGCGCATAGGAATGCTGCGGCGGTGGACTTATAACACGATGTTAAAGGTAGTTAAATTGGTTTTTAAGAAGAGGCGAGGGAAACACAAGTCAAAGAGCGCGAAATGTTTGCGGCCGAGCACTCCCGCACGGTAGCAGAGAAAGTGGAGATTAAGTAGACAAAGGCCTTACTCGAGGAGCAGTCCAAACGGTACTCCCAGTTCTTTCGGGAAATTGAAGGACAGCGAAAGTTCCTCATGGAGAGCCATGAGAAAGAGGCCGACATCAAGAACGGAAAAATTCGGCAGGTACAAGAATGGCACATAAAGGAAAAGGCGACGAGCCAGACCCTTCGTGGCTCAAATAGAACCAAATCGACTACGATATAGCAACTGGAAGCGGAAGTGGAAAGGGTCATCGAAGAGACATCTGAAATGCATAACCAGCTCAAGGAGTTTGAGGACAAGGCTGCGAAATTAGCTGAAGAGGTGTCCAACCATGAAGAGCAGCTCCAGCGGTATAGGAACTCTGACCGTCGGTGCGAATTGGCATCCATTGAGTCTACAGGCTAATTTTTCCGGTAGCAATCATTGAGCAATTAAGACTGCTCTCTCCTACCTCGCTAGGGAGTCGATTAAACCTATCTATGGCACCGGAAAGCGCACAGCCTAGGCCAGCATCGCAGTAGGCACCCACAAAAAAAAACCAGCACATTCTTTTCATTCCTCTTTTCACTTCCAATTTCGCGTATTCTACCCTCGCTGAGCTGGCATGTTTCATTGTGTCCCTTGCTCAGTGATTTCAACACACCGGCCATTCCAAGTGCCCCAAGCGGTATTGACTCGCCAATAAACGTACTCATTCTTGGCCGCCCTTCGAGAATGATCGCCACAGGGCAGTATCCCGCTGGTGCCTACTTAATGCGTGACGTATATCAGTCTCGATCAAAGGATCAAAGTGACCCCGACCCTCTACCATATTTAGATTCATCTCCCCTCTTCCTACTTACAACTCCCGACACCCATATACACCACATTATAGCCTTGTAGGAAGTGCTCTCGTTCCAGAGTACCCGAAACCTACCTAACTCATCTTTACGCAAGAAGAACAAAGGCGCCTCTTGGGTTCGTCGTACTTCATTATACTCCCTCTGCTCTAGTCACTCGATAAATCCATTGTGATGGCCAAATATTTCTAGTTAAGTGGAAGAATTGTTACTATTACGTGATCGCCTCTTTCACCTCTTTTAATGTCCCCAATAAGCGAAAAAAAAAATAGAAGGCTTCATCATTCATAAGAATTATTGTGATAGCCAACGTTGTGCTATGGTCTCAACCTATTAACACAAACAGGCCGCATTCGTCGTCTTAGCTTGTTCCTTGTCAACTTATGAGCCATATACTACACCGACAACTACTACTATGTCTGTAGAAATGAAAAAGAACGTTGCTCTCTGCCCCAATTCCGAAATATCCGGACTGCCTTCAATTGGCACTGGCACATCAGGCGGTACAATGGGTAGCGTCGATAAGCATGACCAAGGCGCTAGCTCAGGCAACGAAAGGTGCTTTGACAACCCCACCGAAGAGAGAACAGAGACTCTCAATTTGACCAGTAAATACTCTAGCTGGTCTGAGGAGACTCCGGGTGGACACATTAGAGATGGCAAGCCCACACACAACTACCAAAATCGCCAGAGTCCCCAATGCCAGAGACACGTGTCGTATTCGAATAGAGCCGGGCAAACAAGCCCCTCCTGAAGATGGTATTGAAAAATCAGCTAGCCCGGATATCAGCAAATCTGATCGCGGTCGGATCAAAGGCAATCATCATCACTTGCGTAAGTGAAGAATCGATATTGATTGCTAAGCTCGTACTGACTCTTTAGATACCTTAGCCCGCAGCCGCAGTCGCGGCGCAATCTTCCTCAATACTTTCGCTGCTGACCACGCACTTCTCCATGATGACCGGAACTACGGAGGACTCGCTATATCACGCGGAAACCTTCCCAAAGATATATCAACATCCAATATAGCAGACATACGACGTGCTCACGCCGGAATTCTTCCAAGCCAACCAGCATAGTAGACGCATCTGAGAAGGAGGAGAAGGTTAAGGAATGTGAAGTAAAGCAAGTGACATTGGTGAAACAAGGGGCGCCAGCAGACAGCCGTGGGCCTCTTAGTCAGCCAGGTTTCCTCCATGCAGAGGACTCCACTCGTCTACCATTGGTGATTCGATCTAGGTGTAATGGAATAAGGAATGAAAATGGAACTTCCAGGCAGAGAGAGACTGAGAATGCCCCGAATTTCGACTTCAAGGATCACAGTCGACTCAGCATGCCCAGTCACAACTCCCCAGAGCACAAAGAGTAATCTAGTACATCCCAAGATATGACGCATCGCAAGGATGCTGAGCCAATCAACCAAATAGGACTGTTCAAAAATGACTGTCCATCCAAGCAGCTTGAGTCAGGAAACCCAAAATGCTCTTCATCTCTACATCTCTCACGTCAGTCAGAACTCAAGAAGTCTAATGATGAAGACTTACAGCACCAACAGCGTGCTGCTGTAGTTACCCACTATATCGATTTTGACGAATACAGCCATCTCGGCCCGGAGGGTCGGGAATCCCCAGAGCGACTGAAGCTACTTGAAGGGTCGACTACGGGCTTAGTCAATGCGCTTGTCTTAGTTGATCAGGTCAAGTTGAACGGCTGTCCTCACAAGTCATCATCTCAAGAACAGGACAGTCACCTAGGGTATTCGAATGATGGGAGTGTAGCTGTGGAAGCGATCGAAAGGCTGAATGAAAACAACTCTGTAGCAATTGCACCAAATCTCGGAGAGAATAGTAGACCCAGTCCAGATTTCCTATCCAACTCTGGCCTCCACATACATGTCAACGACCATTATCAAGAGGTTGTTGCTCATATGACATTAACGGTAGGGTTTTGCATGCTTGTACCCTTTGGACAAGATCGCGAAGCATTTAAAAAGGCCGCGTATGATAGGGCTTGCGAAAAGTTCAAGAAACTGGCTGAAGAAATTGGGACGGAAAAGATGATTAAGGATTGGAGCTTTGAGTCAAACATGGGACCATAAAACCTTAGCAGTGATGTTACTAAAACCCGATACTTCTCTCAGGGAACGTATACGATATGAGTAGACCTTATGATTAGACCTTACTCTCGTCGTTCATGAGGTTTCTGACCAGTTCGTCTTCCTTGCACTTTTCGCAAATACCCAGCCAAGCCATAAGGCTTCTCAAACGCGCCGTCATCTGGATCTAATTAACGCAAATTTTTGTTGCAGAAAGAGCATCTGTTCTAATACAAAATCTAATTTAGCAAAAGACGTTGTGTATCTCCGCCATTTAATCATGGGTGGGGACTAGCAGGACTCTTCTGCCCTTTAGCATGTTTCAACTACAGATAACGAGCAACACCCCCCGCAGATGCCGCTAAGACGCATGGCAACACTAATGTTCGCATACGCGCTTCAGATTCAACATTTCCGATGCCAGAGATTGCAGGGGAACCAAAGTTGTGAGATCTGAGCGACCTACCGTGCCGGTGAGATTACCATCCCGCCTGACGAAAATAATGAGATTTTTCATTGTTGCCGCCTTTTAATCCACGAGGTAATATCATAGTTCAAATCGATGAGAGTGAATAATCGAAGGATGCAGATAGCGGAGGCAAAATGAGGCGGAAAATCAACGGGGTTGTTGCAATCAACTGCAGTTTCGACATCGATAACGATCGAAAGATGGCCAAATACAAGGATATACCAGGCTTCAAGCAGGATATGCTAAAGATTTTTACAAACGAAGTGTGGAGAGTTGTTGGAAGAGGTTGATAGAAGGGGGAGGAAGGAGGAAGCTGAATATGAATGAGAACCAGCTTTCTGAACAGAAGGTGATGAACAGTGAGAAATTTAACTGATCGGTGGAAGCAATAGAGAGGAGTGGGGCGTTCTAGACAGAGCCTTGGGTTCTTGATGTAAATGAAGGCATCTCTGTAAAACTTACTTTGTCTGCCCTTGTCAACTATAAGAGGTCCATTTCAATTGATATACTAGTTCTGGTGTGGGATGCAGAAACTATTATAAAAGATGCCAATATTTACAGCACGACATCTACATAAGTATATACACGAATCTGCACTGACTCATGACAATTTAGCCTCCTGTCCAAACCTTCCCAATAGTCCCATCTCTTCTCGTTACCACTTCTTTCATAATCCAACTCTCGAACCGCTCACCCAACTCATCACCCCACTCTCCGTCCGGGACCGCAACACTCGCCCAGCCCTTCACAAGTGCCCGCCAGTAGCACGTCTCTGCTGCCGAACTCAGATATCCTTTTCCATGCGTCATCTTCCGTTGATTGCTAGCGATAGTTTCCGCGATCTTAGGGTGCGTGCGAAGGAAATCGATGGTAGATTCGAGATCGGACCAATCTTTCGCAACATATACCGCGTTTGCTTCCCTCCAATCCTTTACCGTGGGGAGAATTGTTGGTGGTGACCATCCTTTTGTCGTCTTATTCACTTTCTCGGACTCGTCAGAGCCAGGGGTCTTGCCAAATGTTCCCATCATCTCCTCAGCAACAACAGGCTTAATCCACCGCGCTGTATGTGTCAGGTATGTTAGCGGCGGCATTAAAAGCACGCTCTCGCATGCTTGATGATATGCTAACCGCCCACTATACGTCACCCCCTCCGTATACACAACATACTTGTATTTGCAAAACTCTTCAATGTTCAACGAATTCGTGATCTCCCCATCCCGGTCCTTTTCTAGCTTTTGTATGTTGGCCCAATGTTTTCCAGTCGTAGTTGTGATGAGCTTTGAGCGTAAATATGGATTGCCGATGGGATTAAACCATATGGTACCGCGCCATACCGCTTTATCGATTTTAGAGGGGAAAGGCGTGCTGGATTCAATATGTGAGATTCGGGAAAGAGCATCATCCATAGTGCCCAGGAATGGGGAGGGCCAGGACCAGAAGCTAAAGTGCGGCATGAGCCATGTGTTGTCTGTATTTGGTTTGTTTGGATGGGCGAAAGACCAAGAGTTGTCTTTTGGGTTATCGTTGATGACGAAGGCGAAGTGGGTATCTGGTATTACGGTAGTTGATGTGACGATAGCGCGATGTAGTTGCTGCAGGATGGCGGTACGTTGGTGAAGGATTTCGGGGAGAGTGTCGGGCGATGAAGTCAAGATGTAAAGCTAAAGGAATCAGTGCAAGGCGTAAAAACTGTAGTTTCAGGACTAAATACTTTTCCATCCTTTATTCTCCCTTGTATTAAGCCTTTGTAATCCGGATTACTCTTGTTGAAGGTAAATGTTCCTCTGAGGACTGCATCATGGAGCTCATCTATTAGACCTGGGAAAGCGATCTTGCACTGATCTTCGGTGAGGCTTAGAACATCCAAGTAATCTTTCGGCAATGATGGCCTTGTCTTCGACGCTGATACTGAGGTTGGAAGCTGGAACGGGACCCGTAGTTTCCCATCTCGAATCCCGAATCGCCCAATGTCCCTCGCAAAGAACGTAAAAGCGCACAATGTGACAATGAGAAAGCTCAAGATCGCTACACGGAAAAGTGATCGCGATACAGCAGTCATGGTGTCACATTCCTGCCAGAGCTACGAAGCACAACCGGGAAAATGACAATGTCCTAAGACTGCACGAAGAAAGACAAGGCAGAGCAGACAACGACACATTTCTGACTCCATAGAAGGTGCACACTGACGAAAGGAAACAAGCTTTCCAAGAACAATCTACCATGCTGCACGGTCCGGTATTCCCCTCGCTTACCGGGATAATTATATTGGTGAAACCTCGGAATTTCTGGGAGCACCTAATCTAATATATTGTAGAAATCGGAGTGGCTGGATTAACAAAACGCGTAACCAAGAACGTTGGGACGATTTTTAGGGATATTTATTTTGCGACGGGCAAGAATGAGGTTGCGTGTTCGGATGCGGGGGAGATTTCAAGAAGGAGGGGGCTGTGCGACGAGGTCAGCCCACTTGAGAAATCCATTGAGTGGTTTTCATTTGGAGACGCAAGAAAGTATTGAAAGGCTGTTGGACAGCACGGAATCGACTTTGTAATTTGAGCCAACCAGCTCTGACCTCTGTCTTTTTGGGCAAACTCGTTCAAAGAACTGCAGCATCGAAACCAGACGGGCGGATCCTCTACTATAGGTCAGGAGGTTCTAGTGCAGTCTCAGAGAGTTTCTTCCACAGCTCTACGAACTAGACTTCTTTCTCAGCCTCTACCTTCTCATTCTCGACCATCCTCACATGCGGCTTCTCTCTGCCGTCAACACCCAACCACAGTAATTCCGGGCGGGAATAGTGTCCAACTGCATCCACGAAATGTCGCACAGTAAGAATGAGATCCATGGGAAGGTCTCCATACACAATACCCTCTTGATCCGGCGGAATGGGCGTACTCAGTCTTCTACCATCTGGACCAAAGATGGCAGAATATCCTCCACCGGTCGTGCTAAAGAGCGGAGAGTCGGATGTCTTCATTGCTTCAATGCCTTTAGACGTGAGCATGGACGTGCAGTGCAATACAAATGTCCCCGACTCAATAGCGAATGCTTGTGACAGAGTTTGGCAGCCTACAGAGGTTAGCGGCTAAAGGCGTTGAACTTCCATGTCGTGGTAATGAGCTTGTACCTTCGGCACTCATTGCGAAATGTGTTTCTACTCCCTCATGTGGATACAGCGGTGGCCATGCCGCCACATGGATTTGCTCTCGTAGGCTCATGGTATGGTACTTCAGCAACGGCTGGGCGTGTTCCCAGCAGCTCAAAGCACCAACTTTGCCGACTCCATCTACATCGATGACATTAAACAAGCTCTTGCCGCCGGCATCGCCGAAGACCGTTCTCTCCATGTGAGTAGGCTTCAACTTTCGACGCTTCATGAGAATAGTTCCAGTGGCGGAGATGATGCATTGAGCGATGTAAAGTGAGTTGCCGTCATTCTCGGAGAAGCCTAGGACGACGGCAATATTGCCCTGTTTCGCTGCATCGCAAATCTTCTGCATCTCCGGTGAGTCATATGAGAGCGAGTTCTTGATGTAGAGAGTGGCCATTTCGGCATCGATTGGACGAGTCCTGCAAGGCGATGAGCAAGGGGCCAAATTACGAGGGAGTTTTGATAGTACATCACGTTATGGGTTAGGAAGGACTAACCAAATCCACATAGGGTACCCAGTGATCCAGACCTCTGGAAAAGCTATCAATTGTGCACCATTACTAGCTGCCTCTTCAACCAATCGACATGTTTTGTCAACAGCGCCAGCAAGATCGAACCAAAGTGGTTCTTGTTGGGTTACTGCGACACGCACCATCTTAACTACAGTAAAGGAAAAGCAAAGCGTAAGAGTTAGAAAAGAAGACGAGTGAGAAATTTCACGCAGGTCCGCAGTTTTGCTTCTGTATTTAAACCTATGCTAGACGCAGTGGAGCACGGTAAGCCTAATAGGCACTCCTGTCAGAGTTCGTTGTCGTGGTCATCTTTTGTTGGATGATGCTGACGCATCTTTCGATAGGACTATTGGAATGAGGCAAGAAGTGGGGATGTAGTCAGATGCCGGGAGCGACCCGGTTTCATCCAAACTGCCCTTCCGACTATTCACCTATGGCGGCTTGCACCTCACCCGTACCCATGATCTTGAAAATGATGACGACTTGGGGAGGCCCCGTGAACCTGTAAGATTTCAGCGTCCTTGAATAGGAGGACTTGATCTTACACAGTGTTCGGAATCAGTTCCTCATCCGTACTAAGGAACAGCGGGCTCTCTTGGATCTCTTGGCACGTCAGAGCTAGTTGTCAGTGGAGAATGGACTTCACACCGCTTGGATTCTGAGCTTGGATTCTAACAGCCTCTTTCCCAAAGTTTTTATAGGATATAGTGGAAAGGAAAATACCTGGTCGATCTTGCACTTAATTGATTCGCCTTAGCTTACAGCTGGCACTAATGATTAAATGTCTCCGGGAGTAAGGACTCTTTGATGAATATCGGTTTAATGAAGGCAAATGATAGAACATGCCACTGAAGAGCCGACTAAAGATTGGGAGTATGAACCAGTTAAGGTAACGCCTCAGCTGTTGGGTGTTTGTATGCCAAATTGAGCCAAAGCTTCCAAAAAACCGGACAGGTCAATTGAAGCAGAGAATTTTCGAATGGACGCATGGGGCAAGAACCATGGAAATCGGAAGCAGGTAGGATATGTCGCAATGCATAGGCAGTGGCAAAAGGATGATTCAGTAAGCTGGGAGTCATGTGTCCTCCACAGACGTAACATTCCTGTGGACGAGACATGTTGACCCTCGTTTCGTCCGTAGAAAATGGGGTATATCATTGTCTGCCATGATGTAAAGCTACTATATTCTGGAAATTGTCACGATGGTCGTTATATTCCCGGAATCAAGCTTCAAGAAATGCATCTCTGGTAAACTGAAGGATGGAGAGACTTGTTGAACAACCCTATAAAGCTTATTTGCCGCTTCAATGGCGCTAAATATTACGCCTAAGTTGCATTGTACGACGTGGAGATTGGACAGTATGATTGCGGGTAAGACTACTAATATCTCCTCCTATGCTGGGTTGGGCTCATAGTCTAGCCATGCCTTATATTCCTTCCGTCAGGCGCTAGAAGTTTTGTTGCTTCAAAGGAAGGGTTCGATCACCGTGCGGGCAGCTGGAAGGCAAGGATGGGGTTGGCGACCATGCTCCTTAAGGTACCATCATAGCCCCTAATCGAAGCATGGCGTTTTACGTATCGAGAGAGATCAGGTCGATGTAGGAATGTAGTAGCAGCGCTTCGGAACTAGGAGTCACTGCAGATGATAGGGTCCAGCGCGATATGAGAGTAGATGCAGGGTGTCACGATTCGGCGGAGCTGCTTCGAAGGGAGCGCGATTTGGGCGAGATGCGACGGTTATGTGAGTTGGGCGATTATGAGCGCTATAAGCTCTCCAGGGAGATCAAGAAGCGATGATGTAGGCATTGGTACCTACCTGGGAAGGCATGGTGGCGTGGTAAGAGGCTAATTCACGGCAATGCTGAGGAGCATTTAGACGCTGACTAAGCGAACGTTCGTTTCCTAGTCAACTATGACCGTCTTCGATCTCCCTGCGTTGTTTAATGTCTCCAGCTATCACTGTCGCTTTAATCTCTGTCTATAAGCCCTTACCAAGCAATGTTTCCTCGTCGTAACTTAACTAGAATACCAAAGCTGGACAAGTGCTCCCGCAGACTTCGTGGTACTGCCTCACCCAGCAGGGAACGATTTGCATCTGAGGCGGTACTAGGCTCGAGAGCCCGGATGTTCTCGACTGCCTTTCTGTTTGACAAACATCCACATAAGCTTAGTGTGCTTAAGGGCTCCGGCCATTCTTATGTTAAGGTTCGGCACACTCTTCCTTTACGCTCCACTAGGCTGCCCAAGGCAAACATGCCTTTAGCACGAGTTTCCTCATGTCTTCACCTGACCCTCCAATCTTTTCTCTGCATTCACATGCAAGTCGACTGGATGAGGTATCGCGAAGTCCGGACGGAGATTTCAGTTACCGAAAACAGAATGCTGCGCCTGGCGGCCTTGCGCTCTCGCGCGAAAGCCCTCACGAAACACGATCACTCGAAAGCTTAACCTTTCGATGTTGGAATTCAGGACTGCGAGCCAAGTCCGTTTCAAGGTTCCTGGTGGCTTCCTTTGAGAGAGTCTCACCGGACTTCTCCGGACTTCGTTGACCGGGAAGGAGTTAACACCAATCAAAACTGCATATTATCGACCCCATGTATCGTAGCTTTCCTAATTAGGCAACCTACCGCAGCGTCATGGCTTTCCTACAGCTATGAAACGGACATATTTATACAGGGAGGTATTCTAGAAGCGCTTCTTCACATTCTTGCTTTTCTTTCCATACACTCGCTCAACTGTTGAGTTTCAGGCAACGGTCTTACAGTTCCTCCTCTGACATTCCGTCGTCCATTCTTTTGTCAAATTTAACATGCAGTCCTTCCTTACAATTGCCCTGTTGGGCCTGGCTTCCATCTCCCATGCCGTCCCTATGCCCGCTCCAGCTGCGCTTACCGCCGATATCATTGACACCAACGCCAATAACCTCGAGACCCGAGCCGTGGCGAAGAAGCGTGGTCTTGCATTCAATGATCCAAAAGTTACCAAGCTGTTCAAAACAGGAAACTCCAAGGTCTCCTGGATGTACAATTGGGCTAGCTCAACTTCCGGTGCCGCGAACTTAGAATTTGTCCCTATGCTTTGGGGCAAGGATGCAGACCACACAAGCAAGTGGGCTGCTGACGTGGAGAAATATGTCAATGCTGGGACAACGCATGCCATGAGCTTTAACGAACCCGATCAATGCGGGTATGGCGACCAGAAAATTATATGTGAACCCTCTAAATACTGACTTGATCGTATCTAGAGCCGGAAAAGGAGGAGCATGCATGCAAGACGTCGCTGGAACCATCGCAGCATATAAGAAATGGATGCAGCCTCTTTCCAAATATGGCGACAAGCTCAAACTCGGCGCCCCAGCCGTTACCAACGGCGTCAAAGACGCAACGACTGGTTCAATCATGGGCTTGCCATGGCTGAAACAATTCTTGGCAGGTTGCACTGGCTGCAAAATTGACTTCATTGCTATTCACTGGTATATTTCTCCATCGCCCCTTTCTTGGCTTTCTTTGGACTTAGAGTTGACAGGTATGACTCCGCTACAAATATTGCATACTTTAAGAAGCACGTGCAAGACGCCCACGCGGCTGGAGGCAACCGTCCCGTCTGGATCACAGAGTTCGCACCAAGTGGAAGTGACGCCCAAATCCAGAACTTCTTGAAACAGGTTCTTCCTTGGCTGGATAGCCAGGACTACGTTACGCATTATGCATATCAGTGGGCTGCACCAGGCGTTCTTGTCAACGGTGCTGGCAATGGACTATCAGCCATTGGAAATATTTTCAACTCTTTCTAAGAAACATGTTCTCACATTGGGGGATGTAGTTAGCATCGCGTGAGGAGATCGATATATCTCACTATTCTCTCATCTAGGCAGGGGTGGAATCTATATAAAGGTTGGACTTAGTTAAGATAGAGCGCAACATTCTTAGCCCTCTCTATGTATATATATATTTTCTCTCAGGATCTTCCAATCCACAATCTCTACGTTACGGCCGATACTGTGACCAAGCAGGAGGTCATGCAGAATGAGCCCTTAAGTGTAAAATTAAGGTATCAAGAAACCGCACTGCGAAGGCAGCCCATATGTTTCTCTTCCAGTGCCTGACATGGCGTTTTTCCTGCCACGCAATTACACCAGAAATATGTCAATTCTCTACCTACAATCTCAATGCCCACTGACCCCATTCGCGCCATTCGCCTCCTTCATCTTCTTCTGCCAAGGCAACGGCTCCGTCGCTACTTTCACAGGCCCCACACTCCCTCCCTCCTTCCTCCTCTCCTTCCACTCCTCAATATCCTTCTGCTCCACAAAATTCCCATGCAATCCCAACCTTAGTTTCACGGGTAAGTGAGTCACCGCAAGGGGCCCTTGACTCAAATTCAGCGCATCAAAAATCACGATGTCATTCCTCAGTACATCCAGATGGTTCACCAGCGCCATTAAATAGCCCTCCCCTTCTTTCCCACCTTCCCTGGGGATGAAAATGGGTTCCTGGAACGTGCAAGTAGGTCCGGCGAACCAGGTATCTTTCTTTCCAGTGTCCCACTCAAAATGACCTATTACGTTGAACAGACCTCCAGCGGGTGCGCCACATTTAGCGAAGTCGTAGGGCTTGCTGGGGTCGATTTGGCATTGCCAGAAGTGATTGTAAGGACGCGTTAGAAAGCGGTCGTCGACGCGGGAGAATTCGCCGTTAATACCAAAGAGCTTGGTGGGTGTCACGCGCGTGTTTGTTGGAGATTTGGGGTCGAAGGTCCAGCGGTAGGTATCAGAGACAAGTTTGTTGCGTTGGAGGAGCGTGGAGGGAGTGCCGTCGGGCTGGTCGGGCGGGAAGAAGAAGAAGACGTTATCGGAGGCGATGGTGAGGTCGACGACGACGTGGCCATTCTCGTCTTCGTAGGAGCCGGCGACGTGGCCGTGGAAGCCTGGTATTGTCAACATCCGGTCGGGCAAGGGCGCCTGGGTTGAATATACCGTTGTCAGCACGCAGCCAGACAATATCTTCTGGCTTCCCGTTCCTACGCGGCACAATGCCGTACCACTGGTCCTCTTTTGGGTCCCAGGCGAAATGATTTCCCCCCTTCTTCAGCCGTTCTAAATTTACTTTAATTGGCGTTAACGGCAAGATTAGATAGTTCTTTGTGATGGCACAATCATGTATCATTCCACAAAATGGCGCTTTATACCAGCATTCTTCCGTCTTCTTGCCATCCCTGTCAATCGTATACACCACAATATCACAGCTTGCGTCATGACCATCTCCTCCTGCTTCGTAGCCATAACAAACCATTTCTCCCGTATCCGGGTCAAACTTTGGATGTGCTGTGAACGTAGGCGATTGCACCTGCCCATCGAAATCGTAGCGTCCAATTGTTTCGAGCGTCACTGGGTCCATGGCGAAGGGAGGGCCATCTTCCTTCATGGCTAACAGCATGCCTCTCCAAAACACAATGTTCGTGTTTGAAGCTGTCCTGATGATACCCTTCACCATCTCGTTGTCGGTGTACGGATTCCTGTACTTTCCTAACAACGCTCTTCTCGCTTTAGTCTCTGCTTTGAATCGATCCGTGTGCACAAAACGCTGTTTAAAATCGACATGGCCATTTTCGAACCGGAAAGCAGATACAGAGCCATCACCGTTGAAGTGGATATCTTCTTCAAATAGTGGAGGAAATCGGTGATCGGGTTGTATGCGATAGAAGGTCCCGTTTATGTCTTTCGGAATCTCACCTGTCGTCTCCAATTCAAAGATATCTGCTTCCAAACGCGACGGTAAGTTGAAGCCTTGGAAGAATCCTGAATCCGGAAATTTAACCTGGTCGCCGGAACGCTTCCCTTCGCGATATGATGGAGAGGCAGGTGTGGCTAGGGAGAAGATATGAGCCATCTCGACGAACTCAATCGCAGTTTGACCGATTGAGGACAAATACAGCCTCGGTTTGCTCCAAATGCAACTTGTTATACACAAAGTTAACGTCCAGTGGTGTGACAGAATGTACTGAAGCAGACGCCACCGAGATGGGTGATCCGAGTTGGGGACATGTGGGGACGCAGGGTCGGCGCGTTTGAATGCAGGGATCTTTGTCCATCGGGGTGATGAAGCCGATGGAGGTGGCACGCCTGTGGGGTCGGTGAGATGGGGCCGATGGGGGATCTGGAGGGTGTTGCCCCATCAGTCGGGCGTGGGTTTGCAGGAGTGCATGCATGTCCACATGCTTGCCGCCATGAGGCGTTGCAAGGGAGTGGGGTTTGGGGTAGTGTTGACAGGAACTCTGCTCGCGAAACTTCAACACCACCTGCTATGAGAGACTGGGGAAGCTTGTTAGTAATCCACAGACGAACTCATCGTCCAACAAACTACACGAGTGCTTTTCATCAAGAACAATCTCATTAAATAACCACCTAGACTTCGCATACGACAAACTAGAGCAGTTATAGTACCAAAATGAAGGGCACAATCGCAATCGAAGAGGCGATTATAGATCCAGCCGGTGTTGAAGCCCATACCTTCGCTCAATTCCAAAGTTTGATGCGACCGGGAGTAGATCAGGAGTCCGGCCTGTCAGCGCATGAGCGTCGTCTTCTCGATATCCACGATGGGCGTCTCAAGAGTATGGATGAGCATGGAGTGGAGTACATGCTGCTATCTCTGACTTCGCCGGGATGTCAGGGCGAGCCAGATCCGCACAAGGCCAAAAAGATGGCGGAAGTCGCAAACGATTACCTGGCCGGAGAAGTGAAGAAGAATCCAAAGAGATTTGGTGCATTGGCAGCGATATCAATGCATAATGCACAAGATGCAGCGGATGAGTTGAGGAGAGCGGTGAAAGACTTGGGAATGTTTGGGGGTCTTGTGAACGACTTTCAGTCAAAAGGCTCTGAAGGCGAGGAAAAGGTGTATTTCGACACACCTGAGTATGATCTGTTTTGGAAAACTGTTCAGGACCTAGATGTCCCGATTTATTTCCATCCACGATATGCCATCCAGCAGGACCTTCAGCCAGGAACAAGATATGGAGACCGGAAGCATTTGCTGGGCGCCGGAGTGCAATTCCACCTTGACTTAAGTTGGCACCTATACGCCGTGTTATCTTCGGGATTCCTCGACAAATACCCAAAAGTGCAAATTATAGCGGGCCATCTGGGAGAAGGGTTAGTCAACGCCTGATAGATTGAAATGGGTCCTAACGAAACGCAGCATACCATTCAATTTGTGGAGAGCAAGCCACTGGATCAACCATCCATTCAAAAGAGGAACAAGGCCGATGAAACAAGATTACAGTTACTATTTCAAGAATAATGTGTCGATCACCACGTCGGGCAACTATAATACCCGGGGTTTGAAGTACTGCATTGAAGAGATTGGGTTGGACAGGTGTTTGTATGCCATCGGTAAGTAACCACAAATAGCGGCTTAGAAGTTTTACTGAGCACAGTAGATACGCCGTATGAGACTGTAGAGGAAGCCCAGAATTGGTGGAAACTGGTGGAACTGCCCAAGGAGCAGAAGGATGCGGTTGCAAGGAGAAACGCAATCAGGCTCTTCAAGCTACCTCTTGAGGAGTAGATAGTGCTTCAGTAAAAACCAACCTGAGCTGTGGTTAGCGTAACAAGCAGAACGTTTTTATTCTTTGAAAATGAAGGGTACATGAGGCATGAGGCCATCGAGGGGTTGACCAAAGTAGTTACTTGAATCGTAGTCATCGCAAAATGGAGCAGTGGCACTAAAGCTCAAGTCAAGAAACACGATTCGTTCTTCATATAAAAAGATATCTACGTCTCTGACTTAGGCTTGCTCAGCGTCAATGGGGGTGCACCGGTGCTAGGATCTTTGCCATACTCTGGAGCTCTAAGGTCGTCATCAGCAACCTGTACCCCTGTAATTGGGTGGGTATAGTGAAACGGCACGACACGGCAGTCCGGCCAGAGCATAGGGTTCTCGCAAAGCTCGTTCGGCCCATTCGGATCCTCGGGATATAGCGTCTTGAGGAAAGGGACGTAGTTGGGCTTCGTGTGAGACCAGCCCTTCTCGAAGGTGGCGTGCCAGAACGGAAAGTACTTCAGCCTGAAGATCTTCCATATGCCATCCTCCTTGATGTACTCGTTCTCGTAGATACCTCCTTCCCACCACTGTACTAGCCCTCGAGGGTGCGTGTCTTTTACTGAGTCGTGAGTGCCGGCGCTCATCATGGATCGGAAGCGGCCCTTCGCGCGGGTGCCCTCAGGATTAACATCAACGATGCCCTGGATCTGAGGGTGATCGAGAAGGAAACCATGGACAGGGCCATTACGGCCATTTACGAAGGCTTTTGCGAAGCGGCCAATATACAGCCGCTGTACGCCGTCCTTGCCATTGTAGCGACCCCCGAGGAACTCTACGCACGTATCCGGGTGGTTCGAGTAGAGGTCGGCAACCTAGAAATCATCAGCGGCATGCCAAATGGAAATAGATGGGAATTCTTACCTCCTTGTACAAGCATTTGTCAAGATAGTAGCCATACTTGTATTGAAGCTTGCGAACTTCCTCCTGGTCTGGGCGCCAGGGTCAGCGCGGATTCCGCCGCTTAGTCATGCATTCACCTACCACTCAATCGTGTCACCTGACTCTGCAACTGTTCAACCAACTTCTTGAGTTCCTCGATTTCGCTTCCCATTTTGGAATTGTCTCTCCTCAAGTTGTCTCCTGACTTTAGCCCCGATTGTCAACGGAGCCAGCCTCTTATTAACATGAAATGCTCCATGTTCGCGAAGGAGCGAAGCTGTAGGGCTGCAACCTGTATCGCCAACACCCATAGCTACGGAATCCAATCATGAAGATACGTTCCTGTCTTCCCCTCGCGATCCGCTCCGTCCTTTTCCCCGGCAATTAAGAGGTACAGGACGAGCCACTGCGGTTTCATTAGGCCGAGACAGCGAACACAGCGGGGTACCTGAAACCCCTCTTACCCTCCACAATGCCTCAAGGAACATGTGGGGTCTGAGTTTGTCCGCTTCTTCCTTCCTCCCCTCTTCCCTGTGTACTGCACCTGTCATCTTTTAGCTGAAGAATCCGGGAATCTCCAAGCCATCATCCATTCCTTTTGCCAGGCTGACTGACTCGGAGCTCCAGAGCTCATGCGCCTAGCCCAAAGCAGCATCAGCTTCATCAGGGAATTCCGGGCACCGTCGTCAACCTCTCGCAGGCCGAGAAGCGTCACATATTGGCCAGCTTGAAACCTCTATTATTCGCACTTTGCCTCGAGCACACTCTGTTATATCTCGCGACATCATATCCTTTGTCATTCAATTCCTCCTCACTTTGAGGAGCTTCTAATATGGGTCTACCAGAAAACATTGAGACGCGTCTCTTCATTAATGGGGAGGTTGGTTCGTTTCATATCCATGATGAGAGCAAACTGACTTAATTTTCTAATAGTTTTGCGAGTCTTCTGATGGAAAGACCTTTGATATCCATAATCCATCTACTTTGAAGCTTGTTGCGAAAGGTGAGCGCTGCTCAATCAATTTAATTCTGAATTGAAGCTAACAATGAACTCAGTACATGAAGCTTCTGAGCAAGATACCGATCGAGCTGTTGCCGCTGCAAAAGCAGCTTTTCCGTCGTGGTCGGCGCTGTCTCCGGATCAGCGCGCTATCTACTTCAAGAAACTTGCCAACCTCATTCGTGAAAGCAATGAAGAGCTTGGTTCCCTTGAGGCGGCCTCGATGGGGAAGCCAGTGAGTACCTTCTTTGATGCAATGGCTTGCGCTGCGAAATGGGATCATTATGCCGAAGTTGGCTACACAGTTCAAGGGACCACAAGCGTACAGACGCCCGGATATATCAATATGACCTTACGTCAGCCATATGGAGTTGTTGCCGCAATCATTCCATGGAATGTACCGTTGCTTTTCTTGGCAAACAAACTAGCTCCCGCCCTTATTGTTGGGAATACTACTGTGCTCAAGAGTAGCGAAAAGGCACCATTAACAGTAAGCCTTCCTCCATTCCTCTTATCACCCCAAGTCGCTAATTCTTGAATAGTCCGCAAAGCTAGCTACACTGGTCCAGAAAGCTGGCTTTCCTCCGGGCGTTATCAATATCATCACTGGATTCGGTGCCGTTAGCGGGTCCATTCTGAGTCATCACATGGACGTCCGCGCTTTGTCTTTTACGGGATCTGGCCGCACTGGACGACTGATCCAAGCTGCATCTGCAAAGTCCAACCTCAAACAGGTGATGCTGGAACTTGGAGGCAAATCGCCCGCCGTCATTTTTGAGGATGCAGACCTCATGGATGCTGTTAAAGAAACAGTGTATAGCATCCAATTGAACAGTGGGCAAGTCTGTATGGCCAATTCGCGAGTCTACGTCCAGGACACGATTGCTGACAAGTACATCGAACTCTTCAAAACTCAATTTCAGCAAGTCACCATGGGCGATCCACTTGAAAAAGGTGTCAATCACGGCCCGCAAGCAGATGAAATTCAACACAAGACCGTGCTCCGATACTTGGAGATGGGCAAGCAATCCGGAGACTTAGTTTTGGGGGGTGCTGCACCATCTGATCGCAAAGGATATTACATACAACCTACTATATTTACTAATACCCCCGAAGATGCGACCGTGATGAAAGAAGAGATCTTCGGCCCGGTGGTGAACATCAACATTTTCAAGACCGAGGAAGAGGTTCTGGCGAAGGCAAACAACACCGAGTACGGTCTCTATGCTGCCGTGTACACCAAAAACATCGACCGAGCCCTAAGATTTGCCAAGGGTCTCGAGGCTGGTACGATTGGCGTAAACTGCACAAGTCCAAGCATCGGAAAAGACATGCCATTTGGCGGCTATAAATCCTCTGGAGTAGGAAGAGAAGGCGAGCCCTCGTACTCACTAAACAATTTCCTAGAGACGAAGACTGTGATCATTAAGATCACATAGTCATTTACAATCCATCACGTTCTAAAACGTACTATAGCCATGAACTTTGTTTGGATTCCACATCTATATCCGCGCGTCTTCCTGCACAGTGTTGGTTTCTAGAAATCCTCTTGTGCAATTAGCCGTGGGTGAACGGCGCCCAGGTGCCGAGTCATCTTGAAGTCCATCCAGAGCTTGACCCTGCAGCTAGGCTTAAATAGCGCCCCCACATCTCTCCAGAATTCCCCGCATTCCCGAGGTCATCTTCGCAACCCCATAGCTTCTTCTTTCATACGGACAGTGGGGACTCGGGACCTATTAACAACATCTCACAAGATTTCTTGCGCTCTGTCGTATGACATCAATTTCTAAGAAGTGGCAGCCAGAGACTGGGACTTCGGCAGTTGATCCTCTTCTATTGGACCATGGCTGAGGCGACCTCATCTGGGACGCAGTCCCCTCCCCGCAATAGGGTACCAAACCCTCACAGAGTACACAATAGCTGCGATAGATGCAGAAGCCGTAAAACTAAGGTAAGTCATTGAGGGACGTGTGATTGCCAAGCCGCTAACCTTGTGTTCAGTGCATTGATCCAGGTACAGGGACTTCATCGTAATTGGATACGTGATTTTGTGCTTGACTGCACTTGTGTCTAACCGTTATCCAGTGCCAGGGCCGTGTCGTTATTGCGCTCGAACTGGAGCCACGTGCCGGATTGCCACACCTCGTCGGAAGAGGCCCTACTATCATGTCACTGAAGAAGAGTACCAATGCTCAATTCGAATTCTGGAATACTTCTTCCCAGACCGGGAACTCAACCTACAATCTCTTAGGTCCATCTCGAGAGATCTTGCCAACGGAACATTAGCGAACCCTAACTTGCAGCAAATACAGACCCCTTCAACTCGTGACCGGGAATCTTCTGAAGAAGAAGAACAAAGAGAAGCAGAGCCTGTAGTAGAGTCTGTCAACGATCTTCACGAGCCATTAGGTTGCATGATGAAAGACTCTCAAGGGAAGTTTAGTGAGTACTTGCAATCGTTCATTTCATCTTCATAATCTAATGCTAACTAAATAGGATACATTGGGGCACATTCCGAAATTCCTTTCAATGCTGCTGTTTGTTCAATGCGCGACAACTCTAAAAGGCGTTCAAGTATCATCATGCCACCAAAGCTTGGCTCTTTCCCACCATCTCTGCCGACCCCATCCCCATCGATCGATAGCTGTTATCCAAATGAAGGGAACTACCTGCCAACTCGCGAGACTTGTGATTACTACATATCCAGGTTTCTTGAGGAAGTGCATTGCACTTACTGGTTCTACTCTATTGAAGCATTCCTTAATCGAGTAGAAAGCACCTATTCGACATCCACCTTGCTCGCTTCTAACTCGTGGATGTGCTCATTGTATGCCATTTTCGCCATTGGTGCAACAACTCCAAATGAACGAGATGGGATATCTCCGGATCAGAAAACGTCTACGGACTATATTTCCCTTGCAAAGCAGTTGATTCCGAGTGTGTATGACGAAGCTGATATTGACAGTATACGCGCACTGGCTATCATGGTGAGCAAACTTGTACTAATCTTACTCCTGCTAATTTCCACAGAGTATCGCTCTTGAGAACCTTTGCTCGAGAGTCACCTCTTACCTGTATATGGGTGCCAGTATACAGATGGCATATTCACTTGGTCTCCATCGAGATCAAATGCCGGGATCGGGGGGGTCTATGGAGCGAGAGCAGAGCCGAAGGATTTGGTGGACCTTGTTCATGCTTGATCAAGAAATTGCTTCTCGAGGAGGCAGCCCGAATTTGATAGATGAGCGGTTGCTGAAAATTGACACGCCACTGCCATCTGAACAGGTAAACGCCTTTTAACTTAGCAGAAAACGCCCATTATTGACAGTCTTCAGATGCTCTATCCCGGAATGCACACTCCACTCTCTTGGCTATCAACGTCCGTTGACCTCTGTCGCTTAAAGCGCGACATCATTCAGGCAGTCTACCCTGAGCGTTCTTCAAGTGCGAAGACCGTATCCTTCTCAACCATATCTGGGCTGCTTTTATCCTTGCAGAAGTGGCTACAAGTGATCCCGCCACATCTAAAGCACGACGTTCCCGCTCCACCTACCCAAAAACGTGCCGTTGCCGTCCTTCATCTCCACTATTGGAGCTCAACAGTCCTCTTGTGCAGGCCGTTCCTGCTCTATCTTGTGCTTAAACGCAATGAATTAACGTCCGGCAAGAAAACGTGGTTCGAGAGGATGAGTAAAACGTGTATTGACGCTGCGCAGAAAAGCGTCTCGATCCTCCAACAGATGGCGGCCGATAATACACTGTCGAGCCTCACAGCGTTTGACAGTACATGCATTCTTCGCGCTATCATGATATTTATCCTCGCATACGCGCACACGAAAATACAGTGTTACCGCTCCAGCATCGAATCAAGTCTGGCGCTCCTTCGCAACATGGCACAGGTTGGATTCTGCAGGATTGTGGCTGAGGAGACGCCAATGCGTCTCGCGGACCTTGGGATCTCAGAGGATAATAAGGCTTGTAATGCAGGTGTGCTCTTGGACGACGATCTTATCGCTCAGCTTTGGGGAAGCTTTGATTCGTAAGTTTGCCAAGTTTCTCTGGCCATGTGGACCCTCAGTGTCACTGACTGTCTGGTTTTCGCAGGGACTTCATGACTCCGTTGCAAAGCCAGGAGAGCCTCGATCTCGCATTTGACGACACAAGCTCTTTCGACCTCAACTCCGAGATATTACAATTCACAAACCTCGACGACTCTATCATTCTCGATCCTTCACACGTCTTTTCAAGCTTTGACTTCCGTTAGCCGAGCCGAGAGTGTTTGACAACACGAACGCGAAGAATCCTCTTAGAATCCGCTTAGAATCCTTCAGTAGTTCGTTCGGGCAATAGGCTAAGCGCACAGAGGGTTGTGCATTATCGGGCGTAACTGTACTCTCAACAATCATTCCTTCTAAGATACCTCTGCAATACAATTCATGCACGGACGCATGCATGTACCTCCTAGTCTCTGTATGTACTGCACTCAATCTTACCGATCGAACCAATTCCATATCCACTCTCTGTACATAAGCAGTAGACTCACCCCTCATCAAACCCTCCCTCGCGATTTGCTGAAGTTGAGTTTAATGACAATGATTATCTGCACATCATAAGGCTAACCGATCCTATGGATATCGGCAGATATGCGCACCATAGCCGGCTCATTCGAGAACGTTGAGACGGGCTTGGCGGACATGGGTTTCAGCCACCCGTTTTGCGTTCGTTTTAGCGTTTGCCAGGGATGGGGAAGTTCGTCTGCGGGGCTGAGGGACCGTGACATCCATATCTTTAGGGGTGATGGTTCGGTTGGGGTCAATGCTTGAGGTGTACTTAAGCGATATGAGGGTCTAGTCTGAACTTGATCTGGATCGTTTGACTTTCGCGTTTTCCCACTCCTTTCTTTTTTAGAAGAAGAGTTTGGTTGTTGTGGAACATATACAAAGTTATGGCGCTTGGTATTATTGAACCGAAGACGGATGAGCATCCGCCTGGGACAGAGTTCTTAGTGGATACAGCACAGACGAGTGTGGGACATGAGTTTGAGCACTCACATTTTAAGCATGCGAAGGGAAAGGCAAGTCTCTTTCCAGCTGCGACTAGTATCGTCTATACTCATGTTTGTAGGGTACTACGATCATTCTAGTTCCGCAACCCGCTGATGACCCGAATGATCCTCTCGTAAGGTGCTTCCTTCAATAGCGGAAGACAAAAGATTTACATTACACAGCTCTGGCCGACATGGAAACGAGAGATAGCATTCGCATTCCTGTTCTTCAATTGCATTATCTTCGCCGCTGCTCCAGGTCCCTTGATAGCTCCTGCTACCGTTGCTTTAGCTCTACAACTCAAAGTCCCGATCAAGAGCGTTGCTCAATTATCTGGATACCAACTTCTTGTCGTCGGCGCGCTTGGGTGAGAATATATCTCTCTCCACCCAGCAACTTCCCTCATACTAACAAGACAAAGTCCCATTGTCTCTGTCCTCGCTCAGAAATATGGTAAACGCCCACAATTCCTGTTCGCCAGCATCTTCGGCGTTATTGGTACTGGCATCTGCATTTCCGCTTTTGACCAGTCCTCAATGTCCAAGTCCTACGACGTGCTTCTTGCTGGTCGTCTGGTCCAAGGACTAGGGACTACGGCCTTTGAATCCCTTTCCGTTGCTGCAATCGGGGATATGTTTTTCCTCCACGAAAGAGGAACGAGGACCGCATTGCTGGTATTGACATTAGCGTGCTTGAGTTCCTTTGTTGCAATCATCGCGGGAACGACATTTGAGCATCTCGGCGCTAAAAACCTGTTCGTCATCTTACTCCCTATTCAAGTTTTCGGGTGTTTAGGCACCGTGTTCTGTATGCCGGAAAGTCAATTCCGGCGAGCCCCTCCAGCTTTTGGGCTGGCATCCTCAGAAGATATCAAAGAGAAACAGAATGGTGGAAATGTGACGGAGGTCTCTACAAACGGCTCGGCGGCGATCCCGAAACGCAGCTTCGTCCAAGATCTGCGGCCGTTTACGGGGACGTACAGTAAGGATGGGATGGTGAAGTTACTTGGAGAGATATTTGTGCATTTTTTGAATCCCGCAGTTATTTGGATTCAACTTGTTAGTGCCGTACTTGTGGTTCGTATACTACCCTCTCACTTCTCTTTACTATCGCTACGGTGCTAGCTTGAAGAGTTGAGCCTGATTCTAAGCGAACGATAGTCCTTCTTTGTAGGCACCGCCTACACCCTCGCCCAAATCTTCACACCTCCACCCTACAATCTCACGGTCTCGCAAAACGGCTTCTTTTTCACCGGCGCGCTCGTTGGTGGCATCCTCGGTGTTTCTGCAGGCCCCATGTGCGACTTCACAGCGCGTTTTTTCTCTCGCAAAAATCGTGGTGTGTATGAGCCAGAATTCCGGATCCCGATTTGCATATTAGCTGTAATTATGTTTGCTGTGGGTTGGTTTACGTTTATGTGGGCGTTGGAACATCCGGCGCATAATAGGGTCGTGTTATGCAGTTTTTGTTATGGAGCTGTGTGCTTTGCGACGAGTGTTGCGAGTACGAGTGGGGGGTTGTATATTTTGTGAGTCTTCCTAACGCTGCTCACTCTCCTTGCCTAGACGCCCATGGTCTCCTTCCTCACTTAAATCTTACATCAAAAGCGCCCCTCCCTGCTGGCAATTTAGTAAGACTGAGACTACAATCCATGCTAACAGTTCGCCTTCTTATAGGGACGCCTTCAAAAAATACTCGACCGAGATCTTCATCCTCCAAATGATGATTAAGAACTTCCTTTTCTACGCTTTCAGCACGTTTATCAACGACTGGATGGCTAAGAAAGGGCCCGGAAATATGTGTAAAGTCTTTGGTATTGTTACGCTCTGTGGGTTTACTACTTGTGTCCCGATGTGTAAGTTCACCTTTTTACTCATCAGAAACTGTGCCGTGAAAAAAGGGGGTAGTGTTAGAGATATGGCTAACCTAAGCGATGACAGATATTTTTGGAAAGCTGAATCGGGTTTGGGTACATCGGATGTGGAGGAAGTATTTGGGCGAGAAATGATAGCTAGGCTGGGTGGCCAATGGTGGAACTTAAAAGGGATGTTGGGGATAATACGTCCTGTGCGCTAGGATTGAGTCGACAAATGACATTGTAATGGAATGGCTTCGAAACAAGCCTTTGAGGTTCCTAAATTGAGATATATATACGGAGAACCTTTTCCACTAACTACCACCTTAAAGTTCTCATCTATCTTAAGACATCTCCCTTTCTAGAATGCAAATGCGCTAGTATTAAAAGCAGCTTAGTTTTACAAGAATTCGCTCTACTCGCCCCAGACAGTCTCAAAATCCCACAAATCAGCCACGTAACGCCCAATGCCAAGACCTGCCGTGAAATGCCATTTCACGTGATATACCCCAACCGAGCACCCGATCGTCCCGAGGTCTTCTTTCCCCGGGCCGAGCGACAATCGGAGTCCGGGCCGGGAGCGTTTCAAAGAAAAAAAAAGTTGAAGCAAAAATATGCAGCGCAAGTGTTATACTAGAGCAAAAATACCACTGCACAAAGCCAGAAAAAAAAAAGCAAAGACAGGCTAATTTGATATCCACACTTGCAGGTACTTGAATATCCAGATAGAAAAAAGTAAGCATAGGCACATACGCTACGCTACGCTCTCCAAACCGGAACAGCGAAACAGCGAGATAAACAGCTGTGTGACTCCTACTATACATCTAAACCCAAACAACATTCCAAAATGGGTATACTATACCCATAGTATGACATGATATCAAACCCCCCGCCATTCGTAAATAATCCAAAATGCCTGCCAACAATCCTAGATAAAACGATACACCTTTCCACCCATAATTTGTTTCCCCATTCCATTCCATTCAAATCCGCTGTATATCACAATGGCCGAACCGAAGAGTGCCCTAGGAGTTCTCTTAAAATCATCTTCCACCATCCAAATCCAACCCCTCCAGACCCTGTCCACCCTGAGCATGGCTAACACTAGCGCGATGATGCGCATGCCCATTCAGAGCAGCTATGTCAACTGGTCCAGGCCCGGGCGTTAATCCAAAATTGAATGCTTCTCCACCTCCAAATACGCCGCCGTCATCCCCCAGCGTAGGCGGCTCCATGTTGAATGGTAGGAACCATGCGGTGCTAGGATCGGAGAAGTAGCCGTTCCCGCCCAAACCCACAGGTTGTATGCCCCAGAACGAGGCGGCGTTCGAGTGCGGCGGAATATCTGAGTAGGACGAGACGTCCATTTGATGTGGTGAGATAAGTGAGGTGGGCGATGTTGAGAGCATGGGGACATGGGGTTGTGGGTGTTGGTGCTGTGGGAAATCTGGGATGAAAGATTGCTGCGGGTTCGCTTGGCTAAAGTACGCTGGATCGAAAGCAGAGGTGTCCATGGGATCTTGTGGGATCTGCATGTGACCCATTTGTTGCTGGAGATGGCTTGGGTGGATTTGCTGGGTTTGTGGCTGAATTTTCGCGGCTTCTGACGCTTGTGAGGTTGGTACGTCCGCCTTGGAGACGGATTTCGATTTGTTCTTGCGGGCCATTTTGCGCTGCTGTTCTGCTCTTGAGGGAGGTGAGAGTGACGCGAAGAACTCTTCGACACTTTGCAGGTCACTCTTCTGGCCCAAAACTGCATCTGTTCCTGGTTCGTTTGGCAGCGATTCTGCAGCATCTTCGTAGTCTGTCTTTGAAACTCCGTGCGGATATCGATCAAACCAGTCACCATACTGAAATATCATGCCTTTGCCCTTCTTATCTCCGGTTGCGGTTGGCCCTCGTAGTACCGCATCTGCATGCTGGCGGTACAGATCCTTTAAGTTTTCAGCAATATAATGGAACATGCCCCAGTATTTTTTCATCTTACTAAGATACTTGACGTTGTATGCAAGATACTTCTTAGACTGGGCCTCGAGCTTCGGGTTCTTGGAGAAGACGCCGTGAACATGAACTGTAGACGAGAAGAAAGCAGAGTATCCAGCGAAAGGAGCGACAACATTGTAGTCCATGGACTCGTTGATGAGGTTTGAAATCTGGTTTGCAGCATCTAGCGCGGTTCGGGCAGACTCTGTAAGGAAATCATGGGGCATATCTTTCGGCGGTCGACTACCTGCTGTCGATGGTAAGGAAAACCGATGCATGAAAAGAATGATTTGCTGATAGAGAATGTGAAGATACAAGAACTGATTCGCTGTCCTCCCAATCGCATGGCTCTTCAGGTTCTCGGGGCTATAGAGTAGCATCTCAGGAAGCGACTCCTTGTACTCCTTTGCTTCCCTCTTGAGACTTAGGAACGTGGATTTGGGAGACCACATGGGCTCAGACTCTCGCTCCTTGCCGCCTAGGTTCATGTATTTGACGAGTTTGCCCCAAATGCAGACCAAGCGTATAGTGTATGAAGCAACGCCCATATTGTCTCGAGGGTTGGATAACTGGCCGCTGTCGGGAGGAACGGGGTTTGGCACGTTGCCTTCTAGGTTCTCTGTCGGCGCTCGTATCTCGTGGATGTACAGATGTTCCTTGACTGGCAGCTGCACCTCGATATACTGCTCATTGACGAAGAGTGGCCGATCCGTTCCTGACGAGTTGAATCGGTCCATAAGAAAGCACGACCACATCGTTCGCCGGCGGATCTCCCGATCAGTCAAGCTCAAGGGTTTCCGTTCGGTCTCAGCGACACTCGGGTCATATTCTAGCTCTTTGTGGAGCTGCAGGGCGTAGGCCATTCTTTGGGCCATACCACCAAACATCCAGCTTCGACCACCTTGACAAGTTCCGAATTCGTGGAGGCCAAGCAATAGGTACACAATGAGGATGGTAATATTTGGTGCGTCGTATCGTTTTAGAGCGATTTCTCTCGCTCGCTCCCCCCAGTTGTCTCCCCGCAAAAATGCCGGCTCTGTCCGTAATTGCGGATGCGTTGAGAATCGTGCTGATATTGCGCAAATGGCTAGTATGAGTACAGGAGGTACATTTCCAGAGGCTAATCTCCTCATAAAACTCGGTTTGTGGAGAAGAGGGTAACTCTGGCCGTAAACATAGTCGAAGTACACCTCGGCTAGATGCTCCTGAATTTCTTTCGATGGCAAGCTTTCTGCGCCTTCGGTTAGGAGCCTGTTCTCGTCCGTGTCTTTCGCTCTCGATGCCGATGCCGTGTCTGGATTCGCCGACTTTGACTTCGACCACTCGTCTAGTTCAGCCCCAAAAGCTTCTTCGGCGGGCCGTTTCTTCGTACTTGGGGTCTTTGGGGGGGCTCCTGGAAGAGCAGGTTTAACGACAGATCTCCCGACGCCGGAAACAGAAGGCAAGCTATCCCTCGGGATGAGTTTTATGACTCTGTCCTCCATTCGCTTCAACCGCTTGTCCAGCATGGCCATGTAGTCCGTCCGCGGCGCCGCCTTCCTCGTCGTAACTTTGTACACGCACGGTATCCGACTCCTCAAGCAGTGCTTACATGCGGGTTTCTCGCCGGAACACCGAATCTTTTTCCTCCGACAAGCAATACATGCCAGCGGCAACCGCTTCCGTTCTTTCCCCGCTTTTGTTTTCATCTCGCTCCACGGGGGGGGCTCGGTGTTGCCATCTTTGTCCTTTTTGGAGGTGGTTGATCCTTCCGCGCCATCACCGTTGACGCTATCGTCGAGCTTCATATTCAAACCATCGTTCAGGTTCTCCCCAATGGCGAGCATGCCCAATGCGGGGCCGCTCTCGGGGCTGGTGTTGTTCTCGTCCTGGCCAAAATTTTGCATACTGCTGATACTCAACCGATGTGGATGCGCGCTTCCTGCGCTGATATTCTCGTCGCTCATATTACTGATGCTGCCTCTGTGATTGCGGAAACTCGACTTGACTGTCGGGCTCGTGCCCATCTGGGATCGCTCATAGGCGGCATTGAAGCCCTGGGCCTGGCCGAAGCCGAGGGGAGGGAAGTCGGCAAAGGAAGGCATGATGGTAGTAGGGCTGTTGCCGACAATGGAGGGGGACTGGAGGGAAGTTCTCAGCTCGGGGAGGCCGTATTCATTCAGCGTCAGGGGGTCGTCGTGGTCTGGTTTTGGTTGTTGGAAGGGCGTGGCCATGGCTGTTGTTGCGCCCGAATCACCCATTTCCTCGACGCCAGGCGTCTCTAATCTACCGCGAAGGTCGGCAGCAATGATTACATGGAGGTGCGGGATCGCGTGGTTGCAGTAGGGTTCATTCGCGGGGCCGCAGCCGCAGCATCAGCATCGTGATATCAGGGTGGAGATAGGTTTCGGAGGTGAATCGGCGGCGAGCTGCAGGGCTGGAAAGGGCCTTCTGCTCCCCACAGAAGACAGCGGGCTCGGGGCAGGTTAGCGCGAACGTCCGGGGACAGCTATGCCAGCATCAGGCAAGATTCAAGGAGTGTGGCGGGAGGGCGCGGAGAAGGATGCGAGGGCTGACAGTGAACAGCGACAGACGGCGATGATGGATGGGTTGCGCAGGCGAAGAGGTAATGCGGCTGGCCCGCTGTGGACGGTCGCAGCAGGCAATGCAGTCAATCCAGGCAATAAGCTTTAGAATAATAATGGCTCGTCGCGGGCCTGGTCGGAGTGTGCTACATAAGGACAAGGTCCAGGAGGGCAGCACACGGCTTGCAGTCCCTTCGTAATAGCACCAGCAGGATTCGCAGCGGCGAGTGCAGTTCAACACCTCGGCCTGTTCAGGCCCAGTAGCAGGCAAGCAATTGGCAGCGTCTGGCGTTGCGCAAGGCCTACGCACCCCACATGGCTGCGGCGCTCTAGTTCTCGACCTCTCCTCTATTATTAAGACACGACAAAGCAGTAGCGCAGCACACAGCACAGCACAGCACAGCACAGCGGCCCAAGACGATGCGCATTGCGCAGGAGTGCGGCCGATCTGCACGCGCTGCTTTCGCGACCGCCCTCACCCGGAGTCACTCTGGCTCTAACCGCGAGTACAGTGCCTGTCATCCCGTCCGGCTCGCGATGGCTTGTTTGCAGGTCACGAGCGAGCGAGTGTTCAGTGGCGGCGGGACCCCATTTGCTTTTTTGCGGGGCAGCTCTCCGCCTCATCCTTCACCCTGCTCGTTCGCTTCTGCCAAAGCCTGCATATTGCATTTACACCCTACTTAACTGCATATTCACCAGTCCATCAAAGCATCGTCGCCTTGCCACGTAACCGCCGTGCCGATCGCCTATCCTCGCCCCGCGCCGCTCTCCGCATTATATAGCTAGTATCTCCAGCCCGCCCCCGTGACAAGCAAAGGTAAAGCTGGCGACGAGGGCAGCTGCAGCGCCAGTGCGAGGGTTTCAGCTCCCCCAGAGCTCGAGCGCAATGACGACGTCCACCACGTTGTCAGCCAGCCGTCCCAGTCCGTCGGGACCCACGCCACGTCGTGATTCGTGTGCGCCTCGGCCGGACTTTCTGCAGTGACGGCCGATCGTGAATGGGTGGAATGGATGGCGATGGGCCGCCTGTCTTCCAGAAACACCACCTCACACTCGCCCCCCCTTTTTTCCATATCATATCTGTGAATATCGCTTTCTCGTAACATCCCCTTCTAGAATCACATCTCTCCGACGCATAAACATTTGCACGCGACTGACCAAGAAATAATTCCGTCCATTTACTTTTTGATGAGTGGTGGGATTCTGGCTAATACTACCCCAATTCATCAAACACCTACCCCCAAAAAACCCTCCTCCAACAACGTGCCTGCACTCCAAACCAAGCAGTCTATGTAAAGTGCGGTGCAAATTTCCCCAAGCTTTCTATGCATATTGCGTGGCTTGAACAGTCGGCCACGCAACGATAAACGCGACCCTTCCAAACCGATCAAAAACCCCCCTTCTGACCCAAATCTTACATACCCTTTCTATCCGCCCATGTCTGCAACCAACACATGCGTTATGGGCACCTCGCCTTTTCCCCTTCGTCCGCGTGTCTGAAGGAGAAGCATGCACGGACAACCCTCCCCCATATTAATCCGAACCAGGGGGTTGCATGCGTGATGCACGCGACTGGGGGAGATCTTGGTAGCGCTTCTTGGGCAGATCATCGAGGCCGACACCTCGAATCTGGATGACTTCCTGCCTGAATGGGCTCTTGCATTGTTTCTTATCAAAGGCTGTTGATCTTCCGTGGTCGGTGGCTGGCATGCTTCCGAATATGTATCCTTGCCAGATTCGACCACATCCTGTCGTAGCACAGAAGTCGGAGAAAACTCTGCCCTCTCAGGGATTTCCTTCTATGTCGAAAAAAAATGAGATCGTGGCTTTCCCACAAAATAACACATCTTTCAGCACGGATTCAAGCCGAAGACAGCGCTCCTGTCATCAAACTACTACACCTTGTCACATAACATGAATGTGACAGGCATAATTCACACCGGAATTTTACATCCTGTTGAATGGCCACTCTATTTCCAACGAGAAATAAAATCCACCCCATTTGTGTTCTGCGTTGTGCAATAGCATTCTTCAAGACAACAAGCAAGTTTCTACTAAGCCTCTTGCACGGTTGTCCCTGCCACATTAAACTAAGGGGGCAACCAACTGTCTCAGTCTTTCCCCTTCGAGAATATCTAGAAAAATGTCTTTTTCGCAGCCCTAGACGCTTACCATTCATTCGCTAGTTCACTCGAACACATCGCATCTTAATTTTACCTTAAGCAAATTTTCCAAGTCTTATCCGGACGCGGGGGACTTGGAGGAGCTGCCACCCCATCGCAGGAGCCTTCGGTAGCTAAATCCTAGAGAAGGGCAAAATCGAAATGTCTGGTCTGGGGCGGCGGCAACCACACATCAGTAAAGCTCTTGCAAATATCAAAAGCAAAAGCATATGCAGAAAATGCAAATTTCATTACACAACAAAAGTATCATTAAAGAGTGTCAAGATGGCACACCGGATCTAGCCTTCAACTCAAACCCAACCCCCTTCCACGTCCACAGCATGCAGCGCAGCTAATACCATCACCAGCATCAGCTACATCTCACTCTCTGACCCCTTACTCCCTCCCCAACCAACCCCCTTTAGCGCACCACTTCCTTCCACTCAACCATTCCATCCCTCAGACTTTTTCCCCCGCCGGACCCACGGGAGCCTTATCTGCCATCCTATCCGCCATGCCCTTCTTCGCAGCCTCCTGATCCACACCATCTCCATACTTCCCATACGTTTCGTAAGGTCTAGTAAATACAATCAGAATACATCGCCACCTTTTCACATATGCATACAAGACAAACAAAGAACCACGCCAGAAGGGGGGCGGGGCGGAGTGGGACTTACGTGTACGCTCCGTACCAGTTATACGGAAGAACCTTGTTTGCCGTGTCGCTGTCGCGCTGGCGTATGTCTGTGTTCATATTCTTGTCCACTTCTATATCCATCTTATCGTTGGACATCTCCGACATCGCTGTTGTTATTTCCCGCTTCTGATGCTGATTCTCTGACCCTACACCCATATCTGCTTTTCCCATCGAATGATCTAGGTCCGCCACAGACCTATCACGCCCCTGGTTATGGCGCTGGCGCTCCCTCTCCATCTCTTCATTCCTATCCAACTCATCCCTACCCGCCATGTCTCTAGCGCCACTTTCGACAATCTCCTCACCACCCCTCTCAACTATCGCAGCCACAGCCGCCGCCCCTTTGTCAACCGCAGCTCCGTAGGTACCATAGGTACTATAGGCCCCATAACTACCGTAGTCTTTGAATGTATCGGCTGACGGAACAGCTTCGTTGGCACTGGGCGTGGAAGGGTTGTCACGTTCGGCGAGGTAGACGACGGGGATGGCAGTTGCCATAACCGCTAGGACGGTCAGGACTGAGAGGGTGGGAACATGCATTTGAAAGACTAGAGTCGGCACTAATGAAAAGAGGTATCTAGGAGGAATAGAGCAGTGTGGCGAGTGTAGGAAAGCGATTGCTGAAGAGCGAAAGGGCTTTATCATGGAGATGTTCAGACGGATGAAGATTGTGGAACTTGTGGGAGTCTTCTGTCACAATCCGAGGTAACCCTATCGAAATCGAATCTCTGCTTGATTCATGGAAGGGTGTTCCCTCATCTGCGCCTTATTGTGAGTACCTCGCGGCCACCTGCGCTCTTCTAATGTTGTACTGCGCATATGAATTGAGGAGTAGCATCTCGTTTCCTTCGTTGGAAATACCGATAACCGGATGTTTGAGAGGAAATTGAATCACAAAGGTAGGTGTTGTGGTGGCTCGAGGTTCCCATCAACTCTTTCTTAAAATCGTGATCCGCATGATAGGACCGATATGGAATGCCTGGCGGTTCCAAGGAGCCGAAAAGAGTACGAATTGTGATATCCATGGATGCATGGAAAATGAATGGTTCATTCTTAAAGTTGTGATCCGCATGATAGGAGCAATATAGAATGCTAGCGGTTCCAGGGAGCTGAAAAGGGTACGAACTGTGATATCCATACATGGTTGTATTCCAGCTTGTTGGCCATGCTGCGAAGCGACAATGTGTATTGCACCCCTGAGGAGGGACTATCGCACAGCTGTGAGAATGCGGAGGTCTGTGCTCCTGGTACCCGACTCTTTCATGGAATCGCAACTGCAAAGTTGTCAGTCCCGCCCTGAGAACCTTTACTTAGTGCAACGTATGATATGGAAGTGACATTGGTGTGATGGTAATGACTGCTTGTTTGCTCGCTGACCACCTCACGGGGGAAGGAATTATGGATTGGGGCTGGCAGGCAGTTGGCAGAAACTGAGGGTTAGAATAGAGAAGCACTTGTGAGTTCTCAAATATATACTGGGATTTCGAGGGGTAGAGTGTGCTTGGGATCTCACCGACGCGTGACGTTTGCTCCCGCGGCGTCTGGGGCCTAAATATTGTGTATCGCATCTAGTCTCCTGTTAAACCGCCGAATTGGATCACAAGGAATGATATTGGTCCACGGGAAAATAATTCCCGAACGTCGGCTCTGTACTCGGCCAACACATAGAAGGACAAATGCGATTTGTGGGCGAGTTCGTACCACGGACAGGAATGAGCACAAATCAATAAAGGAGGAAAACGTTACACTTCCAAATGTTGCCATCGAACGGTGTGGACGATGGCTCTTGTCTAGCAAATGACCAAAGTAGACGGGAACTAAATTGATGCTGATTGATGCAAACAAAATAGAGTAGTGACCATGGAGCAGTTAGGAAGGTAAACTCCCCACCGTTCTTCCATGCACTTCCCTTATCAGCTCCCTCACAAAGAGAGACCATGTTTCGTTATCTCTTCAGACAACCGGTCAAGTTCAGCCAATTGCTGCAAAGAGAGGACAACGAGTCACTACTGTCATCGTCGTCGACATCAACTATCACGCTACGAGATGTTAGCAATGACAATAATCATAGGGTCATCTTTATCGCTTTAGTCGCGTCCATAATCTGCAGCAGTATCACTCTTGGCCTTGCGTTGTGGATTGGATTGCGTTGGCAGGGCGGCCAATTTGTATTCGATGCAGACAAGTTTTGCATCTATCATCTTTCACGATATTGTCCGCCTTCCTCTTATCATCTTGTATGTAGATAGAACTCATGCTAATTTGATCGTAGCACCACTTGTCAAGGAGGTACAACCCAATTGGCACGTCGTTCATTTCAATGGGTCTTTTTTGAAGGAAAATGTATACCGTCAGTCTGCAGGACCAGAGGTTGATGCGGCATGGTCTGCCCTAGGCGTTGACTGTAAGACAAAATTCGCATTCTTATTATCAATTCCTAACTTCCATGACAAGATCGGAGCCTCATAGTTCCCGCTAGCGAAGCGGAGAGAACGGGTTTGCGTCACGATCAAGTCCAGGTCAGCGATTACTACGGAGGGGGGTTCCCTGCCAACGTCGAGGGATTGCATCATCTTCACTGTTTGGTAAGGATAGGGAGCTTCGTCGAGAGTTCAAGATGCTAATATTTGTAGAATCTTCTTCGAAAGGCACTTCACTGGAACTATGACTATTACCGCGATCAGAAGGAAGGGGCCTTCTCGAATAGCGAATATGTCGTCCGGTATCACGTGACCCATTGCCTGGACATTCTGCGCCAGCAGCTGATGTGCGTGGTCGACGTAGGAGTGCTCGGTCAAGTGTGGTATCAGCCCGAAGGGGAGGGGAAGCCGTCCCCTTTCACAGATTTCAACACCAATCACCAATGCCGAGACTATGAAGCGGTCAGGATGTGGGCCGAGGCACATCAACTCCCACCAGAGAGCGAGGTGGACATGAGCAGATTCTATAAGAAGCCTGAGCCTGGTGACACCATTATTCCAGAGGTTCCGTGAAGGGGAGAAAGGTTGCTATATAGACATTGGCGTAGAGAAGGACGTTTGCAAGACGATGTGCTTACTATCAGATGATTGCTCAAGTTGTGGCCTCTGTGAGGCGTGACCAGCCCACGGAAGGGAGAACTTTCTCACTATGTGGCTAATTCTGCCTTGGTTTGACCACTCCGTCGTGGACGATGTAGTACACGACGGTGCTGTCGGAGTCAACTGTTGCCAGCACTAGCCTCTTCGTAGTTCTCCACGGATTGGCTAAGCGATCCTTCTCTTTGCTCAACGTCTCCGCCGCTGGGGGAACCAAGGTGATGCCGCTGAAGACGTCATTCAGACGCCGCAACGTCCACTTCTCACTAAGTCGGGTAGGTAGTATCCATTCCCGCTCCGGGTCTGCCTTGACATCCAGCGAGCCTTTATCCTCTCCTTCCTTCTGGCTCGCTCTCCGCCGCCGCTCAGCGTCCTTGAGCAGTTCGATCTGCTCGTCGGGATGGACATAGAGCCTCTGCGGCGGGAGGCCCGAAAGTAGCGGTCGAGGGAGGAGCTCATTGGTAGCCGGGGAGTGAGTATGGACACGCAGGTCGGTCCAGTGGTGTTGATGTTGCAGGTTGTACTGGATCTGGACAGCGAGGGCTTGCAAACTGGGCAGGTGGGTGGTTGATAGCATAGCAGGATCGCCGACGAGGATTTGGAGGGGGGATGGCTGCATAGCTGGTTTCAGATGTGGTGTCGCCATGGCCATGGGGGGCGCGGCAATTGGCGGTGGATGGTGGCCTCACAGGCTGAGGTGGGAGACGAACTTCGCTGTTGCGGGAAGGAGCGTAGATCCCGCGAAGCTACTAATCACGAGAGCGCCTTCAGCGCAATACGTAAAGGGAAACAGGCTGCACCGCTTCTACTGTGTACTTTCCACTCTTCTCGTTACAACATCCAAGCCAAGTCAAACACATATTTAAATCTTATTGCAGATATTCAACATATTCATATTCTTATTCAGATCGAGTCACCAGCGCCAAAGCTTGACCATGCTCATCACACCAGTCTTACTGCTTTTCGCTAGCGTCATTCCCTGCATGGCGGACAGCCCAGCGACAACGGGAAACATCTTCATGACTATCCAAACAATCGATGTCTCCTCGGTATCCATTCCGCGGCCTCTAACCGGGTCGTGCATTGGAACCGATTGCATCGTTGGCACTGAGACCGAGTCCCATTGCGTTGAAGTCTGTACTGGCAATTCTGCGTGCGCGCGGGCATGTAAGTCCCCCGCTTCCTACTTCGACCTTTCAAATCATGGAGACTAGGACTCTAAACCCATCAAAGGTGGTAGCACAGCCGCCGGGACTGAAACGGGCGGAGGATTCAGTATCCAAACCGACTCCACGTCGAACCCCGTTACCGTGCCACAAGCAACAACTGGCTTGCTTTCCACTGTCTCTGACACTGGAGTCATGTCGATTCCTTCTGGGGAAGTGACTGTTAGCAGGACTGCCAGCAGGACCGCTTCTGCTCCGGCACAGTCTTCAGGAACTGCTTCACGGGGCCAATCTACCGGCGACGGCGCCGTGATCCGCCTCGTGCTGACGCTCTCCATGCTATCCATCACTTTCGGTTTTGTATGGACGCTGATCTAATTGGAGAAGTGTTCTTGAGCTCTTTGTAAGCAGTCGACGGCTTGTGACGGCCCAGATTGATACCCTGGGTCATTGAGAAGCAGATTTCCTTCCGTTCATTCAAAAATTGGCTTACTAGTGGCGTTTGGGACTCTCGTGCTTGATTGGGAATGGTGGGGGTTATGTGCGTGCTGGATACAAACTCTTAAGAGTTGTGTGTGAGAGAGCCGTGTCTGAGGCCATGTAGCCAAAATTCAATACTCTGTGCGAGCCTTACGGCCTTATCGAATCTTGGTTGGTGATGAGTGAGGAGCCGTTGTCAGCAAGCCACTACGCCACTGCGGTTTAGCTCACCACAACCCCAGCCATTTGCGGGCTGGACTTGTCTGTGCTCCAATTCAAAAGCGATCCTGCTCGCAATCCTCGCTGACATTTATCCAGCAGGTTTCTCTCGCCATGATATGACATCGCAAAAGTAATATTTACGGAAGACGCCAGGATTCCGCAAAGGCACAGTGGCAAGTGGAACACGCACGCCAGCTTGGCTTAACGTCCCGCCGCTCTCCCACTGCACAGCAGGAGCTTGATCTTCCACATCGTCACCATTTTTCTCCCGTAAAGACAAAGCGCAGGCGCACTCCTCTCGCATTCCGGACTTATCCACCACAATGGCATCCTCGAGCGCCAATGCCCGTACTCCAGTCCCCTTTCCAAAGCCAGACCCAACTCAGCTACCTCAACAAGCCTCCAACACGGCAAGCTCGCCCATCACTCCAATGCGCCGCTCGCGAACCTCGACCAGTGCCTCCACCTCTTCAACCACGAGTCGCATTCGTGCGGCCAGCATAAAGTTCATAGAGGCAAGCCCGCCGCCGGGCATGTGGGCTGCGACTGGTACTGTTGTGTCGAAAGCGCCGACGCTGGCAGAGATTCGTAGGGGCTCGTTCAGCTCTTCCGGGTGGAATGAGGAGCCGCAGAGGTACAAAGCCGAGAGACGAGCAAGCCAGACTAGCCAGAGCGAACCCCACAGTCCAGTGCGACCGAACGCAGGAAAGGGCAAGAGAACAAGTTCGACAGGTACTCCTGGTGTAGTCGGCTCCGAACCTTTTCCTGCCCTTACCGAGGAAGAGATGAGCGCCGCACCGACCCGAGAACCGCAACCAACAGAAACCATATGGCAGATTCCCAGGTATGATGGCGTCGAGAAGGAGATGAGCGCCGGGAATTCCAAACCCAGCTCTGAGATTACTGAGAAGATGGAGGTGCCTGCACCTGCAGCTCCGCGGCTAGCACGGAAGGAGCGACAGGTAAGGCAATTCCGACGCTCTCAAATTTGCGCTGTTTGCTAATAATTGATCAGTTCTCCAACGGCTATGTGCCTCCACCGAAAGTACCGTGGACGCGATCCACCGCCATCGGCCTTAAGGCCTTCTGGAAATGGTTCCTTACCCCCGCAGGCTTCCTTATCACTCTCTATGGCCTCAATGTTGTCGCCTGGGGCGGCATGCTCTTCCTCCTACTATGCAATGCCGCGCCCGCAATGTGTAAACCCACCTGCAACGACATACAATCGCCCCGAAGAATATGGATAGAGATAGACTCGCAAATTCTCAACGCCCTCTTTTGCGTTACAGGCTTTGGGCTTGCGCCGTGGAGATTTAGAGATCTATACTGGTGGGGCTGGTGGAGGCTCGGCGGTTCAAAGCGCAAGGAGATTGGCATAAGGAGGCTGGCCGGGATCCACCGCGGTTGGTTCCGACTTGCAGGCTCCGACTGTTTACCTGAGCATGCGACCGTGAACACTGTAAACCCCGAAGACCCGGCCATACCAATCCCCGTCGACAAAATACCCGATCCTCCACCAACTGGCATTCATGCGCCGCCGACCAAGGGCTGGAAGATGGATTTCGTGGTCTGGATGAACATGTGGAACACATATTTTCAGGTTGTTCTCTGTTTCTACATGTACCATTACAACAGGTACACCCGGCCCTCGTGGGCAACTGGTCTTTTTGTGGCACTCGGATGCACTGTTGCTGGTCTTGGAGGTATCATGATGTTTCACGAAGGCAAGTATGTGAAGAGGGTGGAAGGGGTGCCTGTGCCCAAAGGGTACGAGGACCAGTTAGCGAGACGAGACATTGAGGTGCAGAACGTCCCGGTAGAGACGGTCCTGGATAGAATGGCGAAGATATGAGGCTGCCTAGGATGTTGCGTTGTGCACACGTTCGACATAATTGTCTTTTATTGGTTGAGTACATATTGCTAAACTCTTGGCGCCGGAAGCATCCCTTCTGGATTCTGGAGGATAGCAATCCGATACACCTACCAGGCTGAGTGCATCCTAAAGTTGACCAGTTCGCAATCTTCGAGCCTTCACCTGTCCTTTCAAGGCTCGGTTTTGGTGGATGGAGTGAGTTTCAGGCCAAGAGAAGCAGTCAAGAAACGCCTCGACCTTTTCCGGTTCGCTGTTGATCATCGCAAGGATGTTGACACAGCAAGAGGCAAACACCTACAGTAACCAAGAACTCCGGTCTACCCGATGTAGATCGAAGCACATCTCACAAGGTATTTGGTTGCCTTAAAGTGACGTAGGCGGGGTCTGGGGGATGAGCAAATGACTGCGGCACGAGACCCTTTTGTACAATCGACTTTCTATTTCCGGGCGTCCAGTCTATTTTAACTCACCTTCACCCATCCTACAATACTCCTCATATTCGCTTTCTGTCCCTAGCCTACGAATATTGATTATAATTGTGTCCTTGGACACTGGAAGAGACTGAACAGCGATGGCAGCGGCTGAATATTACTATGGCACCCAGGAAGTGCACAACCAGAATAGACCAAATGTCAACCCGCCACAACCCCAATTCCCATACCAGCAACCACCACCACCTCTGCAACAACACCTTCAACAATATGGCACGCCACTGCCGTCTTACTCCCTATACCCTCAACAACAGCCTCCTCGACCTCAAGGATACCCTTCCCAGCCTCACCAACAACCATATTCTCCCGCTAGTAGACCCGCAAGCGCTGCACCATATCCGCAAACACCACCCATGGCGCCGCAACTGTATCCCCCAGGGCCGCTACCCCAACAGAATGGATTTCTAGGCGCACCACTTCAACCCATCCGAAGTCACTCACAACCCGCTAGAGTCTATTTCGGAGATGAGAAGAAGTACGACAGCGATTCTAGCACCGAATTCTCGCCATCTCAGAGCGATCGGCCGCAACGGCGTTCCCACCATGGTCGGCGGAAACATCGGTCATCTCACGCTCAACACCATCACCGTCATGCTCGAAGTCGATCTCGCTCCTCATCCACCGACCGTGAACGTGACTTTGATTATCAACGAAGGCAAATGACGCGGAGAGCGGAACACAAAAATCGAGATACGTTTTTAGGAGCGGGAGGTGGTGCAATCATCGGCGATGCGATTTTCCCCGGTTTAGGAACTGCTGCAGGTTTGCTGTTAGGAGGTTACGGGGGAAGGAAGCATGCGCAAAAGAGTAGCAGCGAGACCGGGCAAGGTAGAGAGTTTCATCGGGGACGGCTGAGGGAGGGCGATGGGTGGGACGAGGGGAGTGCAACGTTTCGTAAAGGCCATGCTGTGAGATGAGTAAGGCTGCGTAGTTCCGGAATAGGTTCATGTAAATGGTGTTGGACATGTGAAAAGACTTTCTGGCAACGGCTGGGCGGATGCAGTTGCATACCTGTATATTATTACTCCTTTCGTGCTCCTTCATTTCTTGTCTGCGTCTGGTCAGCGTGTGGCTTTTTCGCAAATTACCCAGCAACGTTGTCCACATGTTCAATTTTCTTATACTGTGCATGTAGATCAAACGACTTCAATATCGAACAGCTTCAGCACCTCACTTCACGATCAATTGATGAGCGCGCCCAGATCCAGCAACCCCGTTTTTCCTCCAATGGATGCCCTGCAGGATGCTGACAAACATGCATTACTGAGCTAGATGCTCTCTTTCCCGGGCCGATATTTCTGTATTTTCACGCCCTTCGCTTCACATATCATGTGTATGAATATCCCATCAGACACAAAATAACCTCACCCATAGGCATTACTCCAGAGTGTCGCCCAACGATCTTGTTGTATTTTCGTTGTACCTACGTTAAAAGACTCGCCTTTCTGTCGGAATACAACTACGACCCTGAATAGTAATCATTTCAAACTCCGAGATTGAATCCCAAGAACTGGGGTTTTCTTTGAAGATTTTTAATCTATTTCTGCATAGGAAATTTCTCTCTCGCAATCGCAAATACAGAGTTGAAAATTTATGCTCGTGAAACTTAACTCTTCCTGGAGTACGTCACGTGGATCCTACTTTCCTTCCAAGACTGACGTTGTATAGGATCGATCATTTCCAAGCTAACCTCCTAACATCATGGATATGAACAGAATTGAGCTGGAGGTCCAAAGCCCGTCAACGCATGCTGGAACATCGTCTAGAGTCGAAGCAGATCTTGAACGCGAATCGAACCTAGGGTCCGGCACCGCCCATGGACACGAATTCTCACTTGCTCCAGTCGATCGAGGTAGAGATGCATGGATGTTTCTAACGGCAGCTTTTATGGTAGAGGTGTTAGTATGGGGTACGTACAAAACTCCAGCCTTCGAAAGAACGCTTAAAAATTAGGTCGAAGAACTGGCAACGAGATTGTACTGACTAGCGAAAGGGTTTCCTTTCGCCTACGGGCTTTTCCAGGAATTCTACAGCTCTCATGAACCATTCGCAGGGTCCAAGAATATTGCAGTTATTGGCACCTGTGCTATGGGTGTCATGTATCTTTCTGCCCCGCTGGTGTTCGGAACACTGCAACGCTTTCCTCGATTAAAACGGCCGGCTGTTGTATTTGGACTAATTACGATGTGCATTGGGCTGGGGTTGAGTTCACTGTCCCAGAATGTGACACACTTGATTGTAACTCAGGGTGTTTTCTATGCCGTTGGAGGAGGGCTTGTTTATTCCCCCACGATATTGTTCATGGATGAGTGGTTTGTGAAGAAGAAAGGCTTCGCGTTTGGGGTGATGTGGGCATGTCTTCCCCTTTTCCCCATTCCTCTATGCTCCTACAACAACACTGACACGTTCAGGCCGGAACCGGTCTCGGCGGCGTCCTCATCCCCTTACTCCTCCAATACCTCCTCAACAACTACGGCTTCCGCACAACCCTCCGATGCTGGTCCATCATCCTCTTCCTCGCCACTGCACCCCTAACCTACTTCCTCAAACCTCGTCTCCCCATTTCGCAAACCCGCAACCCACGCCCCTGGAACCTCTCTTTCCTTTTCACACCCACCTTCCTCCTCCTCCAAACCGGCAACATCCTTGAAGGCCTCGGCTACTTCGTACCCTCCATCTACCTCCCAACCTTCGCCCGCCAACTCGGGGCAAGTGGAGAAGTTTCCGCTCTAACCATCATTCTGTTCAACATCGCCTCCGTGTTCGGCTGTATCCTTATGGGCCTGATTATAGACCGCTGGCATGTTACAACATGTATCCTACTCTCCACCATCGGATCTACACTCTCTATTTTCCTCATCTGGGGATTCAGCACCTGCCTCCCTCCCCTCTTCATATTCAGCCTGTTGTACGGGCTCTTTGCAGGTTCTTTCTCTTCAACCTGGCCTGGAATAATGGTAGCCGTGAAACAGCATTCCGGCGCTGCGGACGCAGACTCAAGCATGGTATTTGCGATGCTGGCCGCGGGCCGTGGGATTGGGAATGTGGTTTGTGGACCTGTTAGTGAAGCATTGAAAACAGGGGGGAAATGGGATGCGGTGGGGGTTTATGGAGACGGGTACGGGACACTGGTTGTGTTCACGGGGGTTTCCGCCGCGTTAGGCGGGATCGGGGTGTTGGGGAGACGTGTAGGTTGGGTTTGAGTAAGAGGAATTGGATTGGGCTGGGTTGGCGTGAAAACTGGAGCGATGTTTGATGGCATGTCATATAGCTGTCTCTTCCGAAGAGATAGATCTAGAGATTGCGACGGAATGAGAAGCAGGAGAGTGGTTTTGGAATGCTCTACTGTTAGTAGAAGAAAGCTTCGGCGACGTAGTCTGTCGTGATATTGGTATCTAAACCACAAAAGGGTTTCTACGACGGGGATTTAATCGGACGGTTTTGGTCTCTAAAGCCTGTTGCTAGAATGGTAGAAAACGTTAAGAAGATATCAGATTCTGCCCTAAATCCACCCCTAGCATTAAGCAATCTACCCTGTACATCCCTGAAGGACTTGTTAAATATCCTTGGCTTTAACGCTCATCCAGCACCCTCCTTCTTCCACCATCGCATTACGAACGCCGGCACCTCCATTACCCATTCCCCAATCCCCAAAACACCTACGCAGTCTAAGGAAGACCCGGTTTTCCTGACATGTAGCAAACGGATAGTAAATCCCCATAGCCATCGCAGCTAGCATATTTTCTTTCATAAGAGGAGCAGCCTTGGGTAGAAGGTTTCGGGCTATCAGTTGGTGGACGTGTTTGAAGAGGCTGCAGAGGCCGATAAGGAGAGGCGTTAGGTCAAAGAATTAAGTAGTGGAAACGTGGAGGGAGGGCACTTTGGAGGATTGGGGTTGGATTGAATTGGATCGGTAGGGTTTGGGTGGGCTTCGGAGTGGACGAACTGTCTCTGTCACTCTGGGATTCTAGAACAGGATATGACGATGAAGGGTAGAGATGAGAATACCTTCGCGACACAGTTTATTGATGTTCGAATATTTACTCACTCGTGTGATGGATCGCGTTATGCATGTAGGGTACAGAGTGGTGGACTTAGTCAGGAGTTATGTTGTAGCTAGAGACGACAAAAAAGCTGTAGACTTTAGCAAAAGGGAAATATATCCTTGGGACAGGCTTGATAGAAAGATACTTATAGGCTTATCATTACCAGAACTGCGTAGATATACGATGCACCATCTATGAAAGGGAAGTTGAAAGTGGAGATAAACAGAAAGCAAGAAAATAGTTACAATCATTCGTAGTAGAACTGAGGCTCTAGCGTCCAGTGATCTTCCAACTCACCCTCATGTCTGTGGAGGAAATGCCAGCTATCCAACCTCTCCTTATCCCAGAAGCAAAACCCAATGTTTCGGAAATTGGTCACAAAGATTCCCTTTGCATCTTCAGAATCTAGAGTGTCCAAACCGAAGTCAGACCTGCACTTACGGAAAGCCATCCACCCAGCGTTCGGGCGATTCAGTTCAGGGGTATCATGCCATGCTTTAAACGGCCCGCTCCTGCATAACTGGTCGTTTGCCCACAATCCTGGTCCCAGTCTTTGTTCAACTGCACGCCAGAACGCTTGAAGTTGATGATTCGTGAGCGTTGTTGGAAGGGAGGAGTATGTTGTGGATGGTTGGATTCCACACTTGCAATTGACGCATTCGAGAGGGTCACGATTCTTGCTCATTTGCCGACTTACCAGTGGACAGCCTTCATGCGGCGATACAGGGCGAAAAGAGAGCTTGCGACGAACCATAAACTGGTATACTGTAACCATCTCATCTATCTCAAAGATGGCCAGTCGGCTTAGGTATACGGAATAGGCGTCGTTAGCTACAAATTCGGGAGACAGCTTGAATGTGTCGGCGTAATTGTAGAACAGCACGCCAAACAACTTCAGGCGTAGGCAAGCGCGTGTAATCCGGAGTCGCTCGGTGGAAGAAAGAACAAGAAGCGGAATAACGGCGCCAGGGTTATCATAATGGCATGCCCGTGAGTAATCATCGAACGCGTATGCTTTTACGAGGTCCATGATTTCGTCTTCCAAGGCGCACAACTTGTCCAGCACTTCTAGTGCATCCTCACCTTTTTGTAAAATCCGCTGCGATTTCTCTGTATCCAGATTTCCGGCCAAATACTCCCCGACGCTGTCTGGTCCTGGCCCCAATGCGATATCGAATTCGATGCTGCGAATGATGCTGAAGGTTGTCAACGTCAAATTCTGCACCTGAGAGCCCATCACGCCAACAGTGTCACGAAGAAGGCGCTCAGGAAACATTAAGAAGAGCTCTCGAATGTGCCAGCTAGATGCAATGGCATCTTGAAGAGTGTGGGTGTCGAGGAAAGCAAGGACGCAGACTTGGAGGTCGAGGGGGAGGTCGAACAGCGGGAATGAGGGACGCGAAATGCTTAGGGTACGGCAGGGTTTTCGATGGCGAGGTTTTCGATTGCGACGCATTTTGATATATCAGCCAGGCTGGTAGCTGATATGTGACCAAAGACAGAAATGGAGGTGCGTGTTAAAGACTTGCTGGCCCCGGTCTCAAGGCAGCCATCCACTGGGTAAACTTCAGCCACACTCTCGCCTAATCAGACACAATCAACAATCGAGCTTCTCTCACTCTTATAAATTATTAAAGCCTTTACTTATACTTAACATAATACTAGAATAACGTGTTCAGCAAGCAAGTAAGACAGTTAATAAACATACTAGGCTAGTTTATGCTAAGATAGCCTAGATTATGCTTAGCGTGTTGTCAGATTGAAGCACTGTTTCTGGGCTTCCTGAGATGAATGATGGGTTTGGATATGATGTATGGGATGATGATTTATTGTATTGATTTCTCGATCCTTTTTCTGCTCTGCTCGTGTTGCTCGGCTTTTGTTTTTCCGGTCCGAGTCCCTCGCGCACTAGCCCTATGCGCGACCAGCTTGCAACATGCTGCAATTTGCTGCAACATGCTGCAATTTGTTGCAAAATGTTGCAAAATGCTGCAATTTGCAGCAACATACTGTTCGAGCTTATTGCTCGTACTATGTAGCAGCTTTCGTCCAGCGTTCCTCCTGTCTTGACAGTAGGTGCGCATATCTGACACGTGTAAAGAATTAGATATATTAGCTATAGCTGCTATCTAAGAGGAAAATCCTTGCGCATTTAGCTTAAGTATATGCTTAATAATTACCTACTTTTTATTATTATCTAGGTTTTATAACTTAGCTGTATAATTATCTTATAAAAGTTATTTAGTGTGTTAGTTATTTATTATTTTTTAAAAGACTTTATATAGCTGTAGTATGTTACTTTAAAAATATTACATCTTATTTAAAAGCCTAGAGTATAAGATGTATCTAACATTCTTTTAGCACATCTAAGTAGTATTATTAGAAATATATTAGTGTAAAAAAAGTAGTTTAGTGTTGTCTTAGTAAAAGTAAGCAACTTAGGTGTGTAAGCAACTTGCCTATAGTGTACGTTACCTAATAAACTAATATCTTGTCATGGTTAACTTGGACATGCCTCGGACTCTCCCCGGAGAGCCCTCGGCCCGGCCTTGGGCACATGACGTCCCGTCACGTGCCCCAGCACCTATATATATATCCTCTCACGAACCCCTGAGTCTCCTCAAGGATTCGTCTATCAATACTATCCTGACCCCCTTCAGCGCTTCATGCTTCCTGCTTCACAGTGCTCTCACATATCTAAAGGTTTTTTGTATCTGCTCTAACTCTGCCCTAGCCCCTGCTGTACCCTTATTCCTCTAAGTATTTAGTTGCACCTCTTCTCTTAGCTAGCTTAGTGGTTTTCTAATATCCTTCTGTACAAGGCCTATAGGTGTTAATAGAATTCCTAGGTTTCTGAGTCCCCACGCACTCCCATATGCCTCTGAGTGGATTCACACCGCATTCGGACCCGTTGTCTTGCCTGCGTTGTTACAATAGATACTTATTTCTATTTATTTGCTTATACTTTTACACCTTATCTGTACCAGATGAGGACATCTGCTTAGGAGAGGGAGGATAGTTGTAATAGGGACATCGGATGACCCTAAGGGTGGCCTGGGAGATCGTCGTGGTGGGTATATACAGCACCACCACGACAAGGACCAGGCGCCTGCGAAACATCACCGAAACGCTAGCGCAACAGAGGTCGCCTTAGATAAGAGCCTTGCCCTCTGTAGACAGAGGGCAGAATTCAGTCTTGACGCTTCCTCAGCGATTGCTACGCTGCTATTACCGTCAACGAAGTGCTGTATTAGCGCAAAAATTGTTAGTACCAAGAACACTCCTAATACCATATAACTTTGTATAAAAACGCCTGTACCTCTATTACTTGCCTCGCCTATATTGCATTTCTCCAAAGTGTCTGTTACCATTAGCCCCTCGTCGCCACCAATACCTATCCTACGATGGGCCTAGCAGGGTACAAGTAGTAATATATTGTGGGGTTTATACGCAAGAAGGCTGGCTATGTCTTTACCCGTAAACCTGTCACACCAAAAGAAATACAAAAACTGCCCTCCGGGCCTTACATACCTAGTATTAGCGCATATGTGAGCCGGCCGATGAAACACCTTGCTTACTTATGACCACAGTATACTATGAGGAACCCATGATGTGCTGGGGTTGAACACGAACTCAACAGACCCCTATATTATGAAGCTAGAGTCGTGGCTGGCGCACCTAAAATCCACTCCTCATTCCATTCAGGGAGATACGAACCAAACAGGTCTAAGATGTCGGTCCCAGCTAGAACCTCCGCATCAGCCTGGAGTGGCCAATTAGCAGCATTTGGCTGAATTGGATCATTTGTTGGTAAGCCAACTTGAGTCACAACCTTTGAGACCTGGTCTGGGCCAGTAGGAGCAAGCGCAGTGGTAGGTGACACCAAGGCAGAGATGCCGGGTGTGATGCTATCGCTTTGCGGCTGTGTCTTTTCGCGGACGTAGCATCGTGCGATATGTGCGAATTCGGAGAGGATAGACCCTGGCAAGGTGCCTTGAGAAGCATACTCTATCCGACTGAAGTGACCACTACCGATGTCGAGTAGAGCGAGGTTGGCGGCGGTGTCGGAATGAGATGGATTATCGATGACTAGATCGAAAAGAACGAACAAGGCTGTGAGTGGTACGGCAGCCAAGATCCTAGACCGTCTATCAGTAAAACTATTGAACGAAGCACAAGGACTATATATACCAGAGAGGTGTATACGGTTGAACGTCGATACATTTGGTCATTTCAAGTATTGACCGTGTCGTGCGCATAATATCGCTGACTGTCTTGGAGAGGTCGGTGTCTGGATGTCGTAGATGAAGTGCTGCACGATTGAGATGGAGCATCGTGTTATGGTATCCATAGTGGAATCTGATATAGATGTTCACCATCTGAGCTGTCTGAAAATGGTGGTGGTTCCGAAACCCTTGTCCTGGCCGAAAGGGTGGAGGAATGGACATGCGCCAACACTCCAGTTCGTCTCGAAGGCGGTCGATAGTTGATTTGAAATAGTCTCTTGGTCGGCCTCGTATGCTAACGGAATGAAGTGATGCGTATATGCGACTAAACAGTCTTGACAATCTGATTAAGGTAAGGAACGAATCAAACTCCTCATGTCCTACGGCTTGGTCTTCCTGGACTGGAAGTGCACTACTTATATCAGAGTCGATGATAGATGAGCTCTTCGCGATAGTGAATGTCATAGTTTTTTCCAGGCAGAACAATACCCAGAAAGTGCGATTTCGAGCGTCGTTCCCTGGAGTAGAAAGCCGGTTGTACCCAAGCATCTGCGCTTTCTTCACGCCCTCGGCGACTAGTGCGTACTCAAATTGCATACATGATACGTTGGACGCGAAAATGGCGAGGGTGGTAATGGCTTGAACACTGACCAAGCTAGCCTTGGTGATAAGCAAGTCAAGAAAGATTGCTAGTGCTGTGGAGAAGAACTTCCATGCTACATTGTTGGTAGGCTGAAAGCTTCCGCCGTCATTGTACTGCGAGCCAAGCGCGAGGATTCCGAAGAACAGGGCCGACCAAGCCTTGTCGATAGCGAGCTTCTCTTGGAGTTGCGGACCAGATGCGATGGATTCCACTTGGGACCTATCCAGAAAAGGATATATGGGGTGTACATGTTCGAAGTACGCTTAGTAGAGTCAGTGGGATTTAACATGACGACATGGCACACGTTGATTTACCCCGAATGCAGGTTGTGATAAAGGTATCACTAGCGCCGAACACCCGACATCGGTCATTGTCGCAGGCAGGTGCAGGGACTCGCTCGACAGTCCGCATACGCTGAGTGATGATGGCAGCCATCTGAGCTCGTATCTTTGAGATGCGGTCATGGCCAAGTCGGAGCCCGAGTGAGGCAAGCCGTGCCTCGGAAAAGAACGTCAAGCTGTATTCGCTGCCTGCCTGGAATCAGCAAGATGTTGTGGCTCGGAGCCGAGCAAAACGTGTACCAAACACTCCGAGGGTCTACCTTGTTTAGCAATCATCACACGATGGTCTGGCGGCGGAGGAATACAGTGATGGCTTACCTGCAGAGACTCGCATTGAGCCTGCCGTGCCGATCCTAGACAGCTGCCCGCGAGCAGTCGGTCGAGGTGTAATTCTTGCAACCCATCGTACTGCGTCGCTTCGCTTATTGCGGGAGCGTCATTAGCCTCCAGAGTCTGGTGCGTGTCGTCACTTAAGCTCGGCAAGTGGACCGCTGGAGTGGTAGCCGGGACATCTGCTCGATACTTTAGTCTCTGCGGCTTTCGCAGCAAACTGAAGTGGCAAGCCTCATTCCTGCGCGCGCAGTTGAGGCAGCTAGTGGCTTCCCGATGCTCTGGATGGTGGATGAGCCAGGGATTGATATCTGAAGTGAGGACAGACGTACCTCTGCCGCTGCAACGCACCTTGCGGGCTTTACATTGGTCGCATGATTTCATCCGCTTGTCGTGTCTGCTCATCTTTGAAGCGACGATCAAAGATTCTGACCATGATGGACTCTTGCGACAGCCTGGAGGGTCCCGGGAGTTTTGGAGATGAGGCCTGGGTGCTCGGAGCCGAGGGGTTGCGCTAGCGCGGTCCACTCTTCCCGTTCTTGGCCTCGCTTCCGAGGTTTCTTCTCAGCTCCACCGTGACGACCATCGCCGTGCTCACCACCATGCAATGGTGCATATGGCATCCGCTTTTTCTGTGCAAACGCCCGGTTTCTCCCTGAAGAAGCCGGCCGAGTTTGAAGATGGATCTGAAGCGATTAAGGCCAGAGGCTTCAGCCCTCCCAGCTGGACGCTTGGGAAAACGTCTAGCTGCAATTCACTATTTCATCTTACATCCGCTATTTCGCACTCTTCATTCTCATTTCCCTTTTATCTAGGCAGACCGTTGTCTACCCACGTACAAAATGCTTGCAGACAGCGCCGGCAGGCCGTCTCCTACACTAGGGCCAGAACCCAAGGAGCCACTGTCACCGCACGACGTTGCTCACCTTCGACGCGTCTCAACTGCGACTGGAGTATCCAATGCTGCTTTCGACCCTTTCGATACCCGAGATCCCCATTGGACCCTGGAGCAGACACTCAGAGCCGCCATCGACCGCGGGCAGCAGACGGGTGCCGGGCCTTTGTCGCCGCATGTGTCGCTCTGCTGGAAGGATGTCTCTGTTACGGGTGACGACGTCGGCCGCGTTACTCAAAAGGATGCCATTTCCCTCTTCACGGACGTCGTTCCCTTCATTCGGAAGCTTTGGACCAAGACACCCGAGAAGCTAATCCTGGATGGTATTAATGGCCTCCTCGATCCCGGAGAGATGCTTCTCGTTGTCGGTACACCCGGTAGCGGCTGCACTACGCTCTTAAAGGTGCTTGCCGGCCAGACAGAGCATTATAGAAGCTGCAGTGGCTCCATCACCTATAGCGGCATTCCTCTTGACACCATGCGCGAGCGGTTCCAGAGCATGATGTCATTCAATGACGAGGAGGATAGCCACTTCCCATATTTGACAGTCGCCCAGACGGTCGAGTTTGCTGCAAGCACAAAGGCACCCCATCAACGAATCCACGGCATCTCACGCAAGCAGTTTGTCACCATGACAAGGGACATCTTACTTGCCGCTTTCGGGCTCACCCACGCCGCTAATACCCGGGTAGGGAATGACTTTGTCCGCGGCGTATCTGGAGGGGAGCGACGGCGCGTCTCTATCATCGAAATGGTATGACCCAACGCCTTTACTGTTGGTTCCATGCTAACTTCTGATAGCTGCTGACCAGGGCGTGCGTCAGTTGCTGGGACAATCCGACTAGAGGCCTGGACTCATCGACTTCGCTCGACTTTGCACAAGCTCTCCGCACTGCCACCAGCCTGACCGAAAATGTTTCCATATCGGCTCTATATCAGCCGAGTGACGCTCTCTCCGGCATATACGACAAGGTCCTTGTTCTCCATGAAGGCCGTCAGATCTTCTTTGGTCCGCTAGATGATGCTAAGTGCTACTTCGAGGACCTAGGCTTCATATGCAGCTCGCGACAGACCGTCGCCGAGTTCTTAATCGCGGTGACTGATCCAAACGTTAGAACCGTGAGGGAGGAATTCCATGACCGGGTCCCACGCACTGCGGCTGAGTTCGCTGATGCGTGGAAGGCAAGCGAGGGCTACCACCTTCTGCGGCAAAATATTGCACAGCACAAGACAGACAGCGACTCGCAGATGTCGAGAGAACTGGATCGGCTCAAGGCCCATCGTTCGGCTGAGAAAGCGCCTGCCACACGACATCGCTCGCCCTACAGCCTCAATCTCGCACAACAATTTGCGACCACCTTCGTCCGCGCAGCCCAGCGTGTTCGAGGCGAGTATGCATATTTTGTAGCCATCACAGTCACCATGCTGGTCATACCAATGGTTATTGGATCCATGTTCTACGATATCAATCCGGGCACTAACGGCTTCTTTTCCAAGGGTGGCGTCGTCTTTTTCATAGTTCTTTTCAACATCATTGTCAACTTCGCCGAAGTGGTTGCGCAGTTTTCGCAGAGACGTATTGTGGAAAAGCAGCACTCTTACGGCATGTACCACCCGTACATCGACGCGCTGGCGACTATGATATCACAGTACCCCATCAAGATGATAAACATCCTCGCCTTTACGGTCATCGTCTACTTCATGGCGAATCTCAAGCGAGAGGCTGGCGCATTCTTCACCTTTGTTGTTTTTGTCTATCTCACCACGCTCACGATGACGGCTTGGTTTCGGCTGGTCGCTGCCCTGACAAAGACCGTCGAAACTGCGCTTGCAGTGGCAGGGCTGTCCGTTCTTCCTCTCGCCATGTATGCCGGCTACGTAATCCCCCGCCCATCGATGCATCCCTGGTTCAAGTGGATATCATACATCAACCCCATTTTCTATTCGGTTGAAGCGCTTATGACAGTCGAGTTCCACGGACGGAAAGCTCCTTGCCAAATGCTTATTCCCTCTGGTCCAGGTTTCGAAAATGTTGACGTCGCTAATCAAGTTTGTCCAGTCGTTGGTGCAAAACCAGGACAAGCCTTCGTTCTCGGCGATGACTACATTGGCTTATCGCTCGATTACCACTATACCAACATATGGCGCAATCTTGGCATTTCTATCGTCTTCTTTATCAGCTTCACCATCTTGTACGCAGCAGCAACTGAGTTTGGAAAGATCCATGGCGTGACCTCTAGCTACATGATTTTCCGCAAATCGCCGCCCTGGGCACGAGCGCAGACCCGACAGGACATTGAGTCAGATCAAACCAGCTCAGAGCACCATGAGAAGGCGACGTCAGAAGTAGATCAAAACTTGTTGCTCGCGCCAAGTCGAGACGTCTTTTGCTGGAAGCATATCAGCTACGACATTGACGTCAAAGGCAAGAAGCGCCGACTGTTGCACAATGTGCAAGGCTTTGTTGAGCCGGGAACCCTTACTGCTCTGATGGGCGCATCCGGCGCTGGTAAGACAACGCTTCTGAATGTCCTGGCCCAGCGAGTTAGCACAGGCGTTGTATCAGGCGAAGCCACCATTAATGGTTCCCAACTTGACGAAACTTTCAAGCGGCGGACGGGATACTGCCAGCAACAAGATATCCATATGGCAGAGATGACTATACGCGAAGCATTCCGCTTCTCCGCACTACTACGTCAGTCAAGGGATATTTCTATTGCAGAAAAGCACGCGTATGTGGAGAAAATCATCTCTGTCCTGCGCCTGGAAGACTACGCCGACGCCGTGATTGGGGTGCCCGGAAAAGGGCTGAATGCAGAGCGACGGAAACGTACAACTATCGGTATTGAGCTTGTTGCGCGTCCTTCTCTGCTCCTATTTCTCGATGAACCGACATCAGGTCTTGACTCCCAATCGGCGTGGTCCATTATCAGGCTTCTGCGAGAGCTGGCTAACGCTGGCCAAGCAATTCTCTGCACCATCCATCAGCCGTCCTCCGCTCTTCTCAGCGAATTTGACCGACTGCTTCTCCTAGCCAGTGGAGGAAAGACGGTCTACTTCGGAGAGCTAGGACAGGACTCGCAAACAGTCATCGATTACTTCGCCCAATATAGCGCTTCACGGTGTCCGGAAGATGCCAATCCAGCCGAGTACATGCTTGCACAGATTGGTGCCGGCACCAGTGGGCATGCGACACTCGACTGGCCCTCTATCTGGGACATGTCCACGGAACGGCAAGCAGCGACCTCACGCATTCAGCAGCTGGAGTCTGCAAAGAATACGAGCAACAACACCACCTCCCAGGCCCTCAGAAATACATTTGCAGAGACCTGGCTTGCTCAATATATCATCGTGCAAAAGCGGCTCTTCGCACAGCATTGGCGTTCTCCCTCCTATATCAACGGGAAACTCTTCATCAACATCGTAGGCGGCCTATTCATGGCATTCACCTTCTACAATGAGCCCCACTCCATCCAAGGCCTCCGAAATAAGATTTTCTCCATCTTCCTAGTCTTACTCCTCTGCCTCACTCTTGTCGTGCTCCTACAGCCCCGCCTCATTACTCTCCGAGAAATCTATAATGTCCGCGAAAAGCATTCGAACATGTACCACTGGAGCGTCTTGGTCGTCGCCAGCATTGTCGTCGAAATCCCCTTCAACTTCATCATCTCCAGCTTATGCTTCCTCTGCTGGTTCTTTCCTGTTGGCTGGTGGCGAGACATCTCCGACGGTCGAAGCGTGTTCATGTGGTTTGTCTTCCTACTTTATCAACTATATCATACCACCTTTTCCCAGGCCATTGCCACGATTTCACCCAACGCAGAGACGGCAGCCATGATAACAATATTGTTCTACACCTTCATTCTGGCTTTCAGCGGCGTACTGCAACCCCTCAGCCAGCTCGTCGGTTTCTGGCATTTCGCGTACTACATCAGTCCTTTCACCTGGCTGGTCTCCGCTCTCATGTCAACTGGCACTCACGGCATGCCCATTGAATGTGCCCCAGCTGAAATCAGTATCTTTCAACCGCCCGAGGGCAAGACTTGCGGCGCGTATGCAGGCTCATTCTCACAAGCCGTTGGAGCCACCATCTACAACTCCGATGCCACTTCCGACTGTCAGTTCTGCTCCTATGCTGCAGCAGATACTTACTTGGTGAGCTTGAACATGATTTACAGTGATCGTTGGAGGAACGTGGGATATCTCATCGCATATACTGTGTTCAATGTTGCGGTTTTCGCTGCTGGATTTTACTTTTACACTGGCCATGGGTCTTTGAAAAAAATGGCGAGGCTTGTTAGTAAGCGAAAGAAGTGATGAGGAAGGTAGATTCGCTTCGCCTGTCCCTGGGTTATATCTGATGGCTCCTGTAGGATACCTAAAAATGTTTCTTTTTGGGAATTACTAGTTATCTAAATTGCAAATCCTACATTCGGCGAGAAACCATCGCCCCGAAAATACTTCTGGCGATCTAACGAAATCCACCAGTACAGCCGCTCGGTCTCGCGAACGAAGCGCTAGGTTGTAGATTGGATTCGCGTGTCGTGGAAGCGGTAAGAGAAGTTTGCTTGGGCTTGCATTGGACCTGTGCAACTCACCAGCTCAGCTGTGAACATACACAACGTCCTCCTTGTACATTATATAACCCAATAATTCCACGTGGGGCGGAGCTGGAATCTCAAACGTATCGAGTTCACCCTGTTGCCACGCCATCCATTGCTCTGCAATACTGACATCCTTCTCCTTCTCAAACCGGAATTTCTTTTCAAAATCATAATTTCGCGCGAGGTAATTCATGATTGCAAGAGTTTCAAATACAATATGGCCTTCCTTGTCATGACCAACGATGACGGAGACCTTGCCGTTTGAGCTGAGCACCGTGAACCAGGGGGCTTTGTTTCCATCGGCGAAAATGTTGATGCTCTGGTAGGCATATTCAAGGCCGTATGCTTCTTTAATTCTTCTAGGAGGATGGAGACTTTGAAGCCTGGGTGGTGCAGGATTAGTGGGGGAAGGGAAAGAGGTGGTGGGGGATCCGTACCGTGGGATGTGCCGAAGGTAAGGAGTTCGATTCCTCTAGTGGCTTTGGGACCTGCTACTTCAGTGAGTTGAGCTATTGCGTTGTGCTTTATATGCCAAGGTAGAAGTACGATAGGCCGAGGGGGGATGAAGCCTTTTTGTACCATCTAACATCCGTCCTGTGCGGCAGGTACTTCCAAAATATAGGGTTGAATTGCACTATTTCCATGACTCTGCTTCGAAATCAAAACATACTGCCCCGACCCCTAACACTCGATACTGAACAAGCAAAATCAAAACGAAATTTAGCTAATCGTCTCTCTTAACTTAGATCCGCTCACCTGCTCGAGTAATATTGATACAATTGGAAGCTCCGCCGGAGACTGTGTAGCAGCACTCCACTATAAGACGTACGGGTTCCGGCGAAGGTTCAAGAGGCAGCCAGCATTGTACGGCGTTCCCGAAGCCCGTCTCACCGACCGCAAATACTTCGTGAGCCCCAATCAAGGGAAGTATAGCGTCGCTGGTATAGCAGTCTGGCCCTTCATCCACGCCTCTGCTGTCACCGGTATTAAGCTCAAGCGCTTCCCGAATCTTTACAAGTAGTGGGAACGTATTTCAGGGAGGCCTGCGGCGAAGAAAGGTACTACTGTACCGGGTGCCGAAGAGTTTCGGTATGGTCATGAGAAAATGAGGGAGTGGATGGAAGGGGATGAGAGGGGGTGGAAAGAGAGTGAGGCGCCACTAAGGGAGGCGCTGAAGGGGGCGAAAGAGGAATTCGGGGGCATCTGGAGAGTATTTGGTTACAAGACAGAATTTGTGATTGTATAGTGGTTGATCGTTCATAGGCAGGAAGTCTTTTCGAAGAGGGTAATTCGATCAACGAGCATGGAACGTTCCTTGATGTCTAGATCTCTAGGATGTAGTAGTGCTCATGTTAGTCTCTTAACACAAGAACAGCTCTGCATAGCCCCTTTTTCTCAAATTTCTATCCGAAAACGTTACAATGTGATTAAGAGCTTCCATGCCACGAAAGTCTCGTGCATATATTAAGGCGTGCGTTCGCGAGGGTCGCCCGAATTGCTCCCCGGGATAATAAACTCTTAGCAATTTCGCCCTGTAAATTTTTGTGCGATGCTTCTACACCATAGGATTCCGCCTTACGGTGTGAGGTGGAAAAATAATAAATAACTGACGCGCTAGACGACTTTTATAAGCTAATTCTACAACTAACTTATAACATACACTATAGGCAAATTGCTTACACACCTAAGTTACTTATTTTTGCTAAGACCTTACTAAACTACTTTTTTTACACTAATGCATTCTTAATAACACTACTTAGACATGCTAAAAGAATGTTAGATATAGCTTATACTTTAAGCTTTTACATAAAACATAACACTTCTAAAGTAACGTACTTCATGGGCGAGTTGCTCACACACCCAAGTCGCTTACTTTTGCCAAGACCCCACCCTAACAAACTCTATTATAGCCTATAACAACCCGCTCTAGCACTATTGTCAGATTGAAGCACTGTTTCTGGGCTTCCTGAGATGAATGATGGGTTTGGATATGATGTATGGGATGATTGATTGATTGTATTGATTGTGTTGATTTATCGATCCTTTTTCTGCTCTACTCGTGTTGCTCGGCTTTTTGTTTTGCCGATCCGAGTCCCTCGCGCACTTGCCCTATGCGCGACCAGCTTGCAACATGCTGCAATTTGCTGCAAATTGCTGCAAAATGCTGCAAAATGCTGCAATTTGCTGCAACATACTGTTCAAGCTTATTGCTCGTACTATGTAGCAGCTTTCGTCAAGCGTTCCTCCTGTCTTGACAGTAGGTGCGCATATCTGACAGGTGTTTTCACTAGGATCTTTTGCACCCTTGTATTATTAGCGAATCGAAATTGGTCCGTGACAAGACCTCTTTAGGTGGCTAATATGGCTTAGCGTATGCAAACATGACTCCCAGGCTGTCAGCAGTAATCATAGGTAAGATCGCAACTGAGAATGATCAGCCCACCCCACATCCGGCGAGGACAGTCTACAATCACCGCAATTTGGTTGTATAATATCACAAGCTTTCTGCGCAGAGACCAAACAGTCACCTCCAACATTCTGGACCACATCTTGTCCAACCACTCCACTCTTCGTACACCCAACCGAAATCATGTCGGCAAACAATAGCAAGCGCAGTGTGCTCATTACAGGCTGCTCGGACGGCGGTCTCGGTGCGGCGCTCGCTATTGCTTTCCACGAAGCTGGTTGCCACGTCTACGCCACTGCCCGCAATGCTTCTAAGATGGCGAACCTGAAGGCCCTCGGTATTGAGACAAAAGAACTGGACGTACTATCCGAATCGTCGATTGCAAAATGTGTCAGTGAGGTCCCAAATCTCGATATACTAGTCAACAATGCCGGTCTGCAGATGACAATGACGGCATCCGACACATCCATACCCCAAGCCAAGGAGATCTTTGACGTCAACGTCTGGGCGATGATTTCAATGTCACAAGCCTTCTTGCCCCTCCTTGTCAGATCGAAAGGCGTTCTCGCAAACCATACATCGATATCCTCGGTGGTTGCCATGCCACTTGGTTCGGCATATGGAGCATCCAAGGCTGCTGCCGCACATTTCACGGCCGTCATGCGGATCGAGCTGAAGCCTTTCGGAGTCAAGGTCGTGGACCTGAAGACAGGGGTGACAGGACCGACCAATTTCATCAGTAACAACACAACTTTGAATCGGCCTGGGTCAGTAGAATTGTTGCCCAAAGACACAATATACAATCCGGCGAGGGAGCTGGTGGAGACACTCATACGCCAGGAGGGATTCAAAGACAAGGAATCTGGACAGACAGGCATGGTACCAGCGGAGTGGGCGATGCTTGTGGTGCAGGACTTGTTGAAGACCAACCCGCCGTACGTTGTCTGGCATGGCCAGTATACCATACTTGGAAAGCTAGAATCGTGGTTGCCGATTGGTTGGATGAACTGGGTGGTGAGGAAGGCGGCAAAATGGAATGAGGTTGAAGCAATTTTGAATAAGAATTCAGATCAAAAGCATTGATAACGACTACGATTGTCGATTGGAAATAGAAGTAAGGCCTAGACAACGCTATCACGCCTGCTATGTGAATCTATTTACTGTATATCCGCCCTTATCGCTAGGCAAGCGTCTTGCTCGTAAAATAGGTAGGTTAACGCGTGGTCGAGATACTCTACCAATGATTGTGCTAAGCTGAATGGCAGAGGGTCCGGTTCACTTCCACCAAGCCTCGCCATTCGAGGGTATAAAAACACAGGCGTTGTCTAAAAGAGCCGAAATGCGACCCACGCGTTTCCAAGAGCTCTTGTCCATCGATTTGGCTGGTAATTCGTTAAGTTGCGACCCACGGATTGTGCCGCGTCCTCGAGCAAAATTCCCAGCGCTTGCATGAAGAAAACCCTCAGAGTGCTGCTCTCGTTCTAACGGATTCTATCTGCATGTTTTTCGGAAGCGAGATGCAGCAGAGCCGACACCATGTGGGCTAGGAAAATGTACGTGTATCTCGCAACGATGCCACCTTTACTCAATCTCAACACCCGATGCTTAATATAATAAACCGGACCGCTAGTCTTTCGGTGGACGGATTGGTGCCAAAAGTTTCTGCCATACTGCATTAGCGTAATAAGCGCATCACTCGGTCTTGCCCGATTATGACGGATCTCTTCGCAAGCGACCAACTCACCCCCAGAAAAGCCGTACATGAAAAGCCGAACTTGATATCATGCAAATTTGGCTGCATTATTCTCACCTGAGTCGCTTGGAGCCAGACTCAGGGCGTCGAGCACGAGTATCGAAATGCCCAGGCGTACCATGTTGATGGCAACCTCACGCGACCTGGAATACGCCTGAAGGATGGTGTGCCAATTGCTTCCCAGGTTGTGGCTGGAGCACGCCATGTTGTGGTTGCGAAAAGGCCCCCGATCAACCGAGACCAGAAGCTTTCATGTGATATCTTGTCGTCATTGGACTCTGACTTAATATTGCACTCTCCACCGACCGAGGACGTTAGTCCAACAGCAGAGTACGTCCAGCGGCTGATCAATACATAGGCGATGTATTGCAGAAGAAGTCCAGCTGTATGGAAATAGAGAAGTCCATGTACGAGGACGTGGGGAAGAGCTTTGTTGTTCAATGGGATAGTGTAGAACGTGAGGCCAGCCATTACTGGCAGCAGAGCTTGACATCAGTTTCTTGTTCTGGCCTGTCGCGAAGAACTTCCTTCAGTGGTGCTTTAATATCCGCGCTGGGACACGGAACACCGGTCCGGGCGATTGTGCTCCCATTGATTTCAATCAAGTGAATCTTCTCCTCGAGCTGTCTGTACATATGGTTGAAAAAAACTTCTCATTGGTAAAGGGATTCGCCTGAGCTTCGCACCAGGGGCCGCAGATCGGATCGGACATCTCAGTTCTTCAAGTGCATTTCAGAAGATGGAAATCGCAGCCTCATCCGATTTTGGCCTCCAATCAGCAGCATAGGCATTCAACAGTTTACTTTTGCCGGTATAGTTATCAGTAGCGTCTAGGACAGAGCCCGGATCCAAGAAGCCATAGCTAATGGAAGGCATGGCGCCAAGTGAAAGAACGAAAAGGGAAGGGTCGAATAGATCTTATATGGTGGCGTAGAGTGAGGTGCTGAAGTATGAGCACTAATTACATGGGCCCAGCTTATCTGTTTAGCCCCTCTGCTCAATAGGTGTCATTGCCAGAGCTCACACGATGCACCCCTAAGGTCTTACGGTAAGCGAAGTAAGCCCCGTGATTAGGTAGGGCCGTGATCTATTATGTGCAAAAATTAGGAAATTTCTTAGCATTCCTCAGATCCTTTTTTCCCCTACTAAAATTGTATACAAGATTAGAAACTTTATTTCGAGAGCGTTAGCGAGTGAAAACTATAATCAATTCCCTAGACTAGCTTCTCTGTTGTCGTTCCAGGAAAGGAAATGCCTTAGCTTAAAAAAATTACCGCATGTAGACGTCACATGACGATAAAATTCGCATAAACTTCGGCATACTGTGGCACTAAACTAGACTAGGAAGGAGCTAAGCTAGACTAGGGAAACGCTAAGCCTGATAGTGTCTCTGCTAACTAATATGCCTGCAAGAACCTGTTCTCACCAGCTTGTAGTGACATTTCACTACCACGCTACATTATTTTAACCTGCTGCTGCTTGATAATTGCTTAGAATAGCATGCAATACTATATAGTTTAGTGCAGCCTTGCAGCGACAGAGGGTGCTACAAGAGATCGCTGAGACCGCGCAGGCTCAACTGCTAGTCACATGACTGTACTTGGTGCTGCCATCCGCTTGCAGTGACATTTCACTACTGCGCTACATTATTTTAACCCGCTTCTGCTTGGGAATTGTTTAGAATAGCATGCAATACTATATAGTTTAGTGTAGCCTTCTAGTGATCTCTAGTTGTGCAGATTGTAAGGACAGAGCTCTGTACCACTGCGCTAATACAACTAAAAAGGTGCAAATAATCAACTAACAGTTGATTTTCAGGTGCAGAATAGTATATATACCTGTCGCACGTAAGCGCCATCTCGGCCTTACACAGATGCTGCAAAGATGTGCTGTAGAAGTGATTAAAGCAGGCTAGATTAAGAATCTAAAGGGAGTCTAGTCACTAGTCTATCACATAAAAGAGTATATATATATATGTTATTCTACACACAGTTGATATTCTAGCACCTGTACTCTCTTAGGTCGGTGCATAGTCTAGTGGTATTGTAAGGACGGGGCTCCGCACCACTCCGCCAATACAACTAAAAGGTACGAATAATCAACCAACGTTGATTTTTGGGTGCAGAATAGTATATATACCCGTCGCACGTAAGCACCATCTCGGCCTTACACGTAAGCGCCATCCTGGCCTTACAGGTATACAACTAGGCTATAACAGAGTTGCTAGAATATTGTCTAAGCAGCGCAAGTTTAATTCTTAGAGATTGCATTCTTTTGCTCTTTAAAAAAGGTTTAGTATCTAGTTTGTATACAAAAGTTTCTCTCTTAGGATTTTATATAGAGTTTTTCTGTTCTCTTGCTAGGATTAAAGTGTAAGGTAGTGTAAGAGTATAAGGGGCTAGTGTAACGACTCTCATGAATCGTTCCATCTCGGGTCGCCCAGAACTTATCCGAAGGGTCCCTGTATCGGCCCCGACCCTGACTCAGCCCTGCTCCCCGCGGTTACCCCTATTCCCCTAAGTATTTAGTCGTACCTCTCCTCTTAGCTAGCTTAATGGTTTTCTGATATCCTTTTGTACAAGGCCTATAGATGTTAACGGTATTCCTAGGTTATTAAGTCCCCACGCACTCCTATATGCCTCTGAGTGGATTCCTACCGCATTCGGATCCATTGTCTTGCCTGCGCCGTTACAAGTTGCACATAAGTAGGCTAGTTAGCTCTAACTCCTAGCTTGTCTATAGCTACTCTAGTAGTTAAGTTGCATAGAGAAGAGTAATTAAGTGTAACTATATAAGCTTTTAACTAGATTGTAAGGACGGAGCTCTGTACCACTACGCCAATACAACCAAAAAGGTGCGAATAATCAACCAACAGTTAATTATTGCGTACAGAATAGTATATATACCCGTCGCACGTAAGCACCATCTCGGCCTTACATAGATCCCTCTAGGCAGCATAGAAAAAAAGGTTTAATTAAACGTGTAAATATATATAATAGTATAAGCTCTAAGTAGGCTTCTGTTTAAATAGTAAGCTATTAAATGTAACATGGTCCACAAGCGAATGTTCAACACAAGCAAGTGTTCTGCCCTACTACTAAATTTAACTTTAAAGACTATTAATTTAACAACGCAAAAATATACTATATAAAATAAACTACTATAAAATTATTTAATATCCTTACATATATAAGAGTTATGCCTAGGCTTGTTGCAGCGCTTGCAGCGCTGTACACGCGCTACGCTGCTTTTAGTAGTTAACTTCTTCTAAGGCATTTTACTACCTTCTACTATACTAGTAAGCTTCTAAGTACTTAATATAAAGCTTTAATAACTTATTAGAGTTTTTCTTTTTTAAATTTACTTTTTTTTATGCTGCTTATGCTTTATAGCTGCCTTACAGGCCCTTTCTAGGGCAGCTGCTTAATTATGCTGTAAAACAGCAATATAAGCTATCTTAGTAGCGCCCTTACTTAGCTGCTTTACTAGATTAAGTATAGTAAAAAAAATAAATTCTAATACCTTTAAATTTAATTATATAGTAAAGTTAACTAAGCTTTAACCTTATAAGAATTACTAGGTGTTTAAGCCTCTTAGGCAGTATTTAGTAGTAGAGTAGCTAGCTAATTAGGTAGCTGTATATTAAGCTTTAAGAGCACTAGCTCTAGGTTAAATAGAACTAGTCCTGTAGCTCTAAAGCCTACGCAGATATTATCTATTATAATTAAGCAACTAAATGCTACTTTAAAGGCTAGTAAGAAAGTTAGCTTGTTAATATAGTTAATTTAGTAGTAGATTAACTAGCTAATCTTAGTACTATACGCGCGCTTTAACAGCAAAAAGCAGCTAACATTAAGCAGCTGTAAAATATGTAACGCGTGTGCTAGCATATAAAGCGCTATAATACGCCTTTACTTATAGAGCTTTATAAATTTAACAGAGTAATAGCTCTTATAGCTATTAAAAATAAGCAGCTACTATAAGCCTACTAAGTAATCTTTTATGTGTAGATTAAAGTGCTTTAGCTATGTAATTTTATGTTTATTAGTTATTTAGCTATTATTGCTAACACTAATAGCTTAGTCCTTTAGTATATTCTTATTCTTATACTAGGTAGATAGGTGATGCTTGCTTTTAAAAATTATGTATAAAGGTATTACTGTTGAATGGGCTCTGACAGCTAGCTGCTTATGGTATGAGCACTTAAGTAGCAAGAGTAAGAGTGGTGTACGGTGTGCACAGCGTACGAGGTAGGTAAGGTGAGGGCAACATGTTTCTGGTTCTATTGCTCTTGTCTTTCCTCTGTACGGAGGAAAAGGGGGATATCTAGATGTTCGCGCACGGAGGTTCGCGCACAAGCATCATGTGACATAGATACGTGATCCTGCTCGTGCGCGATCGTTCGTATCCAGGACGCGACGCTGCTGCTGCGTACGGACACTGGCAACTTTTCTTTTTGTCCAAAGAGTTGCCTTCTATACGCGTTACCTCCCTTCTGTCTGTGTAGGTCTATCTAATTACGTTCTGCCTTTACTCCACCCCCATTTGTTAGGACTTGCCTCAGTGATGCTGTGCGTTAGGATAGGCTAGTTGCGCTATGTGAATAGCTCTTCTCTTCTTTATCCTTCGCTTTCTAAGCCCTGCTGTACAATCCCCTAGCTCTTTTCTCTTTTTGTACGGTGCTGGCAGTGACAGATCCTTATAATAAGAAAGATAAGTGCGTACAATACAAAAAAAAAACAAAACAAAGGGAAATAGGCCTTGTACAAAGGCGTTGTTAGTCTAGTTGGTCTAAGGCATCTTTGCGCACAGGATCTAGCCGGTCCACAGATGCTTCTATCTGGACAGAGAGGCAGTTGGTTAGGACTAATGATTAAAGAGCCTAGTTTAGTGTTTTCTTTGTACATGCATCCGCTGGGTTGTCTTTACCATTAATCCACCTTATCTCGGCGATTTCCCTCTTCTCGTACGATTCGCGGAGTGACATGATGTCAATCATGAGTCGCTTTTCGCTGGTAGTGCCTAGCTTGACAAGGCAATCGTACAGAGACCTTGAATCTGTGCAGATCACTACTGGGATTGGTGGCAGTTTAAGCGTTTGTACGATTTGCTGTAGAGTTGTACTAAGGGCAATTGCATTGTTAAACCCTCTAACCATTCCGTACAGTTTGCTGGTAAGGACACTCCTGGTTACTCTTTTACACTTGGTGGAATTCTAGTGTACGATGTTGCCCAGTATTTTAAAGCGGTCGCTTTGCTCTGTACGGTCCTTATTGCCTAATACAATTAAGAATCCTAGCTGTGAGCTAAGGTCCTTGTTGTTAGCAAATAATCCATCTGTGAAGATAAACAGCTTCGCACAATTAAGCTGCAATAGTAGGAAGGTAAGACTGCGCTCACTGTTGTCTATCTGCTATTAGATTTGTGTGTTAAGTGCGTTAATGTTGTTGTGCGAAGGGTCTGTAGTTTGTGCAGCAATAGAGAGGTTGAATGCTGCCTCTAGTTAACACACAGATGCGATGTATGCCCCTCTCGCACGTTGCTTAACATATTGTTGTGCGGCATCCTTGTCCTCTAGGTTAATTGTACAAAGGTGGCTTGCTTGTCCCTTCTAAGTAAGGACTACTGTGTTGTGCGTGAGTTTAATCCTTCTGCTGTTAAACTTAATAGGCTGCTTCTCTGCTAGGATAGTCTTGCCCTTTGCGCGGAACTTTGCCTTCTGCAGTTCCTCCTCTTCTCTTTACACAAAATCCTTTGTTACAATGCTTAAGGTGTTGTCTGTCTGCAGGCTAGTAATACTAAAGGTGTGCTCTCCTTTATTAGTAATTAAGAGGTAGGGGTTGTATAAAGAGATGTGCATGCGCAGCTTTTCTTTGTGGTGGTTATGGTATGTCTTGAACTAATACAGTCCTGATTTGTGTCGCACGTGTCTCACGCGATATCATACCCATGTACTGCACTATTCACTCATTAGGCATAGCTCCTATCTCGTACAGTATATAGTCAGCT